ATACTTTGTAATGAAGTATTTGAAACCACATTCGAGTCAGCCGCCACACCCAGAAGAGCCGGCTAGTGTAGATCTTAACCGCTGAGCGAGAACTCAACCCGCCATATCACAATAAGTTTTGCTTGGTGTTAAGTTGAAGCCAGATTGGTCTTACCAAGCGCTTCGTGCCAAATTCCAAATTCCAAATTCCAAAAAGCCACGGACATATTTCTCTCATCATACCTGACAATGACAATCTCGGCAACATAGCACATAACACATAGCACATAGCACATAGCACTGTTTCTTGACTCGACCTGACCCATACCGGACGACGATTATGGTTGGCTGCTCCGCAGTAACCGGGTGATACACGACTCCTGTGATCACAATCATTTTAACCATGCTAGGTACTTTTCTGCCGTGGTCACTAGCACGCATTGTATCAACCACCGAGCCGGTTTACATATGTAGTAGATGATAGTGGTATTATTAGCAGGTCTGGTTCTGTGGCTTGTGAATCGTAGGCCAAAACTGAACAAGCTCTGCACATGAGTTGTATGCTATGCGCGACAACAAACCCGTAGGCTTATGTACAATATCATCATTTTTATAGAGCCTATCTTCTCAGCGCCGTATGTTGTCATGGGTGTACATCTAATACGCCATCGTGTCTTTTTGGCTTGCCAGGTTCGTAATTACATATTAGACCCCTACCTGCTATCAAACCCGTTTAGCAGCCAGTACTTCAACGAATACATACCTAACCTAGGAGAATCTCTCTTTAGAATAGGGTCTCTCTCCACAGGTGCAGATTTTTATTTTTATTTTTTAGCAGATTAGTCCATCCTCTACTCGTAGAGTTTCGTATCCAAGGCTCCGCGTTAAATAATTTATATTAGTGTGCAATCGAACGACGGCCTTGGATGTCTTCCCTGCACAACCTCGTTTCCGAATCGCACATCATTCGTTGGCTCATTTCCAACAGGCAAGACGGGCGCACACACACGCGCACACACACACACATACATACATACCTACATACACACTCGCGCTCACCCCTTTCGATCTTCATACTTTAGCTCCGACGGCGACGTATCTTAAGAGTCATAAGTCTCTTCAGCCTAGCCTGGATCCCCGGTCCCAGACATATTGACCGACCTATCTGTAATGTACCTAGGCTAGGGGTATGGAGACTTGAATTGACCTGCCGCATTTGATATATACGCACGAAAAGAACATCATCTAGAACTTAAGACACATACACAGGCTGGGTGCTTTGAAGCCCCGCCCGGCGGCGTTGCTTAAACCCTGAGAGGAAACCGAGGCCACTAATCATCGCCCTATGTATTGTACGTATGATGATACCTCTTGTAATTTGCTATGTATCAACACGGCGTAGGAAACCGCCTCCTTTGCAATTAGGCATCATCCTGTGGTCCGATAGTCCAATAGTCCAATAGTCCAATACGCGATAGTTGGCGTCGCCATTCATCTCTTTGACCCCCTTTCTTTTTCTCAGACACGCCTTATTAGAAGCGGTAACGAAACAATAGCCTTTTCCTTCCTAGCAGGAGGAATCTATGCCTGTCCATCCATACATATACATAGGTGCTACACTACCTCAGCAGTGGCGCTTCCGAGCGGGCTCACATCGTCACTGATCATCTTTCCCATTTGGTGTTCCCGAACCGCCCAGCCCGAACTAATCGTAAAATGTCTGATGAACGGATCACGAAACGTTTTTCTTTTCCCCTCCACCCATTCCTTTCAAGCCCTTAGCACTTAGCACTTAGCCCTTTATTAGTCTTGGGATCATGGTCCAGTTTTTCCAGCATTGCAAGTGCTTCGTCATCATTCTCAGCTCAGCACATATGTGCTACTTATCGTGATAGCCACCGTTTACGGGCCAAATTATCCCGTGCCATCTTGCCGCTCGGATACGACAGATCAGGTTGATGGGAAGACCAACGCGAGTGATGGGCGCCGTCGACACTACCGTGTAGGATCTGGATTGTTCCGCGACGTGAATTAAGTACTACCCGAACACGATCCAAAGTGTCCCCCGAAATTCTTCAACCGTTCCCTGTGATGGTTCCCTGTGATGATTAAATCCCATGCCATTCAAGTAGCAGCAGAAGTCATCACAGCCCCTTTTTGAACAAATAGAATTCCCCTCTCTAATCTACATTAATCGATTTGATTAGTAGGTAGGTAGCCTTAATACACCGAAATTCATGTCTCCCTAATGTCTCCTTACCCTCCCTCTCCCTGTCTACACGACAAGTAATAGTAATAGTAGTTATTACTCTTCCTTCCCCTAAATTGAAATCCTCGCACGGTTAGGGAGTTAGATTCGGCAACGTCTTTACCCCTTTCCCCTATTTGTCTTCACTCGTCGTAGCATCGATCACTAAAGTCCTACTTAGGTGGTCAGAGATGCTTGTCGTTTCCCTGCATCGCGTTCGAAGTAGCCTGCATAGCAGGATGGTGTATCTTACCGAGCCGATGTGTACTTCGCCAGCTTCTCATTAGTCCAGCGATCAGTCAGCACTTCGTCTCCTTTTACCATCATGTTGGCGCCATCATGTCCCCCTTTTTTTCAATGACGTTGCCGACTCGTCGACTTACACATGTGTCAGCTTCCTTGACCCCGGCTTGCATCGCAAATTCCCACAATACTACCTTACCATTCCATTGGCGATGGAGGCGACAGATATCAGTTCACTATCTTACGTCGCCCAAGTGTACATAGCATGCCGCTTGTTCAGCATGCGAGGCGCCTACGAGGCGGTCGAGACAGGTTTCCTTTCACCGACATCTAGTTTCGTTAGCCTACGCGGCGTAACTGGTTCCTCTGCCTTCACTCTTAACCTACCATCGCGGTACGATATATGGTTGGTGGGTATATTTATGCATCGGATGCAGCAGGAAGACCGCCCGCGAGTGGGATGTTAATTGTTGCGAGCCTTGCGAGAATTATCACGATGCTATAGCTTGTCGACCTAAGTAGCCTTTACCACTTTATTTGTTTCTGCCGCTCTGCTTATCTTCGTCTCGCCACAGTTCCTCCTATCGCCTACAATTACTTTAGTCCTACATAGCCATTGAGGGGCAGATTATACACGCCTCATTCATCATTGGCAGGCGGCCACTTCGAGTACCCAATCATGTTGTCCTTTCTGTCAAGCTTAGTACCCAGTCCCGTAGATACATATATGCCCTGCATTACTCCCTGGCTATCCTGTATCAAAGCCTCTGGGATCTTTACTCCTGCGTAAGATACAGATAATACACGTGGAAGAATTCGAAAAAATTATGCTGTGTTGGTCAGAGGTGTCAACCTACCAGTCCATTAGGAATCCAATAGATATACTTACAATTAGGCACAGACGTGTTGAGATCTTGCCGCAAGATGAATCCTACTCTGATGGCAACCATGCTATTGGTAGATAGCGAGTCTAAACTGGATTTTACATTCGACAGGTTATAGATACATATCGTCCACCACTCGGACAGTGAATCCTTTGGTGCCATCCGTGACCGTTGGGAAGATATTGAAATATATCCAGCTAACCTAATACATAATCATAATCGCAAATGCAGACCGCATTTCTTGGACAGTCTCTTACGTATTAGATCTCTAGCGAATCTAAATAATAAATGGGAATTATTGTCCGTAGAGTTGGATGATATGATTTGCTGCCTGTAGATTTAGGACATCACTGCAGGTGTTGAACAACCAGGATGAGATGCTGCATCTCCTCGGGTGACTGGCATTCATATTCTACTAGCACTCCTAATACCATAGGCCTATACCTTTAATCGATACGACGAAACATTATATTTGTAATTTCTGTTGTTACTCTTAACCTATCATGTCAGTCTTCATTGGACGGCACATGCCGGTTCCCATACAGTGTCCTAGAACAATGGGTCAGTAGTTGCCTGGTGGTTTTTGCCTGGTGCACAAATATTCTATTCTTCTCGTTGATATATTGAAATCATAAGTATAGCCCTGTATCCGAGTTATGGCATGTGTGGGCGCTATTCTACCTTGAGATGTGTGTTGTCTACCTAATGATCAAATAGACTCTTCTTTGAGGGATAGTCACGTCTATGCCGATACTTGACGATCGTAGACGTAAAGACAACCATAGCAATCTCTATATATTCAGCGTGGTCTCAAATACCAAAGAGTAAATGTTCAATCTGTCACTTATAGCAGTATCCATAGTGATAGGTTATTAGACAGGAAGTGTTCATAATGAAGGTTATTAACAATATCGATCGAGGATATACTTGTGTTAGTTAGTTAGGTCTTCAAACATATTTTTAACTATATCACTTTTCGGGACGTTAATTAGCACAATTATTTAGAAGATGGGAAAGTTCGCATTATATTTGATTCCATAATTCTGTGCCAATTCATAATCAGCTCCTTTAAATATCTCTAATTCGTCGATGTCCAATGCTCCCGGGCATAGAATAAGATTCAAGCAAGGCTCGTAGTGGCTATCTGAGAGGCATATGTCGGTCAACTATACCACCTACGCCTATGTCTATGAACTACAAAGAAAAGCAGTAAGATCCATTGCTCCTGATACTTTATGTGCTTATGCCTACCCAAAGGCCATAGCCCAGTCTGCTGAATGACTCTACGATACTTTTAACTGGCTTGCGTAGACTTGCTCAAATACGAGCGGCGTAATTCGTGGCATTTTATCTCCTTCAGGGGTTTTGAATTGGTATGCTTGGCTTTGTCCCTATAACCACCACATTGGCATTCATCATAAACCGTTCTAGATACATAATCTACTCGAATGCCGTAAGTAGCATCTTAGCCGAGTAATATTAGAGCTTATAGTATTGAAAAGATGTATAGATATCATCCTAGAATTCAACCTGAGGTTTGACCAATATCTACCTGTCTAGTAGGTGCACGTAAGGTTCATACGGGAACCACTACAGAAGTTGACGCGGATCAACATCTACGATTACACTTATATCAAATGGACAGGTTCGAAGAAATGGCAAATCGCTTTGTTAACACGAGAATATTATGTACGATTGATGTCAATCCCAATATAGTATGCCAACCCGACTGAACCACGAGGGTGCAGCTCTTTTACATGCAGAACTATGATGTTCGCCACCCTTGGACCTAGGCGGTAACCGACAAGTAACCTATCAAACCGCCTCTAGGTTCGTGACGCCCTCTTTCTATGGCAAAACTACCAAGCCGTACAAGTCGAGGACCGATATATATCCCCCTAATACGTAATATGCTACACTCCTATCAGCCTTCACTGCGCCGTTATCCGAAACCCGTCATTTCTAAGCACCCCTCCTCTGCTGGCAAAAAGCGACGAAGAGCACATTTATACCAAATATAATTGTCGTTCCATCGTTAATATTTTGTGCCGGGCCATGCCTTGTGAAATGACCGCTAGAAGATACTTGGTATCCAACCGTAGTTGTTGATGGGAATTGCCAAAATGTCTCTGGAGTTGACGAACTCTCACTACGGGCTAGCCCATCCGCCAGCAACGTCAACCCATTCAGCCAAGCACGAACCTTCCTTACCCTCAACATCTACAATATCAGTATCGCAACGGCAACGGCAACCAACGCCGTTCTCTTTCTCTGGGTCCCACTGGTCCCAATACTCGTCTTCTTCGACTCGTTTCCTCTCGTCTTGAGTTGTCTTCTCAAGGTAAGGCTCACGAGGAAGCTGGCGAGCAGGGGCATTAGCCGGGCAATGTTGGATAGTAGTATGTCGGTAACCGAAGTCTCGGAAATAATGGATGTCGCGAGGCGCCAGAAGAATACCAGCAGCAAGGGAATGGATAGGGGCATCACCCCACTGGCATATAATTAGCAAGACTGAATTGTGCTCGAATGATCAGGATGACCTACCCGTTCCACCCAGAAACCACCACTACGATCCATCATCTCGAAGAAGGCCTTATACTCCTTGCTTCGGAACCAGCTGAGCTTCGCGATTTCGAAGTTAGACCAGAAATGGCACATATTATAACTCTCGCCCTCCATGGCTTCGGGATCAATCTCGGGCAAGTTCATTCGGCCGGGGTCGCTCCGCAAGATCTCTTCAGGTAGTGGCGGTTTGAAGTTAGGGTCGTTCTCAGGAGGAGCCGGCTTCTCTGGCTTGGGCTCGACGAACATCTCCCATAGACCTTGAGACGTGATGTTGTTCAGGCGCTTGTAGGCAGAAGCATATCGGAAAATGTTGGGGACGGTCTCGCGAAGCTCCTTAACAGCGATAGTGAAGCCGTACGTCTTGTTATACTCGATCATCTTACGGAATGGGTCACTACGTATTGGCATTAGTAGGTAAGAGCGAGTATCAAGGACCAGGCTGAACATGGAACATACTAAGTAATATCACAGAAGTACTTGATCTCGGGCTCCAAACGCCAGTACCATTCATATTTGGCGAGAAGAGGGTGGTCATAGAAAAATCTGTACCGTATTAGTTAAGTTTAGAAATCAGCGTGCTTGTTGCCTAGGTACTTACCCAGAGTAGAATCGGCACATGGCGTGGTAGCTCTCTAGACCACCGTACATCACAGCGGCGTCTCCCTGTTTAGCGATACCCTCCTTTGCAACTTTCGGGTCTATCCAGTCTGGGTATCCCCACATCTCTGGGCCAACCTTGCCAAACTCAACCGGAGCAGAAGTGTAGTTGCGAACGATGTCCTTGAAAGTCTGGTTGAAGTCTCCATCGTTCAGGAAGACATAGGGATAATGATACCATCTGTTGAAATGACGCTCGATAGACTTAATGGACTGAATGACACCATCAAGCTCCTTGTTTCGGGCGAGAACGACAAATGCGCCATTGACTCGTTCTTGCGTAGTATCGGGTGCGAGACAGCCTGAGACGAATACTTTGTCGTGTTCTTCGCTAATTTTTCTGTTCCGAGACACGCGGCCATTAGCAAAAAACAAACATATAACTCGATATCATGCAACATACCGGATAGCTGGTGGTGCGCCAGCAGGCATCAATATCCTCCCCGGAGAGCTAGGATGCCTAACAAATAATACGAGGATGAGGACAACGACGATGCATGGAAATAGAACGACCACGCCTAACGGGACAGATATGCTGGAGTTGCCTTTTAATCTGAGAGGTCTTCTGAAGAAAGCAAGTCGCGATGTTAACCTGTTGAGCTGAGGTCTCTTCTCGCCCGAGGTAGGAAGCTGAGGCGTGCTCATAGCTGCAGGCACACGCCTGTAAGCGCGCCGAAGCAGATCCATAATGGAGCTTAACGACGCCCTCGCAGACGGCAGACAGCAGTCGGAGAGGTTGAGGTTGAGGTTGATACGCAGCTATATCAGCACTATAGTCGTCTTTCTTCTCGTACAATCGGCAAGTCGTTGATTCTATCGTGGTTGTCGTAATCGAGGATGGCTTATTCAATCATACAAAAAGGACCCGTTACCGCCGTCTATCCGTATATTCGTTTAGTGAAATGCGAAATGCGCAGAGTAGCGAGCGGCAAGGGAAAGATCCCCTCTCGAAAAGTTGGATGATGGCAAAGGTATTGGATGAATAGGTTATAGATAGGTAGGCAAATAGACGGTCAATACGCATACGCGTCAGACACGTTACCCCCTTTTGATGTTGTTCAACCAGTCAACGGGGTTGAACTTTATCGTATCAATCTAGCAGATCGAAAACGACTGCATTGGTGCCGTCGACAAAGTTCGACGGCGATAATTCATAAACCAGGCGCGAGAAGTTGCCAATTGCCAAGGGGCGACAATGAAAAAAAAAAAAAAAAGGGGGTTCTGGTCAGAAGTTGGAGTGAAAGACCAGATACGGAATAAAATGGATACAAGGTCAAAAATTTGGAATGAGATACATTAGGTACAGTGAAAAAAAAAAAAAAAAAAGAGAAAAAAACCAATTAGGACTCTTCTGACACTAACAATTAAGCTACATTTGACAGGCCAGTGGTGAAATTATGCTTAGAATAAGGACAAGCAACCAATCAGGGTTTTACATGACAAAGAACATGCACTGTGCAATTGGTTAGGTACTTATCTATGTACTTATCATCCCTTGGAGGCTGAGAGGAGCTTGTGATTTAACTGGCTAGATTAGGTACAATACATAGGTACCTGAATGTTATCTAGACCCACATTAGATACCGGCGAAGATCTTTTTCCGGGCAGCTGGGGCTTAGCACAAGTGGCTCAAAGTAAAAAATAGATTTAGGGCCAACCCGAATTTTGGAGATTCCCCAGAAGTTCTCTAGAATTTCAATGTTCCAGAACACTGGCGATATTATACGTGCCGCCATGTTTCTCGATGATTGCCGCCGCTCGAATCTCGTACGGAGAGGCAGCTTGTTGACGACACTGGTTATGACCCTACTCGATTGAGATCCTGGCCATCGCATTTATTGACTTCCTGGCTTCGGTTAACTACTCGCTATTCTGCTATACTTAAATAGCGATATCTACCTGCAAGGAAGTTGGTTTCCTCTAACAACGAGCTTGAAGCTACGATTTCGTGTGTGTATGCAACTTGGCCCCATATAGAACAACGTATTTCACAATGTTCTGACGGGTCGAAGACGTCTCCGAGACTAGCGGTATCGTACGAAAGTCAACTCTTGAAGATGCCCACGCCTAGGAGATCCCAAGAACTGTGCGGTATCAGAACGTGCTTTGCGATGACAACGCCTATCATGACATGAGATGTTAAATATTCGCAATCTGATTCCCCGTATTAACTGCCACACCATACGCAGCCAATTTGCTACGAGCATCTAATAGAGTGCGGCCTTGATGAGGCATGGTGAGGTCACTGCATATTAAAGATATCTTGTCTTCAAAAATATACCACCCAAGCTTACGATGCCGTCTTAGTAGTTCATGCCGTTCATGCCGTTCATTCCTGACTGGTTACCTATTTGACAGTGATGCTTGGGCGTGCCTATTCTATTGTCCCGGTTATTTGTTACGCTGCTGGGCATCCCTCTCTACATCTGCCGGTGAGAGGCGAGTGCCTGCGGGGACCTCAGGCGAGACTCGATCTTGTAGAGTTGCATTTTGTCTTCCCGCCTAATTACATCAATAAAAGATCTGCCTCCGCAGGCCGAAAACAACAAGACCTTATTTTGTCATATCCATTATCACATATCCTATAGCTCAAGTCGACATGGTGTAAAGGCTGCTATATAAAGAAATTTTGACCCCCATTGCCTAAAAGAGATAAAAGGGATAGACCTGTCAACAGCCTGTCCAATTAGCTCTCATCTCCCATTGGGCTGTCATCTCAAGATACCTGCCTATTAATTACTTCAAAGCGCCAAGAATCCCGGTTCGTGGACTCTCCGCATTCAAGATGGCTTCCTACGGAGAATGGCGTTGCATCATCAGGAGTGGGTTCTGGGGAGAAGCTGTAGATCCGCCGCTATATAACACGATGCTTCCTCTATAGCCTACTCTGTCCTAGCTCTTTCAAAAGACTTCGAGTTACGTCAAGTGACTAAGGTTAATTTTAGTACTTCGTCATAGATCGTATATCAATATGCGTTTGTTGACGACGGCTTCGGCGGTGGTCGCCCTAGTAGGCCAGGGTGAGTAGTCTTTTTTGCTACTTGTGGTATAGAAATAATAGGGGCAACACTAATACTAGATACGTCAGTTCTATCGCAGGACCCCCCAAAATTCCCCTTCCCAAGCAGCTGCTCCGGCGTTGCTGCTCCTCGATATGCCTACACGCTTGATTCTGGCTGGGAGGTGACCAAGATCGCCAGCGGTCTTCGTCAACCCCGAACTATCATCTTTGACCCCCTCGGCCACATGCTAGTGTTGCAAGCCACCTCTGGTATTTCAGTCCACACTTTCGGCCCGGATGGTTGCATCAACAGCACCAAGACCCTCTTCCAAAACTCGGGTCTCAACCACGGTCTCAGCTTGACACCTGATGGCAAGACCCTCTACGCCAGCTCCCAGACGACAGCCTGGTCGTGGACGTACGATGCCGCCGCCTTGACGCTTACGAACCAGAAGACAGTGGTCAGCGGAATTGGCCAGGGTATTCACTCGACCCGAACCACCATCGTCTCTCCCAAGAACCCGAACCTAATCCTCGTCTCCGTCGGCGCCGCCTCGAACTGGGATAACCCAACTATCGACCCGAGCGTCGGCCGTGCCATCGTTAAGGTCTTTGACATAAGCAAGGCACCTGCTAACGGCTACCAATTCAACAGCCAAGGTACCGTGCTAGGCTACGGTCTACGTAACGAAGTTGCTCTCGCTTTCGACCCCAACGGCCACGTATGGGGTGCCGAGAACAGCGGAGACGACTTCAGGAGAACCGTCAACGGCCAGTCAACGGACATTCACATCGACAACCCTGCCGAGGAACTGAACTACCGTAAGCCTCGAAATTTCTGATAGAGAGAATTCAAAATACTAATGTTGCCCACTGCCTTTTTAGTCGGAGACCCCGCCGCGCCCCTTGCGAACAACTGGTTCGGTTACCCAACCTGCTTCACCGTGTGGGAGCCGTCCAACTTCCCCGACAACACTGCTCTGAAGACGGGCTCGCAATTCGTCGTGTCTCCCAACTCGACCTTCAACGACGCCTCGTGCGCGGGCAAGGCTATCCCGCCGCGCCTATCATTCCCGGCACACATGGCGCCCATCACCAACGCCTTCGACCCCGCCGGTCAGAACCTGTACATCACGTTCCACGGCAGCTGGGACCGACAGCCCGCTCAGGGATACTTCGTCGCCGAGATCCCCTTCAAGAAGAACGCGGACGGCAGGTACGAGCCTGTGGCCGCGGCCGACAGCAAGACCGGCTACAAGAACATCATCGGCGCCCAGAACCCGGGCGGCTGCCAATCGCCCTCTCTGACCATGAGCTCCTGCTGGCGTCTTGCCGGGCTGAGCTGGGACCAGGCTGGCGAGCGACTCTTCATCAGCTCCGACAACCAGGCCCAGGGAGAGATCTTCGTCCTGAGGAAGAAGGCCTAAGCAAAATAGGTAGCCAGCCATGTAGTATATGGCAAGGGGGTTACGCTGGAGGAGATAAGGGTACGTTGGAAGTTGGCGGGTTCTCGTTAGACTTTCTATCTTCTTCGCGTGTACGTAAATTTAAGTAGGTCACCAGACGCCGAGTAAAAGGGTTCAACGATACCTTGGATGTTTTGGTCTTTGTCTGCTGTTGCCGCTTTTGCGTGAGAGAATGTCATCTTACGGAGTGTGTGATGCGAATGCACACTTTACTTTGAGGTTATATATGCTTTCTGCTGCCATTATTCTATACAGTAAATGACTGGAACGGATAGTTGCCTATACCCTTAACTACAATTTATAAAGTAGGTAACTAGCAGAAGTAAATAGGGCCTCATATACTACTATAAATTCTCTCTCTTAATCAAGACAGTTTACGAAGTCACGAAGCACGGGGAATATTTCGAGGCGAGTGAATAGACGGAATCAATAGACTATGATCGTTCTAGTATTATTGTTCCAGTCATCGACTCAGTCTAATCGGAATGCTAGTATATATACCATTGTCCATTGCATAAGCACCTAACCTATAACTATCATACGAAAGGGACAATACATCAGCATTTGAAAAGCCATTAACATAACATTTGACTCCAAGCAACCTGGGTATCATAACGCTACTCCTTCCCTTGTTGGACTTAACTTCAATTTAACCCACGATAACCTCTGATTCCAACCTACTGCAGCGCGTACAGCTTCCTCGGCTGCCCTCCCGCGCAAGAGCTAAACTTCCACCAGCGGCCATGCCACGCGCCAGCAATATTCACGAGCCCCCACTTGATAGGAGCCGGGATAGGCGGCCAGTTCGCCCACGCACCGTCCTCGGCCGTGCCGTCTAGGTTGAGCAGGAAAAACGGCACTACGTCGAGGGTCCCTGCTTTTGTCACCGTCGTCTTGCCCCAGCTCTTGAACGTAGCCGACGCTTCTTCTGCCGCGGCGGATCCCGGCGCGGGGGCGTTCGCGTGGCCTGATAAAGCGGCAATGGTGGCGATTTCGCTGTGGAAATGGGCTTCGAAGGGCTCCTGGAAGGACTCCATGATCTTGACTAGTTCCGCGCCGTCGAACGTCCCGGGCTTCGGCTCTACGGCCCGGAGGTATTTTTCGAACTGGGCCAGCCCGCCCAAGAACGCCTCGTGTTCCTTGTGAGTGCCGGCCCAGATGGTATTGTCGTTGAGGACGGCCTCGACCTTGGGGAACAAAGTGGCTTCCTCGTCGTCGTGGTGCGAGGCTACGAATTTGTGCCATGTTAAAGCGTACCCGATGAAGTCGGCCTTGTCGACGGGCTTGACGTGCGGGGCTTGCTGGTACACCGAGTTGTAGCCGCGGAGGATAGCGTTGTGCAGGAGGGCCATGTGCGTGGCGCCGGTGGTGAATATATCGGTCTATGGAGGAGGTGGTATGGTGTTAGTTGGGTCATATTGGTCTTTTCTACTTGATCTTGTCTGCTTTTGTGATATGTTGCCCGGAAGTAAGAAGCAAAACCGGATCAGGGAGAAATACCTTCTTGGTCTCAAACTGAGGAGTCGTCACCAGCTTGATAGGAGCATCAGCCCAAACCACACTGCCCACCGTGGCGGGATCTAGAGCCGGAGCAGTCATGAAGAAGGGTGATCGTGTAAGGAACAGTCCGATCAGGATGGGAATAGCAATAAGTATAGGTCTATCAAGGATGCTTCGGCGTTGATATTTCACCGGAGGTTCCATCTTGAAAAGGAGCACAAGCTAAGCTCGAGGATGTCGTGGTAGGTGACCTGTTTTTATCTAGTTAGGTGTTGTAGAGAGAGAGAGACACACACACACACACGGAAGCTTCCTCGTACGAGGGGAGAACAGAACATGCCATGCCATATGCTATGCGGGACACCATTGGACGTAAGTGATAGCTACTAGGTTACTATGTATGTAAAGCAATAGCTACCTATGTATGCAAGCTGGCCCCTGTCGATGCAGATTTGCTGAGTAAATCTCCGTATATTATTGGATACCAGAACACCAGGGTTAAAGCTAGCAGGGATGTAAAGTGTATGTAAGCCCAGGCTCGGTTCCAATATTCTACCCGAAGTCTCTATTCAGTCTCTATGTATGTATTCTACCCCCCTTGCGCTTTGGAGGATTCGAACCACCCCCGAGTAAGACCGGTAAGACCGGTAAGACATGTATAGACATGTATACACCTCTCCATCTAAACAAGTCAACAAGTCAACAAATCCAGGGCTACATCATATCATCACTATTGCATAGTAGGCATCAGACACGGAGGCATACCTAATACTGCGATTACAAATAAATTATTTATTCGTTGCCATCTCACCCGACCAACATCGGCGCTGTAACTTCGCTGGCCCTATCCCAGGGCTAGGCTGATAATGAGACGCGTAGTAATGGACGACCTTTCCTGTATACCTCGTCATCACCTCGTAGGGTGTTCCTATACGTAGAGGCATGTAGATCGGACTAACGCCGTCGAAAATGCACAGGCATTGAGTGTACTCGGACGTACTAGCATGCTGTTCCTATGCCGCCCTCTAACCTCGACCTCAACCTCATTTCCCATCATGATCGTCGTAGACTGTAAATTTACCATTGCCTTACGCTGTAGCCTTAAAGGCTAGAAAGAACCCCGTTAAGAGTAAAGGCAAATATATGTTCATTCCGCAATAACCAAGCACATCGTATGCAACCCGGCCTCCGTGCCGAGTTGGATATAGAAACAAGTAATCTAGTTGTCCCCTCCTTCAGGTTGGTATCGTAGCTCTAACACCCATTTATCGTCAAAATCGATACCGCGACGGATCTTAGTCGCCACCTTACGCCATATGACCGGACCGAGTCCGATATCAGCCAGGTATAGCTTCCACTCCCCTACCATGCCGATGTCTCGGTCATCGCCCGACTCCAGCGCCTTCAACAGACCAACTTTCGGTGCGCCGAGGGCAACTATATAGCGGGGGTGGACGTAGAGCTTAGCTCCGTCGATGACGTTGACACGGCCGGTTTGAGGTTCGATGCCACTTGGCAGATCGATTGCCATAACAAAAGCTTCGTTTCTGTTTGACCATTCCATAAGTTCGTACGTAGTGGCCTGGTCAGACTTTCGTAGCTCTTCAAATGGTGTTGTAAGTCCTAGGAGCGCATCGATGATTAGAGTAACGAAGCCTTGCGAAGCTGTCTCTAAGGTGTTACTAGCTTGGCTGACATGCTCGAAAAGCTCCGATTTGGTGAAGATGATGCCTCCAAAGTTGCGAAGGAGACGAGCTTGTTTCCTAATATCTTCCAACAGCTCCCGCTCCCGCTCGATGCCGACCACACACACCAGGACGTTAATCCCATGGTTTCGAAGGTGGCGGGCAGCTGCTAAGGCACGGATTCCCGACTTATTGTTACCAGCGAGGACAACTATAGTGGTTGTACTTGGCGGCGACGCTGCGGCAGCACGAAGTCTAATAGCAGGATCGTCAAGGACACGCATTACGACTTCTGTGATGCCACGGCCTGCATTTTCGGCCAAAAGGTCTTCACTAAACCCAAATTCGTGACGCGCCACATTCTCAAGTGTCTGCATTGGGAGGTGGGCGATGGCTTCGATCCGGCGATTAGAACTAACAGTATAGAATCCGCTAGGCGTTGAGGTACCCTGTTTAGAAAATATTAGTTAAACTCATAAAAGAAGAGGAGCAAAAGAGGATGAGAGGATGGATTTACCCCTGAGTTGACTCGACTCGAGCCAGCAACACTTGCTGTGGTGCTGGCCTTGCGAGACTGTGAACGCCGGGTCATGGACAATCGAGAATCTCCCCGTAGCCGAGAATTACGTCCGCTACCCTCTATTACGCTACCACGATCGCCTCCGTTGGCAAGGTCGTCATCAGCTTCACTCTTCCAGTAGTCGCCAGGGGCGTCTTTTGGTTTGGATGCTGACGAGGGAAGATCCAATACATTCTCGCTATAATGAAGATTCTTCCCGCCCGCCGTTCCAGGCTTCGGCCGAGGGAGACGGTTGTGGGATACCAGACGTTCAGCCTCATCGATTTGATCCTGCTCTTTCATCTCGTCGAATATTTTTCTCTTGTCAAATTTAGCAAGGCCTCCTTCAAAGTCAAAGTCTCCCGCTTCTTGCACGTCCGTAACGTCCTCCGAAGCCCAGCCATTTTCGATATTCCCCTCTACTCTACTTTTCTGGCTCTTCTTTAGCGCTGCGAATGGCTGAAATGACCTAGTAGATTCAAGGATAGGCGTCTCTCTCCAACCCGGGCCTCGATTAGTTTGCTGTGCTGGGGAACCATTGCTATCAGCCACCCTATTCCTGCGTCGACCCCGACCTCGTGTGCTTTTACGATTGTCTTTCCGGGAGTCGGATGGTTCGTCAGGTATAGTGGGAGCTACTTGGGCCCTGTGTTCTGTTATGGTGTTTCGCCTAGAATGAGGAGTTGGGGAAATGCGCAGTCTCGCTGTAGAGGAGTTGAGTGTAGTAGTGGTGGCTGCATCGGTCACCTCATCCGGGGAAGAGTATGTCAAGCGATCGGCAGGATTGGGGATGACTGGAGGATCTCGCTTCTCTGCGATATTTGGCTGAGCATGATAACGTGTGTCGCGGGGAGGAGCTGTGCCTGTTTTGGGAGTCAAGCTCAAGATTGCAGGATCTTGGAAGGCCGAAGGGGGCGCCGTTCTTGAAGTAGGCGTAGTTTCAGTAGTAGTGAGGTTAGGATTTGAGGTTAGGGAAATATCGTTAACATTGCTCGCGCTGATGACCACATGTCCGAAGAATTGATTTGTGCCTACTCCCACGGCTACTTTACGTTAGTCAATCTTCCTATTCAGGCCACCTCTTGATGGTATTCATTATAAAGCCTTGGAACTTACCTTGGTCTAGTGTAAGATGTTGCTGAGGAACAAGACCAGTTAGGATTCCCTGGAGACGTTGGCCGAATGGTTCTTTAAGGGTTACGGTATAATAGCTACCCAGCCACTTCGATAATTTAGCATCCTCAGCCATTGTCACCTACAAGACCGACCAGTAAACTCTTGGATTCCCTTAAAGAAAGGTAACCGCTGCTAGACGCGTCTAGTATTTGTGAAATCACATGTGGAACTCCTCGCACGACCAATCCTGCCCCTTAATCCGTATCTCACAGTACCAGTAGTCTTCTCGTTTCTCGGGAGTAGGTTTATTCAGTCGATATTTCTCAAACCATGGTCAGGAGTTCAGGAAAGTACACGAGCCTGGATTCCTTGAAACTTGTAGATAGGAACAAATAGGTATCCGTAACCTCGGAGACGAACGCTATATTGCTGCGACTCGGGAAATATCTTTTTATAACTATCACCGTTGCCGCGCCAATCGAAATCGAAGTCGATACACAGGAAACCGAATTAGTCTAGGAATCAGTACGGTTACAGCGCTGGGAGGTTTGCCGCATCAGGTCCCATCAACATTCAAAGTTGTCGCAGACCGTATAATTGACAGGTTTATTTAGCCGTGGTTACCTAGAACAATAACAGAGAACCACCTAATTGGTGGGAGCACAGCGGGTGATCAGATTTGACGTGAATACTTTGTACGTTGAAGGTAGAACATTGAATGGAATGCCGTCTCAGGTAGAAATAAGTCATTGTATATTTTGGTCTTTCCATTTGTTAAACTGCATTAGTCTAAGCTTCGCTTATCGATAACACACTATAGACCCACAGTGACAACACCAATCACATGTAAAGTGATTTCCTAGCTGAGTATGAGGTATGTATTATGTATTATAAGGGATGTATTAACAGGAGGTAGTTAATCGCCATTTATACTGGCTAACAACATTGAAGTTCATTCAAAATACTCCGCAACACTCAATGCATGTATACTAGCAACAATGCTGCGCTCTACTATTTCCTATTTATTTCATATTTCATCTTGTTTCATGACTTCAGTAAGCTGGTGTCAAGTAATCATGTTGCTTGCCACAAAAAGCCGGCCTCGATGGACGATGATGGACGATGCTATTGAATACGTTGTTACACTTCGTAATTATGCACCCTTAACCATACGCTGCCATAGCCTCTTCATCATCGTATAGATCAATGATATCCGTCTGCTTCCCCTTGGAAGATGCCGAAGTTCCCTTGTTAGCAAAGTCCGAAATCGTCACTGGTTTCTTTATCTTGGTTGCAGATTCCGCGCTGTAAAGCCTGTTGTAAAACTGTATGACTCGGGGGTGAGCCATAACTTTCTTACTGTCGAAACGCAGTACCTGGAGCCCCTCCCTGCTCGTAGCTCGACTAAGCGCAACGTATGCCTGTCCCTTCTCGAACACCTTACCAAGATCAACCTTGACTCTCTCCAGGGTCTGGCCTTGGGCCTTGTGGATAGAGAGAGCCCAGGCAAGAATAAGGGGTAACTGTCTGCGCGCTGCTTGGACCTCGCCAGTAGGTAGTTCAACCTTCCAATCCTCCGGGATGCAAAGAAGAATTCTATGGGTTCTATCCGTCGCGTTGAAGCGGACAACTGGATACTCTTTGTTGTCCTTTATGTTTTCAATCTCACGACTGTACGCTTTAATTTTCTTTTTTGACCGGGCGTCCGCCTCGCCTTCGTCAGCCGATTCAATCTCCTCATCGCGGGCACCCCAAATATCAAATGTCGCTTCGTTCATAAACCCAATCACTTTGCCCAGTGTACCGTTCACTAACGTCTCGTCCATATTCTTGATCAGCATGACCTGGGCACCTTTCTTCAAATCTACAGCCTTGGGAGCCATCATATTCGAAAGCAACCTTTCTCGTAAATTAGGCTCGCCTGAATCAGTGGCGTCATAATGATATGTGGATCCAGGGAGGTTGCGTAATCGAGACTCATTGGACCTCTCAACCTCTTGGCGGGTTGGGAATCTAAGGGCGAAGTTAGCACACATTATTCTAATACTTTTCTAGGGAGGAAGCCAATACAATTCAGTCACTTCAAGACCATCATCAAAGGTTAACGGCCGCGACAGACTCTTGAACGTTTGGATCGTATCTTCGCTGATCCGACCGAGACGCATCTCATTCAGCATGTTGGCAAATTCTAACCAGTATTAGTAGTGATAAACTATGGGGCGGTTCAATAAAAATATATCTTATAACTTACCAGCGTCCTTTTGGCGGAAAACTTGCGTTAATCCAATAGTATGGTCGATAGATGTATTCCAGGTCGCGGCCTCAAATGCGAACTTGGCTTCCTTTTTACCTCCATCGGGAACAGGAGGCAACTGGAAAAAGTCGCCTGTAATGACCAACTGGATTCCGCCCCAGGGCCGACCGTTATTTCGAACAGTGCGTGCTATTTGTGCCAGCTTATCAAACAGTTCACCATCAACCATGGAAACTTCATCAATAATAAGAGTTTTCGTGTGGAGCCATTTATTCTTCGCCTTAGGATTTCGACGAATCTTCTTGACAAGGGTTGGCACGTCTTCCTTCCCGAGGCCGATACCAGCGAAACTATGCAGCGTCTGACCACCAATATTGCAAGCAGCAAGGCCAGTAGAAGCTGTTATACTGAGACGCTCCGGATGTTGTGCCCACTTTTTCTTCAGCTCCGAGATGATGGCTCGGATCAATACAGACTTACCAGTACCAGCCGGGCCGGTAAAGAATACGCTTTGATTCTTCTGGACGACTAGATCGATTACGTGCTGTTGCTCAGAACTCAGTGAGAAGGCAGAAGCCTTGGTCTTGCGTCTAGTGGGGTCTTCGATAGCGCCACGGATCTCCTCTGAATCAGGTCCAGACTTTTTATTCTGATTCTTGAGCTGCTTCCGACGCTCATTCATCTCGCTCTGTGTCGTATCCCAAAATGAATCTTGCATCTTTTTAGGGGCTGGAGTAACTTGGTGTTTCCTCTTTTCGGTGTCATCTTCGGCTGATGGCGCAGAATTATTCCATGTCGAGGGTAATACCCTTCTCTTAATCTGAGGTGGATCAGGTTGCGAGTTATCATCCGGCGAATCTCGTTTAGACGGTCTCTGGGGGTTTGGCGGGGGGTGGCGATGCTCTTGCGGCGACGAAGACCATGATAATTGGCTGGTAGGTGGTTGAAGTACCGGGCCCGCACGGGGCTTCGGTGCGGCTGGCTGGGGAGGGAGAGATGCGGGAAGCTGGTAATCCAGGTCTAACTCCAAAGTATCATCGTCGCTAAAATCATCTTCTACGTAGTAGGCGAAATCATCATCTGTGTAGTAGGTAGATGCGGCTGGCTTGCCCTGGGAAATACGAGCAGACGTAGATGCTTCTCGGAATGACCCGGCATTACCACATAGCGAGACGAGGCTATTAGAGCGTTCGGTGATGCTTCGGGTTGAGGTAACAGGAGAATTTGGTTTGTACTGACGGCAAGGTCGCTGTACATTATAAGATTTGGATCGCAATGGTTCACTGTTGTTGTTTGCTGCCTTCATAGACCCTGACGTAGCCCCCGACGACAAATAATGAGCAATATCTCCATCTTGAGCGGAAGGGCTACTTGACGGAAATAAACTCTTTGCGAGTTTATTCTTGCCGGGCTGTGCGGATGCGGTCGCCTGGTTTTTTTCCACAGCTCTACTCAACATGGCAATAAGAGGAGAGGCCGACAGATAGGCGATTGCATACGAGTGTATACGTGGAAACGAGTGTCGAGGACGTAAGGGTCTTGAAGGCAGCGATCGAAAAAGACTAGCAGTCATACAGGAACCTCGAGGTTGCTGAGTTTGTAGACTTTGTTGGGTCAATTAAGTCAATTGGACTGCGTTGATTTTATGAGGGAGTGTTTGTCCAAGGGTCTGCAGCGTGTTCCTGCCCCGACTGAGGGCTGAGAAATACATGAGACTTGTGTTGTAGGGGTATTACCTTCTATGAAAAGGAAAGATCATGTCGCGTTTGCACGCGTTACCCCACACACAAAAATTTAATGTGCATGAGCCGCGCTGGCAATTGCAACCAGTAAGGTTTAAGCACCAGAAATCTAGATAAGCAGTGCAACTACCTAAGGTAATCCGTACTAAATATGTAAAATGTACAAAGGTACGTCATTCCAGACAGCTGGACATATGGACATAAATGTATGTACATACATAGGTACCTGCCTAACCTAGGTATGTACTACCTACATGTACCTAAGCCAACAGGCAGAACACCGGGGGTTGCTGCCAGGCAACATTGCACCTTCTAAAGGGAAGTCTTTGAAAAGCATTTTAACTCTTACATGTAACTTATTCAATTCATTCCCAAATATAACAAATTCGCGGTTTGACGGCTGTCACTTAACTTGAAACCGTTGATCAATTCGTACGCTCAGATCCGAGAAGTCGGGGAAGATGAGCCAGCGAAGTCGAAAGATACGGGATGCAGGCGCCGAGGACGAGGAGCGCCGTCAATATGAGACGGGAGGGCAAACACTTCAAGAGCTAGACGCAAAGTAAGTCATCGGGAATCAGCTTCTAATATATAGGTAGGTATATATATATATATATATATATATATATATATATCTACCTTGGGTATCTTAGATATATAAGGCAACTAACTATATAATAAACTAACTCGCTTTCGAGATACCCAAACCGACCAAAGAATCACTCGAGAACATTATTCTTTTCAGACTTGTACAAAGATCTCTTCAACCCTCTGAGTGACAACAAACCCCAAGTCGGCCCAAAACTTGCACGCACCAGAGCGGCATCTCAGAAGCACAACAAGCTCTCTCCGCACGAGCAAAAACGCAATATCATTGAACGCTTCATATTAAGATGGCGCACAGAGGTGGGAAATGACATCTACCCTGCTATGCGCTTGATCCTATCCAATTCGGACCGGGATAGAGGGATGTACGGGCTCAAGGAAGGTAACATCGGCAGGCTACTCGTCAAGTTAATGAGAATTGATAGGAATTCTGAAGATGGCTATGATCTTCTACACTGGAGGATGCCAAGCAAGTCAACAGCCGGCCGGGCTGCAGGTGACTTCACCGGGAGATGTTTCGACGTGCTATCGAAAAGGCCCATGCGTATAGAGCCCGGAGATATGCGTATTGCTGAAGTTAATGAGATGTTAGACAAGCTGGCGGCCGCGTCCGGCGAGAGCGAGCAGTTACCGATATTCGAAATATTCTATCAACGCATGAATCCGGAAGAATTGAAATGGCTCATTCGTATTATCTTAAAGCAGATGAGGGTGGGAGCTACAGAAAGGTCCTTCATGGATCTGTGGCATCCTGATGCTCAGGATCTATTCAGTGTGTCGTCAAGCCTCCGCCAAGTTTGCTGGGATCTCTATGACCCTAAATTCCGGCTTACGGATGGCCAAACAAGTGTCACATTGATGCAGTGCTTCCAGCCTATGCTCTGTCACTATCAAATGTCCACCTCTTTCCAGAAGATGGTTGACAAACTCAACTCAATAAATCGGGTGGAAGGCGATGATGAGTTCTGGATTGAGGAGAAGTTGGATGGTGAGCGGATGCAGCTACATATGGAAGAAGACGACGATGTCCCTGGCGGCAAGAGATTCAAGTTCTGGTCGAGGAAGGCCAAAGACTACACCTACCTCTACGGCGAGAGCTTTAAAGACGGTAATTCATCACTGACCCGCCACCTTGAGGATGCTTTTGCTCCCGGCGTACGTAATATCATCTTGGACGGCGAAATGATAGTATGGGACCCCGAGCTTGACAAGGTGCTGAAATTCGGCACTTTGAAGACAGCAGCCATCGCAGAACAGCGAAATCCCCATAAAGACAACGCACCTCGACCAGTACTTCGCGTCTTTGATATTCTTTATTTAAATGACCAACCGTTAACACAATACACCCTACGAGACCGGCGGAACGCGCTTGAAAAAGCTGTCCCGGGAGTACCATATCGGCTAGAAGTCCACAAATATGACAAGGCCAACTCGGCGGATGCGATAGAGCCGATGCTACGAAAAATCGTCTCGGATGCCTCTGAGGGGATAGTTATCAAGAACCCAAGGTCAATGTACACCCTCGCTGACCGTAGCGATAATTGGATCAAAGTCAAGCCGGAGTATATGAGCGGTTTCGGTGAGTCGGTAGAAGCTATCATCATTGGGGGGTACTACGGATCTGGCCATCGCGGTGGCGTATTAGGCTCGTTTCTCTGCGGCCTTCGTGCTTCAGAAAACGACATCAAAGCTGGGGCGAAGTCGGAAACATGCTACAGCTTCGTGAAAGTTGGTGGTGGTTTCAGTGCAGAAGATCTCGCCGAAATTCGACATCTCACAGAAGGGAAATGGAAGCCCTGGGACCCAAAGAAGCCACCGAGCGAATACATCCAACTTGCCGGTGGAGATAAATACCAGATTCTTCGGCCCGACGTTTGGATTCGCCCGAGCGAATCACTCGTCATTTCTGTCAAAGCAGCCAGCGCCGGAGAATCGGATCAGTTTGCCAAGGGAATTACGTTACGATTCCCACGGTTCAGGGGCATGCGGCTTGACAGAAGCTGGGATTCGTGCTTAGATTTCCAGGGCTTCTTAGATATGAAGGCACGAGCCGAAAAGGAGAACGAGGAGAAGACCATGAAGATGGAATCACACAGGAAACGAGCGGTCAAGCGAACTAAGAGGGAAATTGTCATCGCGGGCCAGGATATTACTGCTCCGGCTATGTTTGAGGGCCCAAAAACTAAAGTATTCGAAGGCCTAGAGTTCTGCGTCTTAACGGATTGCACATCCCCGGTCAAGAAGTCGAAGGCACAACTTGAGATTTTAATAAAGGAGAACGGCGGCAAGATACAGCAGAGGGCCAATCCGGGAACCAATATGCTCCTTATTGGCGAAAAGAAAGTAGTGAAGGTCGCCAGCCTGATGAAAGCTGGAGACGTAGACATTATCAAACCGAAATGGGTACTAGATTGCCTTGCACAACGCGACAGGGACTTCCTCCTCCCCTTTGAGACGGGACACATCTTCCACGCCACCGAGGCCACGATGCGCCACGCAGAGGAGAATGTGGATGAATTTGGCGATAGTTACGCCAGAGATCTAAATTTGAAGGATCTGAGACAACTGCTCGAATCGATGCCAAAGAAGGAAGTCATCGTCGAAGAGCCGTTTAACAAGGAAGAATTCCTCAACCAGCTAGCCGATCACGGTCATGACATTGGTGGTTTGAGAAGCTATATATTTAGGGGCGCAAGGATACACTTCGCAGCAACAGACGAGGTGTCTTCTATATCGTGTCTCAAGCTGAAGAATTGGGTCAGATATGGAGGAGGGTCGATAATTGACGATCTGAGCGACAGAAGTACAACGCATGTGGTAATAATAAGCGACAGCGAGACTGGTGAGATGGAGCGAGCAGCAGAAGTACGCTCGTTCATTAGCACTCGAACCCCCGTTCCCAGGGTAGTCTCGCGGCAATGGGCCGAGGATTGCTGGAAGAATCGGACTACATTAGACGAGGAGAGATATGCACCATTATAATGATCAAGATAGCCAACATAAGTGACTAGTCTAGCTAATATTCATTTCATTCATACGGACGATCTATCGTTGGTATCTTTACTTTCCTATTGTCAGGAACAAGCGATCACCCACATCTCCTACACCCGGCTTTAGCATACCATTCGGTGTAAGCTCAGCGTCGACGCCCGCAACCCATATATCCACAGCCTCAGGCCATTCCTCAGCAGCGCGAGACACACCATCGGCGGCTGCGATGACGGATAGGACAATAATGCGCTTAGCACCCCACTCCTTGAGCGTCTGTATAGCAGCCACACAAGTTCCTCCAGTTGCAATGACGGGGTCTACGATGATAGCTAGGCTCGACGCATTCGTGCCAGGCTCGCTTGCCGAAGTAGAGACATGATGCGGAAGATTATTATAATATTCGACGGGTTCGAGCGTGCTGGGTTCCCGGTACAAGCCCAAGTGGTGTACGGGGACGGGTTCGGGAAGTAGGGTTTGTATCGCTTGGAGTTATGCATTAGGCTCGAGAGTTGCATGCAAAGACAGGAACAAAGGAGCAAGAAACACACCTTCTACCATACCGAGTCCTGATCTAAGGATAGGGACTATTGATAAGGTTTCCGGCCGTAGTGTCGTGGTAGTGTACTCGTACCCGATGGGAGTCTCGCCCTACGTAGAGAAATGCCGTGTTAACCATATATCAAGTACGGTAGCCTACTACTTGTATAGGTACAACATGGCAATGTGATGAGAATAAGATGATATGAAGAAGATGAACGAGGCAGTTAAATATGGGGATACCTTTGGCCCATCAACAGGCGTTAATGATGCGGCTAAAGCTTCGCATCCGAGGATCAAGGAGATGTCATTTATTAAAGACTTGACTTCTCGAGATTCTGTGCTCTTGGACCGCAGACGACTCAGCTTGGCCACCAAGCACGGGTGCTTAGAGACATGGACGTTTGAAGGGAGCGACATGACAAATTCCCTAGGATTGCCGCGTAGCTATAGATAGATGGTAATGTAGGAGAGAGTAAAGACGTATCAGGTCTAAGCAAGTAACCTAGTTGTCTAGCAAGTAAGCAGTAGAGAATGAAGTGAATAAATGTATGTAGGTAGGTAAATAGGTACGTAGAAGATAAGTTTTGGGCAAGACGGGAAATGGATTGATTACGTTAGGTTCAGGTTCAGGTTCAAAGTTAGGGATCTACGATGGATAGACCGCTTGGCCCTTCTACTGTAATGATGGCTAGTAATGATTAGGTAGTGCCTCCCTCACGTAGCTGTTTAGGTAGTAGTTGCTTAACGTAGGTGCATGTACCTATCAAATAGCTCCTAACGCGGGGAAGAGATGCTAAAGATGCCTATCAATACATGTTAGCTGCCCCGCCATGCTTGATACGTAAGATAAGGCTAACCTGTAGGTAGTCGCCATGTTCCGTACCCAAGCAACGTTGGAACGCGTTCAGATTACGGAATGATTTCAATAACGTACATTAACCCAAGCCTTGCCGTCCAACACGGTTCTCATATGGTGGTCTAATTGCAAGAACATTAAAATTGCAAGAACATTAAAATTACAAGAACATTAATGACCGGAAATTCGTGCCAAGAGGAGAATATTCTCAAAATATCATAACTCAAAACCTCAGATTTCAGCAATGTCGTATTTCCACTGTGAACCTGAAGGATATATTTAATTCTTAATCCATATTCATTTCTCGAAACCTATGAAATATTGTCACGAGACGGGACGGTGAGATGGACGTCAGGGAGCAGGAGCGGCTGCAAGCTCGGGTACAACGGCGTCGTTCATCTACATCGCAATCCAACTACGATATCCCGGATTCGTATGCAAATGTACCCGAGTTAGAGGAGATAGCACCCATTCCGAATCGAGATGAGCATCGCTTGCGTTCTACCCCTTCTCTTGAAGAGGGGAGGGCTCTTGAGCGTGAATATTCAAGCCACCAAGAAGCTCGGCGGAGGAGAGGTGAAGAGGCAGAAACCGAGAAACCAAAGTTAGAAGAGGTGTCGAGATTAGCAACCGAGATCTACACCATCTCGTATCTCATCCTCTTCGCGCTACTCGGCACTCTCGCTCGAGTAGGACTCCAAGCCCTGACATTTTACGCCGGGGATCCCGTAGCTTTCAGCTCCGTATGGCCCAACTTTGCAGGTAGTCTCATCCTAGGCTTTCTGGCTGAAGACCGCATGCTCTTCCGCTTCGAATGGGGCACTCCGACCTACGAGCTACAGCTCCTGCGGGCGAAACAAAACGGCGTCGACGAGGAGACGGGCGGATCTAGCTCGGATAGGGTAGCTGTAGACCTCGCTGCTGCAAAGAAGGCCCATATGGCTACCAAGAAAACTATACCGCTTTATATCGGTCTTGCTACTGGGTTTTGCGGCTCCTTCACATCCTTCTCCTCGTTTATCCGAGATATCTTCCTCGCTCTATCTAATGACCTTCTCGCACCAGACGCAGGGTCGATAACTACTCCTCGGAGTGGTGGTTACTCATTTATGGCCCTCCTCGCCGTCGTCATTACTACTATTTCTTTATCAATATCAGGCTTCTTCATCGGCGCTCAGCTCGCGTTAGCCTTAGAGCCGATCACACCTTCACTTCCCTTCAACTTCACCCGCAAATTCCTCGACCGATTCGCCGTCTTCCTCGCATGGGGTTGCTGGATCGGGGCCATCCTCCTCTCTGCGCTCCCGCCAGACCGATTCAGCAGTCCCGGAGCAGCAGAAACATGGCGCGGTCGAGTAACCTTTTCCCTGGTGTTCGCGCCGCTGGGGTGTCTGGGGCGGTTCTACGCTTCTCTCTACCTCAACGGGTATTTCCCTTCGTTCCCGCTCGGGACTTTCTCCGTCAACATATTCGGCACAGCGGTCCTTGGCATGGCGTGGGACCTCGCGCACGTTCCCCTTGGCGGTGTCATCGGCTGCCAAGTATTGCAAGGTATTGAAGATGGGTTTTGCGGCTGCTTGACTACCGTGTCTACGTGGGTAGCCGAGCTGACGGCCTTGCGGAGACGGCATGCGTATGTATATGGAGGTGTTAGTGTTGTGGTTGCGCTGGCTTGTATGATAGCTATTATGGGTGGTCTGAGATGGACTGACGGCTTTAGCACGTTGGCTTGTTTACATTGATGGGATGTGTGAAATATGAATAATATAACCTGATATATAATCAATTATCAAGATATTTGGCAGTCACAGTCTCCTTGCATGGGTAAGGAGACGGTTGGAAACGTCAAGTTCTGTTCTATTTATACTCGGTTGCTTATATACATCCATTTGCAAATTCCCTTACCTCGCACCCACTGGCGCAGCACATTTCTTTTCGAACCATCTTGCAAAATTTGTTGAAGGCACATCAACTCCTCTCCAGAACACATCAGAGCCCCATATCACGACGGGGAAGTACAGCAAGGTAGAGATAATAAAGCTTATGGCGTAAGGCCAGAGCCCTTCCTTTCCAATATATGCCCAGCAGATGTCAAGCAGCCATTTACCAATTGTTCGGTTGCCAAGCCCGTGAACAAGATAGAGCGCATAGCTTATCCGTCCAAGATATCGAGCTGGTCGAGTAAGGAACACGGATTGGACAGACGGTAAGAACGCCATTGGGCCGACGAGTAGCATGGCACCGATTGCTAACCAAAAGCGACGGCGGTATGCACCGAAGGGCCAAACATATTTCGACCAGACGTAGCCGGGAGTTTGGGTGTTGTGGTCTCGAGGATAGCCGCAAAGGAAAAGACCAAGTATCATAGTCAGTACAAGGAGTCCATTTACTAACTTCCTCGCTGATGGATTCTTAGGCTTCCTCAGCAGCACTTCCATTTCTGCTAGAGACATCCCTGAGATGAACAGAGCGAGATCCCAGCGCTTATGGCCGAAGCAATGGATCATAAGCAGGCTTTCGACAATAAGTCGAACGGCAGTCCGGGTCTTTGCAAGCCCGACGATGAGTAGAAAGACGACCATCGAGCCCCTGAACTCGACAGCAATAGACCATAGTTGAGGATTATAGAACCCAGAGAAGTCTGGCGTCCACTCCCACGGATTGGACTCCATGTCGAGGTATTCGAGATACGACGTTAGGCCATGCTCGAACGGTTTCCCATCTACTTTCTTAGGGATGTCTATCATACCGAGGTAGGCACATATGAAAGCCATCGTGCTAGACGCGAAGGCTGGGAGGAATAGGCGAATAGCCCGGCGAAAGGTAAGCGAGGTCAGTCCGGAGAACAACTCGGGATACTCCTGGCGGTGCATCCGTTGGATGAATCGGTGGGAAAGCACAAAACCGGAGACGACGAAAAATACCGATACCATAGCGGCGCCAGAGTAGATGATCCGAACGAACGGCAACAACCATAACGACGTGTTATTTTTGTATCCCCATCCAGAGTTAATAGACGGGTATGGAACGTGAGTCCAGTGAAGAATAAAAACGATCAGAGAAGCGACGCCGCGAACACCATCAAGATATTCCGTCGAGTGCGGCTTTTTTGACGCGGCATTTGACTTCTCTGATTCTTCGACTGACGATCGCTTGGCTAGAAAGCTTGGCCTCATAAAGGCGAGGCATTGCCAAAGGGCTGCCCTGAACGAAATCGGACGAAGACTCTTTCTCCATCTAGATGACCACCTCGTGCGATCCGCTTCATCTGACGGCATTTGAGGGAGAAGGGCCTCTTCATCCTCTCTAGTCGAGTGCCCGGGGAGATGCATGGTTGGCGTTACTCAACCGACAATTCACTTGCTGCCGACCTATGAATTTTGATATCGCAACCACGCCGAGAGTGTCACTGTCCCTCCTTTTAGCGAATTCACTTCCTATCGCCTATCGGGAAACGTTGAACTTCTCTTCCTACTTTAAGACGGTCTGGCTCTTGATAGGCTGCCTGCGTAGGTAGGGTATACAAACTAGTTGTATAAGCCAAGAATCTGCCACGAGATGACCTGGTCCACCACGTCCAGGGCTGTTTGATGAGAGTTGAGAGGAACAACAAGGTAAGTAAGATTGCAATATCAATCACTACCTATACTGACGCATTTCCGCAGTGGATTCTTCGGCATGCGTCTGATATGTAGTTGGGATATTAAGAACAACTGTTAGGAGCAACTGTTAAGAGCAGCTGTCAAGAACAACTCATAGCACATAAAATCAGACAACACAAGGCATTCAGTAAAATCATTGGAAAACTACGGAATAAGATTTAGGATTTAGGAGAGGAGATACGGTCCATCTACCCATCCGAAGGAATCGAATGCCAGATCCCGCATCCTTCCGTCATTCGACCATGTCGAAGGAAACGTCGCACGGGGTTCGAGCCAGAGGGCTACAAAGATAGGAGACCATCAAGATAGGAGACCCTTTCTCGACGCCATCAAAATGACGAGCCGCTTAACTGGTAGGAAGCCAAGTCGATCTTTAAGGATTAAGATTCTGCCAAGACAGAAAGCCTCCAATAGAGAGCAGCACAAGTGCCGGATCTACAAGTCGAGCCTCTGAAAAGGCTTAGCATCGCATTTCGCCAAGAGTTCCTGCAATGCACGCCAAGATATTGCCCTGCTGTTGCAACATTCAAGTTGGTGAGTTTGGCGAGTTTTTAGTGAGTCTATCCGGACTATCTTCTTTGATATTCGAACCCTCGTCTCTCAGCTATTCCGAGCTGATCACTTCTATAATAAACCTAGCCTCTGGTCGTAGACTTGCATTCGACCAACAGATAGTCTCCATCGAAATACATAATAGCCCCATTTGGAAGGTCTTTCGAAGGGGGTATCGCCGCACGCGACTTCAAACAAACGAGGTCTCGTGTGGCACGTGTGCACTTCCTTAGAAGAGAAGGAGATAATGGATGAGGCCCTTGATATCGCATCAGACTGGCCGAGCTTACATAGCAGGTGAAGTCCAGGGCTAGACTCGAGAGCAGCTCGCTGTAGGTCGTGCTAAGTGACGCAGAAATCGGTATAGGCGTCACTGCATGGTACTACTACGTAGCATCTCGCATCTCGCGTGTCTCCTAGATGCCGTGACTACTGTGTATGGTATGTATAGACCTGTGTACGGATTATGTATAGACTGATTACGGCAATTATACGCTCAGGCTTGTGACTGACGAGCTCATCTTTACTATTAGACGCTCAAGAACCCGACCTAGTCACTACCGTGGATCCCATGTGGCCCCCCCTTATCGTTACTCTCATGACGTGGGGGAAATCGCTCCTCGGCCTATTAGCTTGGCAGTTCTGGAAACCTGGACTGGAAGGCCGTTTTCTATATCCCAGAAGTTGAGATCTTCGTAATGCATCTCGGCCCCTCTCTGCTACCGTGGACCTTGCAAGTTACAACGCTCAGGTCCCAACAACTAGGTCCTTTCTAATATGATTTGCCGTCTCTGAGATTTTGATGGTGTGGATATGGCAATGGTTAGTTGCTGCTAGTTGCTTGGAGTAGGAAATATGTCGTGTGCTGTCGATCCGTTTCCTATACAGTTTCGCTCCTTGCGCTTCTTTACCTGCTTATGAGAGCTCTTCCCTCATCTATCTCACCGAGAGACGCGACCATCGTGAGACCATATCCTCCGAGCTGACAACGGGCATGACTCTTTAACGTCGAGATAGGCTTTCGCAAGGTGACGTCCCCTGTAGTTGCCGAGATCGAGCATGTGAGAAACAGCACGCAATTCACGATCGTTACGTTACGACAAACTCATGTGATTCCACTCTTTTGTTTCTGCAACTACATACCAGTCAGGGAGTTTCTCCGAGGGACGTCCTAGATACTCGAAGGGGCAAGTTCTACTATCTGTCGGGATTCGGGCAAACCCAGCAGTGAATATTAGCGGAGGTTAAGACTACAAAGCAGAAAGGAAAGCAGCAACATCTCAGGATGGTACGGGCTGGAGCGGTCTTGTCTATCCCCAGCCGGAGCCAAAGTCCTATCGACCACTCCAAAACAATGTTGTCGCCAAGAATACTACCGCGACTTTTCATAAATATCCCGAATTCTCCTATAGAACAGGGTACATTCACATCACGGCGCATGCGGAGGATAATATCTCTGGCTTGCTTCCTGGGATTCATATGGGCGGTGGTGGATAAATGGAAGACCGTTCACTCAGAAGGGCAGAGCTATACTGCCTTCCGGTTGATGCGACATGCTACCCTGGATAGCAAGGCGTCGCAATGGGTTGGCGGCGGTGCTGTCATGACATCTCAAGATAGTACAGAGAGCACAGCATCCACGTCTCGGCCGGTGAAAGAGGAGCACACGCTTCATCAAGTGCTACCCGATGTCATCCGTATATCGTTCGAAGAAGCTGTCCGGGATGTTACCCTGGATGGTTGGGAAGATGAGTGGCTTTCGGCTGGGCACTTCGACGCTGAGAAGCATGGCCCACTGGACGAGCCGAAGATCGACTTCGTCTATAACTGGGTTAACGGGTCCGACGAGGCCTTCAAGAATATTCGGCATAGCTACGAGCTAGAGTCGCCCCTTAACGACCGAGACGGAAAGTGGATATCGCAACACAGCATCAACCGATACCGCGACTGGGACGAGTTGAGATACTCGCTCCGTAGCCTCGATGTCTATGCCAAGGGGTTCGTGAACAAGATCCAGCTTCTCGTCAACTCGGTCGGCGGGTCATATCAAAAGGACGGCACAGAGATGCGCCCTCAGAGACCGACCTGGCTTAAAGACGACGACGAGACCAACCAGCACGTACAGGTTCTTAGTCACGAGTCCTTTTTTCGCGAGACAGAGAAGGAGTGTCTTCCCACCTTCAACTCCCTCTCGATCGAATCCCAAATTTACATGACTCCATCCTCGACAGACCAGCTTTTTGCGTTATCCGACGACATGTTCCTAGGGATGCCTCATGCCGCCTCCGACTTCTACTCACCTCTGTTCGGCCCGACTATGGGCTTCAAGAGCGATCAATATAACGTCAAGCACCTCGGAGGTAAAGGCCAGATACCATCATTCGGCGAAAAGCCATTCGTCTATTATACGTCGTACCTCCTCAACCATCGATTTGGTGAACGTAACCGTCACGTCCAGGCCCATTTCGGACACTCGGTCTCGAGAAGGGTGATGAAGGAGGCGATGGCCTCTTTTCCTCAGCCATCAGCAAGGGGCGCATGCGAGCGATTTCGCGGCGAGTCACGATTCCAAATATACCCTTGGTACGCCAGCTTCCACTATACCATCGAGAGGTTCAGGGAAGCTTTGCTTTGGTCCTTCATTGTTTCTCGCTCGGACAAGAACTCGGACGGATACCTCGATTGGACGGAACGCCAGCATATAATGGAGGTTGTCGAGCCGGGATGGCGTCAGCTCTCGACTAACGACGCATCCAAGCCTGCGGCGCAAAGTCCAATAAGGGAGAGGATGTACTACAAGCTTCCGCAGATCCTCCAGAAGGCAGGGCTTCAGCCGCCTCAGGCAAACGTAAACGTATTGTGGACGTCTCTTGACGGACCTGAGACGATTCGTAATGTTAAATGCAGCGATTTCAGTCTCGACAAGTGTTTGGGGGACTCGTTCGCGTCATCGCTCTCAGATTCGACCTCGCCAAACCCCGACTTTACGGCGTCCAACATCTTCTCACGCCTCTCGTATCAGCGACCAGAATGTGGCGACTGCCTGATCAAGTTTCTACTGGCGTCGCAGCCGCGAGGACTAGAACCCTTACTGCCCCCCAAGGCTACAAAGCCGCACGAGCGCAACATGGTTATCAAGGCGCTCAAGAAGTACCAGCATACCATCGTCGACACGGACGCGATGAAGTTCGTCATGGTGAAAGATGCGGAGCAGGCAGAAGCGGAATTGCTAGACCGCAACATCCGCAGAGGCAAGGAGTACGGCCAATGGTGTCTCAACGACGACGTTATGACCGAGAGCGAGGAGCAGGTCGGCCGGGTGCGAGACGTCATAGCAGAGGTCTTCGAGGACTTGTGGCCACTCAAGGGACGGTGGGAAAGGGGAAACTGAGGGACTGAGGGACCGAGGGACTGAGGGGCTGGAGAGCTCATAGTTTCTTACATATATGATGATACTAACATACGCGGGCGTGATATCTGGCTGTTTCTGGCTGTTTCTGGCTATTTCTGGCTATTCCTGTATTTTATTATTGAAAAGATACCACATATTTCTGCATTAATGTACGTATGGTAATATACCTCCATGAACAAATCTAGGCCATTTAACACGGCCAATTTAACGACCGTTGCCCATCTTCAACTGCATTAACCGTCAAGTCCACCTCCTTCGAATTATCCACGCAGAAAGAGACGAGAGATTTCGTGACACTCGGACGGTACTCAGGGCCAAAGTATAAGAATCAGCAAGTATAAGTGCAACGTAGGTATTCGAGAAGATCTCCGCGCCCTTGTCAGGGGCGACGCGTAGAGTAACACGGCACGACGTACATACGCACGACACGATGTCGGGTAACGTAACGACGTGCGACGGCGTGGAACCGAGATTCGTCACCGCGGTGAGAGGGCCGAAGCAACGTCGGCGGAAATTTCAAAGCCGAAGTTAAGTTGAAGCGAAATTATTCTGTAGAAGCTATTAACAAGCATCCGTGATAGATGGAGACTACCTACCTTAGGCATTATTTTTGCTTATTCCATATCAACTATCCGTCTGTTGCCAGAGCAGATGAGAGACACTTGGCGGATGAAGCATGTTTTGCCGAATAATGTTCCCCATAGATGCATCCCCTCCGGGCTGTATGGTCCAAGCCAAGGAAAGGGGCTATGGAGATAGATGAATAGTCCAACGTTGCTGGACGCATTAGATATACGTTAACTACTACAAATATAGATAGATGTATCTGGGGGGTTCACGATACCCTATAACTAGACATTATATACAGACATTATATAGACGGTGAGGAGAATCAAGCAGCAACAACACGAAGAACAAATCAATAGTAATAGTAAAACAACGCAAGTAGTCTGATTGCTAGTATATACCCGGACTCAAGTATGTTCTAGGTTAGATGCTTTATATCCCGCTAAGATACGCTCAAATGCTAAAATCTCAAAAGCAAAGGCCATCGTTACTCGACAACCGAATCTCACAGGGCCACGGCTGCCCAGAATCCAACCGCAACCAACCCCAGACACCACTCGACTCGACTGCGGGAACTTGACGAATCTGTTGTTGTTGTCGTCGTCGTCGTTGTTGTTGTTGCCGAGTCGCCCACCTGCGCGGTCGTGCTTGCGCCAGGAGAACTAAGTCCAGACGGTTTTGTCGTGCTGCCGGTCGTTTTCGACGGGGCCGAGGAAGAAGCGGATGGCGATGGCGATGACGAGGAGGAAGAAGTTTTGGAAGTTGGTAAGTCGCAGTCGCCTTTAACAGTGGACATGTCCGTCTCCTTCGTGATCTCTATCTCGTTCGTGCCACAGTTCACGTATTGAGCTAGGTGAATGGCGTTGTTTGTCTGGTCGAAAACGGCTGGATGAACAGTTAGTATATATATATATACATTTTTTAACCTACTAATATAAGACGACCGCTCTTCGTATTTGTTATGAGACTCACCGTAAGCAGAGCGGAGCATGGTGTCGCCGAGGAGGATGAAGTCGTCGCTCGGCATGATACCCAGGTAACATTGCGTGGTGAAGGCGTTCTGGATCTCCCTGACGACCTCGTTATAGGGCACCTTTATCGTAACACCGCCAAAGGCAAAGTTCAGAGTGCCCGGCAGGTCGTTGAGGGCGCAGTCGACGGGGTAGAGACCGTTGGCATTCGTAGCCTCGGCGCCGAAGTCTGCCGCGATGCTGTTTGCCAGCGTCGTTGGTAGGAGGGTGAGAGTGGCACCGCTGTCTAGGAAAACAGCCATGGTGTTGTTCACGTATTCCTTCTTCGCGCCGCTCGGGGGCGTTAGGCTTAGGGAGGTCATGTTGACCCAGTACCTTGGCACTTTGTCCGGAGATTCTGCCGCGGGAACGATAGGCAAGGTCTGCAGAGTACCCGCAAACTTGCCCGTGTCTATCCCGCCGAAGATGATGACTCCTTCTTGCTCCTCCTTGCCGCCGAGAGCTAGGCTGAACGCCTTGGTATCTGTTACCCCTTGGTCCGCTAACTCGTCTACGAAGTTCTTGTAACGCGTGGTGACGTTTATTCCGTGACCTATTCCCAGAATGCCGGCAAACTCGTCATCAGTCTCCGTGGCAACTCCGAACTGGATCCCCTTCAGTTTCGCATCTGGTCCAAAATCAGTTTTACGGGCCTCATTATGATACGATATACCCGAACGAGCAACTCACCCGTGCCTGTGAGGCCAATGTCATCCGAGAAATATTGGATATTAGCGGCGCCGATGCCATACCGCAGCGTCTTCGTGCCGGCTAGCTGAGTTGCGGTAGACGAAGACGACGAGTTATAATGGCCTACTGCCTGGCAAAATCTAACATCCGCAGAGCCTGCAAGATCGGAACAATCGGGATTTACCCAGAGCTCGAACGAGCCGGTATCTAGTTGGACATAGACTTGCTGCGGCGGCGTGCCGATGTCCACTTGAATAACAACTTAGCAAGAGAAACAGCACGTAAAGGCGAACGAGGGGTTACAAACGTGAGGCGTAGTATGCTACATCTGATCTGTTGGCTAGGGGTACAGTAGTTATAGCCCGCTTATCCCCAAAGTCAGCGAATACATCTTTATTCGTAGAATGTATGACAGGTAGCTTGACATAACGGCTACTGCGGCGTTCAATAGTAGATGCTTGGCAATAAGCTCCTACAATTAAGTCAAGGAGGAGGAAGAGCCGAGCTGCCATCTCTAGCACAATCAGATATTACACGCGAGTTCTCAGCATGAAACGACCACAGCTTTTTTTTTTTTTTAAAAAAAAAAAAAACACGAAAGAGACCTGGCGAGGTTTTTTCTAAACTTCGCCTTTTTGAACTTGTCAAAATCCGACTGGTGGTCGTCGGCTCAGCAGCTACTTGTCAACCTGCGCCTGTATATGTTCTGTTCTGCTTATACGAGTAGAACAGGCGAATGAGCAAATGAGCGAATCCTTCGAGGGTATCCGAATAAGGCAAAGAACGGCACACGGGAGAAAAAAAAATGGTAACAAACGAGCGCGAAACCAGTCGGCGGACCCGGGAAATCGGTATTAATATGTAAAGAAAGAAAGGAAAAAAAAATACAGGAAAATGCAAGAGAATGCTACCAAGAGCCGACCGGTCGGACACCAAGAAAGGGACGGGAAATGCAATGCCGTAATGAAGGGGGAAAAAAACAACAAGGCAGACTAAGAGAATGAGATGAAGGTCACAAGAATCGACGGTGAAGTTCAATTGGAGAATATCGCCAGCACCGAAGACCCCGGCTTGCTTGGAAGGTAGGAAGGTAAGCTGTTCTTAGTGCCGAGATCCTCAAATAGCATAGCGCAGGGGCTACGGCGTGGGTGTTTTGCGGCTTGCGGCTCGCGGCTCTGAGTATGGGTATGAGTATGGGTATGGATATGGATATGGGTATGGATATGGGCCAATAAGTGAGGTCGAACCACCTTGGCCATGTTGGAGCTGTGTCTGTTTTATTAGCAGGGGGCGTTTCAGCGTTCTATTCGACTACCTACCTACCTACATAGGTTACCTGCCTACCTACCTTATGTAGGTAATCCTGAAGGGATCTTCCCTCGGTGTAGGGCTGAAGAGAAGGTGTTATTTGTTTATTCATAGAACATTGCGAATCAAGCCTTGATTCGTATGTATGTATGTATGTACCCATGCATGAAGAGACGCGTCTGGTGGCGTGTGCTCAAAGTCTAACGAGTTCGTCGACGATCGACGATGTAGGGTGTGTATACCTACCTATGTATAGTCAAAGGCTGCTATTAGACCAAAGCCCCGGGTTTCGTCTATGCATGAAATCAAATAGAAACTCTACGCCGTCTCAGTAGCCTACCTACCTACCTAGGTACCTATTATACTGTAAGCTACCTAGTGTACCTGGGTAGGTAAAAGCCAAGGGGGTAGCATAAGCCATGAGGAGTTGCCAAGGACTTGAATTATGAATACGGTAATTTTTATCCATTTTACGTTAGTCCGATTGCTCTTTTTCTGTAACCCTTCTCCTGTATCATGTTCTCAAAATGCTCTTCGGGATAAATAGATAAGTCAATGATTTCAATGTGAAGATAGAAAAGTGTTTAAGTCGATCGTTTCTCCTTATAATAAACTCTTTTTTTTTTTTTTTTGTATTTTCTGTATTTTCATATATATCATACATATAAACATCGTTCGCCGACTTATCCAGGCTTACCGTAATGCCAATGCTTGACCTGTCACACGTGTTCGACGCCGTGGCTTGGCCCGTTTGTCCCGTTTGTCTCAGCAATATTCACCTTGTCTCAGACAGGCGACAGGCAGAGCCAGCCCGCTTCCTACGCTGCGCTGCGATCGCTGTAAAACCACCGATACGATCCCCTACTAGGTTAATACACTATATCTCCTCCCCGAACGCGGCCTTGCAGGTCTCCCGGTTCATTCTTCATTGGTCTTTCTCTTTTTCCGTGCGCGGACTGCAGACGATAATAATGTAGACCGGGCCGAAGGTCATAACTAGCCGTTGCGCAACGTTTTGCATGCCCTCCTATCGCCGTCGGATCACTCTATTATATATCCTTGTATCGCCTTCTCTACTCCTGTATACGCCACCGCTTATATCGTGGATAAACTTTGGTAGATATAGGGTAAGCCAATATTTATTCCAAAACTGACAGGCTAACCTTGCAAATTACTACGAAATGCTCACGCAACCAACGGATAGCCTCTCATCGTCTTTACCTTTGGCGGTGTTATTTATTCCCAATAGCATTCCATTCTGGTTAGCCCCCCAGGACTTCTTTATATATCTTATCAATCCCTCTTTCTCATCTTCTCTACGTCTTAGTGAGGAATACTACTAGAATAAACTTGCCACTCCCTTCTAATTATAATTGCCTGCTTCGGTATGTTAGAAGCACATATTTATCTGTATAGTAGTGCAGCAGTGTTGTATCCTGAGCAGTATCCCAGCTTCTCGTCAACTTGGTTGGTTGGGACTACTCTTAGCTGAGCGCGTATATGCTGTTGCCTTCTAGGCTTATGGCATTAGATATTTTATTACGGCCTTATGCACAACTTACCTAGATAGGTATTACTCGTTTATGGTGGCGTGGTACTACATCAGTAAGCTTCAAGAAGTCTATGAGAAAAGTTCAGGGGTATCCGGCCTATAATGCTTATAGCCGTATATATAGAATATGCGAAAATGGGCGTTCTTCAGCAGCACTGCATTCCATAAATCTTTTTAATATTATATGGTACAATAACTTAGCTCATATTGCCATCAGTGCTAAAGACGACAGTTCTTATAGAAGACTGGGAGCAGATAGGCTAATTATTACACATGCTGCTCAGCTTCATATCTATTATCCAGCATCTGCTGAATCGAGTAAAGCTCCGGCGTTGGGGAATGCACCCTGATATCCCTGATATCCGCTAACACCTAACACATTCACTTATTCTGCCACTATGCCACTCTGCCGCTCTGCCTTGTCAGGCTGCTAACCTAGTATCTCCCGCATTTTAGGTACGTCTGTCACATCCCCGAGAATTTTTAATATTGAAAAAGGCTACGCAGACGCAGACGCAGACGCAGACTCAGACTCAGACGCATACGCATACGCATACCGCAACTACGCTAGTCTATCTAGGAATGGAAGCATGCAAGGTTCTCAATTGTCACTCACAATACCCCCTGAACCTGCTGACAGCAGCGAGTCCTTTCCGACAAATCGACGATTAAGATCAATTTTGAATAACAGTTGCCTAAAAAGGTTGGGTGAATATTATAATAGCTTTATCGTGTTTGCTAGTGCTAGTTATTATGGATTCGGGCTTCAGGTTTTTGTCCTTGGCCTATTCAGCCTCAGCCGTCTTATAAGGAAGGGAGGTATAAAGGAATGGCCTGAAGTTCGATTTCGACAAGTCATTCTTTCCCTCTCCTATCAGTGGGCCAACCTAAACTCCTATAAGAACATCATTATTCTTGATCGGAGAAGAGACGTATAGAGAGGTATTAATCCAGACTGGGGCCGATTCCCGGAGACCATATAATCAAGTAGTCCCACCTCTAACTAGCATCGACTCTGGGCTAGCGGAATCCTCTCTAACTGCTGGGCAACTTGAAAATAACAGTATTGTGCTTACTCTATCCAACTATACACACCATACATACCATACCATACCATACCATACCATATATTAATACAAATGGGCGACATGAAAGCATTCTCGGGGGTTGCGCCACCTACGCCTACTCCCTTTACCTCATCAGACTCGCTGGCCACCTTCAAGTTCCCGTTGAAGGCATATCTACAAGAACACCCAGAGTTTAACTCGATAGCTGTCGGTGCCGTCGTCTTCAACGACGACGGAAAATTACTCATTGTGCAGAGAGCAGCACATGACTCGTTCCCGACGCTGTGGGAGATACCGGGAGGGGCTTGCGACTACGAAGACGAGTCTCTGTTGCATGCTGTGGCGCGCGAGCTATGGGAGGAGAGTGGACTACGCGCCAAGTCCATTATCACCCTCGTCGGCGAAGGTCTTCCTATCCCCTACCGGGGTAACCGATGCATGTGTAAATACTCCTTTTTGACCGAGGTGGAACATCATGATGTCAAGTTGGATCCTAATGAGCATCAGGCATTCTTATGGGTCACCGAGGAGGAGGCTAGGGCTGGCAAGTGTGGTCATGTTGAATTTAAGTACACGACTAAGGAGCAACAACTTACAGTTTGCGAGGCTTTCAGGTTGAGGAACGATAGACAGGCTCAAGCGAATTAGAGCCTGGAGTCCTGGGCTCTCGCGTGGTTAGATTCCTAGACGGGCAAGAGACTAGATCTGCTGGCGCAGCTACTTGTAGCTGCCTGCATCGTACATAAGCATATATAAGCCAATTATCGTAAGGCGACATACGTGGATGTTATTGCTTTGATCATTATCTGGAGTGTTAGTCTAAGCCGTGATTATAAGGGATAGGCTGGAGGCTTAGATGGCATGTGAATTCTTAATACCCGTTTGCGATGCGGTAGACGAATCATTCCACTTGCTGAACATGGTGCTGTTAATATCTTTGCTGCTTTCTAGAGCTTGCCGACATAGGTAGGTAGTCTAAAGAACGATGCCTCTTGGCATATTACCGTTACGGACTGACGCGCATGAAGAATCTGTATCGTGCGCCACGTTGAATACCCATGTTCCGAGCAGACGAGATCAGGCAGTAATAAAAAGTCAGAAGACCCTTAATATGTACCTGTATGGTATGTATAGTATGTATAGTATGTATAGTATGTAGTATACTAAATGCATGTCTCTCGTCTTCGTATGGACATGCCTTATAACATTAGGGTTGTTATAGACGTGATACCGAGGATGCAATTCCAGATTCCAGACTCCAGACTGCGGTGATACCCGATGGTCTAGACTTGGTCTGGTAGAGGCATATGACTTGAGTCGGGATATGAATGGCATATGAAAGGCTGCAATGGTTAAGTATGAGCACACACCAACTCAGGCTTGTTACGCATGAATATGTGCTCATACGCATATGTAGAGACAGCTCAGATTGTTTACCTACCTAGGTACCCAACTTAAGGCATATAATGTGACAAGGCTTCGGCAAGGCTTCGGCATGTTGAAAATTAGATTGTAAGGTGAAAAAGAGGGAAAAGACTTAGACAGCATAAGACCTGAAATCTTAGTAAGGTCCAACTACCTCCTCATGTAGCAGGTACTACACATACCTAACCTACATGTATGCTAGAAACTTTATCTGCTACTGCTGTACGATGGATATAAGTAATCAAATCATGTGATCACATAGATGACTAAACAACAAAAGAGGTAGAGTGGGGTTTAGCCTCGCCTAAGCAGCTCCAGAATGGGAATGGATCCTTGGCATTTTCGGGCGCCCGGGGCAAACAATTCCAAGCTTCGGAAGCAGTCCTCAAATCAGACCATTCGCAAATCCCTCTTTTCTAAACAACCTTTTACAATTAACAAAACGTCACCGATCCCGACCTCAACCCGCCACCACCCACCACCACCCACTACCTACCCCTTGACCTCCAATTGCCGCCGCCATGTTTTTGCAACGCTCTGCCGTAGCCGTGGCACGCCGCGCCGTTGTGTCTCCCGTTGCCAGACGAAGTTTTGCAGTCTCGGCCATCCGCCGTAAGAATACCTTCGCCGAATTGCGCCCGAACATGCATCGTACGATGCGACCATCGCCGTCAACATAACTGACTATATACTTTCAGGAGATGCAAAGAACGTCGAGCCTCATGCTAGCGTTGGTCAGAAGATAAAGACCTTCAACGGTACGGCTTATCTAGCCTCAATTGAGCTATTCGGCATGGAGGGGAAGCTTTATTGACTTGGGCATCATGCAATTATAGAAATCAAGTCCGAGGAAGACCTATTCGGACCTGGTGCCGCCCCCGGTACCGTCCCTACCGATCTCGACCAGTCCACAGGTCTGGAGCGATTGGAAATTCTTGGAAAGATGGAGGGCGTGGATATCTTCGATATGCGACCTCTTGATGCATCGCGAAAAGGTATGGGACTGCACTAAATCTATTAACTAGATAACTACGAAAAGAGACATAATTTTGGGCTGACAGTGCACCTTAGGAACTCTCGATAACCCTATCCTAGTCAAGTCTGCTGGTGACGAGCAGTACGCTGGCTGCACTGGCTACCCCGCCGATTCTCACATTGTCACCTGGCTTGGCGTACGTCTTCCTAGATTTGAAGCCCGGATTTAAAACTACAGTTCTCCTTGATGGGTAAATATGATCCTAATAATAGCTTAACTAATGCGCATATAGATGTCCCGCGAGCGACCCGTCGAGCGATGCCCCGAGTGTGGCAGTGTCTACAAGATGGAATATGTCGGGCCTCAGGATGACGGCCACGGACACGGCCACGATCACCACGGCTACGAGGAGCCTAAGACCTTCGCTAACTTCGTCAAGCCTAACTACTGGTGATCGTATTTTATGACGTAAAAGTCGGAACGGGGTTATAGCTGCATAGGAAGCATAGGAGAAGGTGGCGGCTGTAGAATTGTATATTGCTGAAGGCTGTATAGAAATCGATTAACTTTGCAGCAACTACATGTCATGCATATGTTGTGGTTCTTGGTTTCGTTCCCTTGCCGATTAGAGCTTGCATAATATGGTTCGTGATAGAATTGTGACTTGTTACTTGTGACGTTTCGAACGTATGACGTCGGGTATAAACCTATCTCTATCTATCCGTACTTGGGTTATGCCTGCTTATTTCATCATTTATATCTTATATTTCCTTGGTGATATTGATGAAAATGAGACATGGGAAAGTGGAGAAAATCATATGCTTTTTATTTTATTTTATATTTTATATTTTATTTTATTACATATTGATAGAATGCTCAAGATTGGATCGCTCGGATTGAATACTACGAATGGAAATCACAGAAATCATAGAAATCTATTCAAAGTACATGTATATGCGGGAGTCCGTATGTAAGGTACCTGTACGTATCTTGTTCGTGAAACCTCGGATAGCGGAATCCCCTTGACACGGCCTAGCAGGGGTAGTAGTATAATCCTGTCCAATCGAGTAATCAGTGTGTAAATTGTACACGTATGTAACGGGCTAATAAGTTAGGCTACTGGAGATTGAAAATGAAGGTGAATGCCTCTAATTATAAATTATACATACTACATGTATATAGTAGTAATAAGAACAAATAAGAACGCCAAGCCTCATAGATTACCTAGATCGGATACGGGAGTACGGAGTATGCAATGGCCGAATGAATAGATGATGATGCCAGCTTTGGCTTTGGCTTTGGCTTTGGCTATGGCTATGGCTATGGTACTCGTAAGACTACCTACCTACATACCTACATAGTACACCTCTATTTATATCATTCTATGTATGCAACTCTCAGCGAGCACATCCTCCCTCGCTCCAAATCCTACTCATGAAAAGGTGCATATCGTGTATTGTATACGTGTAATATGTATTGTATATATGTGTGGCATGAATGGATGGATGATGCCTACCTACTCCTTCATGCGATATTGTGGCTTTGTAAGTCTAAGCCCGAGGGGGGGGAAAGGGATAGAAAAGAAAATATATCATGTATGTATCTATAATGATCGGGTAATCAAAACGTTATGAGGCCACCGGCTAGACAGCGATGGCCAGCGTAATTTAACATTCGACCAACTTGTATTGGCGAACTATAGGAGGAGGATGTTAGATGTACCGGCTACGAATCGGCTTAGTATACTACACCCCCAATCGGGTGCATAACGCGACGGCGTATTAATATTGGACCGTCTATTAAACATGATAAGATGGAAAAGTAACCCACCCCTTGCCCAAAATCTCCGTAGCCCATACGTCCCATACTATGTCCCATACTATGTAGGTCAAAAAACGAGATGGAAAAAAAAGGAGAGAGAAAAGAGAAGAAGCATTAATAAATTCCTTCTTCGTCCTACCTCAACTACCAATTGCAACATATCGTGCTGTCCCACGAGACGCATGTACTCCGTGCCAACGGGATTGCACGTACTTTGTGTAAGAGGCGCCAATAAGCATGTCAAAATTCGATAATACATAATACCTAGTGCTCACCCAACCCTTCTAACCCTTCTAACCCTTCCAACCCTTCCTAATCCTCCCTTCAAGAATCATGCATATATAGTCAACCTAGGTCTGACTATCTCCAATTTGACCAAGCCAACGTGAGGCCTTGGATGGATGACATGATATGACGATACGATAGTCCCTGTCTTATATGTAGGCTAGCAAGGCTTCTTTAGTCAAAAGTCACTTATAATAGTGCACGGAGGTAGGCACCAATTTGCCAACGTAATAGTACGCATCAATCTATTCGCCAGATCGTAGCCAGTATACGAATCGTATACGTAGCTCCGTAGCTTGTGGCTCATAGCTCGTATAGTATAATACCCTAACCTACCTAACTTAACCTCGGCTGGTAGGCAAGGTAGTATGGTATGTAGTATGTATAAATATGAGGGTAGTATGGAGGCATGTAGCTATATATGTAGGTACCTGCATATAGGTACATACGTACCAATGCATCCATACATGTGCAATGTGTAATGTGTGATGTATAATGTATAATGTATAATGTATAATGTATAATGTATAATGTATAATGTATAATGTATAATGTGTGATGTGGATTACCTATCATCGATGTGCGATACGATACGATGCGATGCGATTTGCGATGTGCGTATACATATACATATGATAATATACTCGACCGAGTACATACATACATAGCATACGCGTGGGGAGGTTGTTTGTTTAATGTTCCAAGGTTCCTTGGTTCCCTATGCACACCCATGGCCCCGAGTCTAATAATGCCAATAATGCTAATAATGCATGGGTGAGCTTCTACCTAAAACGTCAGAGAAAAAAAGATAGTGTAATACCGTACCAATAATAAGTCGGCGCGTTGCCGCCTATCGCATTTCCCCTTACCTATAAACGTAATGTACTTCCCTAAGAAGGCGAAAAAAAGAAAGCTTTTTTTTTCTTAACATGTTGAAAGAATTGTAGACAGAGAAGAAAGCAACAGATGACATCCCTGTTCTCTCTGTTACTAAAAAAAAAAGTTTGCTACGGTTAAAAGGGATTATCTTATTAGCGATGTTTTGCAACACGGTAATCTAGAATAGGATTAGAAGATTAAAATCACGAGAATCTTTCATGTTTAAAACGTCGGTCCATACCTACATAAGGGATAAATGACCTCAATGTATACGTATACATACCGGTAGTAAGGGCAGGTAGTAGTAAGGTAAGAGGTATATCCCGTATGTATACGTACCTAGCTACTTATAGCAAGGTAGATATACATTATACCTACCTAGGTAGGTAGGTATTCGAGAGTCACAACCTATTACCAACATCCAACCTGACAAGAAACCTTCTAATGTAGGGAGTGCAAACTTACTGCTACATTTATTTATTTTTCTCTTTCACTTTTTCTAATTCTAGTTATTCCCAATCAAACCTTTCCGCGCTCCTTTCAGGATTTTTTGTCCTCCCTCGAGTCAGTCGCCTGCACACACACGCCCACCACTCTCTCTCTCTCTCTTACACCCGAGTCCTAGATAGCCGGTCTAAACAAATATTAGAGACCTTGGCGTTTACATCTACATATGGCCATCGGTGTTAGTGGATAGTGGATAGTGGATAGCGGGTAGCATATGCCAATAACCCCCATGCCTCCCTATATGATTCCTATATGATTGCGCATCCTACTTGTTGATTTTCTTCCTCGTTGCCTTCTTCCAGCTACACTCGGCCACAACCCTGCCAAGCCCCATCTACAGACCCATCGCCAGACCCATCGCCCCGGCGCGTTCCCCAACGCGCATCAGCAGGCCGGCATACATGCATACATACATAGACCAGCATTAAGCTAACATCGTCGTCATCGCCATTATTTAAACCCCGAGTTCCAACACGGCGCAGCAAGCGCAAAACGGCTACTAAGAGAAAGAGATACGCCTCGACGACTTAGACAGGGGAGAGGAAAACATCGCGAACTAACAAAACATCACCCACCGCCGAGAAACTCCGTCATTCCACCCAGAGAAGTTTTCTACACTGCCGGGTCCCTGTTAAATGGGAGCCGCATCGACAGGCCTTGTCGAAACGGGATCCATACTTGGAGAGATCGACTGCACCCAACTCCAACTATTGCAACTATTGGATTGGATCGGGTAACTAATAAGACTATTCGATTCGTCTGCTACACGAATTCCTAATTAAACACAGTCACCCTTTTTTTTTTTCTTCGGTACTAACGATCGATCCATATCCACCGCCCACTATTATTATTGATCGGTCAAGTCGGTATAACTCCCAAAGTAGGTAAAATGGAATAGTTACTCGCTTTTACATTCCCTCTTTCCTCTTTTACTCTACCACTATAACCTTTTTTTATTTTTTATTTTTTATTTTATTTTTATTTTTATTTTTTATTTTTTGTCTATCCTTTATCTTTTATCTTATACTATTTCTCTAATTGTTCCCCTACTGCCCCGTCCAAGATACCTTAGAGATACCCGAGGTACCTTGCTTCCGTGGTGTCTAAACATAGTAGTATGCTTGCACTAGTGCTATCGTGTTTTTTGCACCAGCCTTGTTCTTGTTCTTGTTCTTGTCTATCTACATTGCATCCCTAAATAGGATAGACTACTAGAGTTGGTGTTACTTGCTGACCCTTTTTCAAGAAGAAATAATAATTTCCCAACTGCGAGCGCAAAGAGGGCGAGTGTTCCTAACCTAGCGTATTAACGGGAAGTATCCACGATACAAGAAGAGAGAGACAGAGTCAGAGGTCAGAGACGGAAGTGCCTTTGATGATTGATTCGATTAGTCACTTTTGAGGCCGGTCATCAATAATTTCCTAATCTAATGCTCCATCTTACGGGTGCTTCTATAGGTAAGTATTTTATTATATCTCATCAAACACGTATGTATATCAGTCACGTTCACTTCCTGCATATTATTTTCCCCCTTTTCTTTATTTGGCGTCTCAAGCCCACCATCGTCCATCGTCTATCGTCTATCGTCTATCATCCTTACCTATTACATACATCAGGTACATCATCATTAATAGGATAGTGTGCCTACCTGACCTATCTTACACACCCCCCTACATATATACATACATACATATATACATATACATATACATAGCAGGTATACATACACTCATACACTCATACACGTACATATTGTTCCATATTCTTCTGCTATTCGTCCGGGTTACCTAGTCCACCACCCCTCCTATTCGACGATTTCGATGACAGCTGTCGTAGGTTGATTTTTCCCGAGCAACTGCATAGAAATCCTCATGGATGGCAACCAAAACTCCTTGAGTAACCAACATTAAGTTACCTCTCTCGTCTCTCGTACAACCCGTCTTCCTCTACACGTCACGCTAATAATAATAATAATAATAATTAATAATAATCATACGCTACCTCTCATACTCATCAATAACATTACACGTTAGGTCTGACAAACATTTCTCCTCTAGGCCTCTTTACCCATCTATCCCATCTATTTCCACAGCTGCGCATAATACCTACCTGAGGTATCGCTACATTTGTTTCCATATTTTCTCAGTTCTCAGACACGATTCTCTCGTTGTTTAGAGCATGAGCACGCGCAGACAAGAAGAGGCCAAGCAACACAACGCGACAATACTTATTCTTCCATGAGTCAATTAACTTAGTCAACGACCTTGTAAGCATTGGACATACGCTCTAGTCATAGGAGAGTACCGTCTTTACCGGCAAGTACCTATCCATCTCCCTTTTAACTCTTTGCCCCATCGTACCCCTGTCTATTATATTCTATCCATCTATATATCACAATGCAATCCGCGTCTCCACAACTACTATACCCATTACCATACCATATTATACGCACCTTACCTTCGCATCGTTTTTTGGTTATTTCCTTCTCTTTTCTCTCTTCTCTCTTCTCTCGTCATCATTGACCTACGTTTCAGTTTATACTGGAAATTAATATGATGAAGGAACCCTAAATGCTTCATCACACTGTATCACCCTTGCACTTATAATTCATCATCACATTATCGCCAACAATATCGCCAACAGCACTTTCCTACCGCTCTATACTCTGTCTTATCTCGCACCTGACGACACGAAGAATTTTATTGGTGCATGCGGATTGCATAAGGTCGCTGACGACTTAATATTCTTAGATCTGCTAACACATGTTACATAGCAAGTGAACGTTCTGCTGGTGATCGGGTGGATGGATGCGCGTCAAGTCGGCACCATGTCTGCTAAGAAGGAATCTTTCGGAACACATTCGGAGGACTGGGATGAAGCAGAAAAGAATCATCGGGAAATCACCAAGAGCGCGCGAGAGAAAGAGGATGTGAGAATTCAGCAGGAATATCGTGTCCATGCGGACCAACTAAGAGCTCAGCTTATCCAGCTGTACGACAGAAAGTCTCAACTTCAAGACGAATTGCAAGCTATCGAAGGCGATATTGAGCACCATGAAAAGCAGCAGGAGCGACTGGCCAACGAATTCGACGACAACGAAGCTCGTCTTGCGTCTCGGCGTAAAGCAGAAGACCAAGCGCGAGAATTATTCTTTGCTCGCAATCGTGAAGATGCGGCATCTAAGGAGAATGTGCGACCTAAGAGCAGTAACGGGACTCGTCGTCAGCCCAGTCGTGATATGCAACCGCTGGCTAATGGCGCGGCTGGTTGGACTAGCATTAACGGTTCACGGCGCCGCGGTCGTCGCGAAGAGGATGAACCTCCTGCGGACCCTGGTAACCTTCTAAGCAGCGTCTACCATAATCCCGTGGAAGAATCCGACTCCCTCAATGGCAGGTCTATGCCTCTACGTAGCAACAACCGCGGCCGACCCAGCCTGACCTCAAATGGCGTGACTACAGAGACTAATGCAGATACCCCCGAAAGTTATCTAGTTAATCGGGTAAAGGATAGGCCTCTTAAGCCTAAGCAGCGACACAGCCTACCTAGCCTTCCAGCAACAGCCCGCTCGCCCAGTGGTAGACCGCGTAAGTTTCCCTTCGGTTGTTGTTTTCGTTAGTCTTGCTGATGATGTTCTTCTAGCTATCCCTGAGCTTTCCAACGAGGTTCAAACAAAACCCTCGTCTGGTCGAAGATCGTTGCCAAGCGCTAAGGGTTCAGTACCCCCGACGGAAAGATCAACGCCAGCGCCTATCAAAGCTCAAGAAATTACCCGTGAGAGGCTGGTGCTTCAGGATGATGGAAAAGTTATGATCGAGCCTCCGATGTATGCCGGCATCCCTCTAGAGCGGATTGATAAGGACCATCCGTACTGGGACCCGGAGTGGGAGCCGCTGGAAGCCATTATGCAACCACAACTGGACAAATGGAAAGAGAGGCTGGATCAGCTCAGAAGAGATACTCAGTCTATACGCCACACGGTTTTTCTTGCCAACCGCCAAGTTAACAGAGGCCAGTCCGTCGTTAATTTCCTCAGAGATGGGGAGTGGCACCCGTACCAGTTTGTGGGCAAGGATATGATGAACAAGTTCTACAAGACATTCATCCACTACGACACGATGTTCCGCCTGGTAAACGTGCACGAAGAGCTGAAAAAATTCGACCTCGATATGACCCCTCTCGAATGGTTACGGCAACGGATGTATGACATCGCAGAGGCGCAGGGAGACAAATTCAACTTGTCTAAGACGACCCACGGCTTGTATCACGATGCCAGCCTAAAGCTTTTGAGAGAAAAGCACGGCTTCGGCAACATCGGACGGCCTTCAGGTTACAAGCTCAGAGAGAAAGATCCGGAAAAGGCGGCAGCCAAGAAGATTAAGCAGGAGTTGACCGGTTCGGTGAGACGCAAGGCTCGCCGATCGATTGGACAGGTTGACCCGGATGACAAGCCTAGCGTTGAAGACATGCAGAAGGGATCCGAGCAGCCGCAAGAAGTCTTGGAGCCTGTGACGCCGCGCTTGCAAAAGCGTCAGCGCCTGGAACCGGCGCCTCTGGCTCTGGCTCCGCTTCCACCTCCACCTCCACCTCCTGTGCCAGAGCCTGAAGAAGACGACCTCGAATATAGCGGCTGGACGTCGACGGATTCTTTCTCTGCCGGGCGAATCATGCATATGGACTGGCGCGTATACCAGATCAAGACTCACGACTTGACCACGAGCACCGAAGTAACCCAATACTGGACTTGGAAGCCGGAGAAGGGCTTGTTCGAACACCAAGTGCTGCGAGACGTCCATCCCAAGGTGACGTGGGGATTCTACCAAAAGCCTATCAATTTTGATCTGGCGGTAGAAGAGATCAAAGAGATACAGTACGCACCAGACAGCCAAAAGGTGCTAGTGTCCGTCTCGGACGAGAAGCGCGGCTGCGTCCTAGCCTACTTCAAGAGGGAGCGAACCAAGAAGCGATTCTTGGCCTTTGCTAAGAGAAAGGGCATTAAGCTCGTAAAGGGCACCGGGTAAGCAACTCGACGCACGCGGGGATAATGTAAATCGTTCTATAAGGGGCTATCGCTAACAGACCATTTTGTAGTGCGCAACTCGAGAACTCGTGGAATACGATGGAGTCTAGGACGATGCCGACCGAGGATTCAGATACATAGACGGCATTCAATTGCTCTCATATTGTCTCTATTCCCACCCTTCGTTGATATCTCTCTCTTTTTTTTTATTGTTACATGTATAGATTTGGCCTTGCGGCATTCTACGAACGTCAGCATCATCTGTTGACGGCGCGAAGGGATTTAATACAGGACCACCGCAAGGAAACCGGAGGCTTTTCATCGACATCGACATCGTCATCGTCATCGTCGTCATTTTTCTCGTTTCGGTAGCAGCATCAATTGTTTGTATTTTTGTGTTTCTCTTTTATTTTTATTTTTATTTTTTTAATCTCCTCTCGGCATCAGCATGGATGAACTTGGCAGGGCGGGAAAATTGGCCGGACGAACGGATGGACAAAAGGGTGGATAAGGTGTGGAACGCGCGCGCGTCAAATTAAGGCGATGCTGGCTAATAACGAGATCCCAAAGTATTAAGAGAGAGAGAGAGAAAGAAAGAGAGAAAAAGAGAGAGGGACATAGAGAAGGGGGTTTAGTGGCGACACTCCCTTCTGCTATTTACACTTACTCGCCCTGTATTTTTGCACGGGCATTTGGGTCTGATCTCGCCCACTCCGATGCGTATCTGCATTATCTTTTTTGTTTTTGTCTTTTCCCCTTTTTTTGTTTTCCATCCTCTAATGACGAGATTGTACACTACTCTCACGTATGTACTGCATAGATAGGTTGGCCACGACCAGGAGACACGGCGAAAAGGGGCATAGGCAAATGGACTCCGCGTTGTGTTTTTTATTATTATTTTTTTTATTCGGCCCCCTCCAATTGGCTTCTCTACTTGTACCAAAATTACTTGCTACATATTTCTCGACTTGTGAAAATGAGAACGTACAAAAAAAAAAAAGCATTAATATAAAAATAGCTTTTTTTTGGTTTGGTTTGGTTTGTGGTTTGGTTTGCTTGATAAACGAAGCTGATTCGAAGAGACGAGCCGTGAAGGATCTGTAAGTGCATGATATATAAGTAAGGGATAGTGAGTGAGTGGCATTAGGATGCGATGCAATACGATGCAATACGATGCAATACGCAGGAGGATTCGGTAAGAAAACAAAAAAGAAAGCCCCACACGTTCCCGACGTTCTGGCAATAGGCATGTATAATGTGGGCAATCCCTGTATCCCTGTGAAATATGTGATGCGGTACCTACCTATGTATGTATGTATATATGTATGTATGTAGGCCATACATACATACAATAGCGGCAGATCCGTCCATGTACCCTCGTCCTCGTCCTCGTGGCAACATTTGCGAGAAAAAGGGGTGCGACGGGCGCGGCCCCCAAAAATTAGTATGTACATACATATGAAGGATGAACGATGGGCGCGGCCTGGCCGGCGACCCTGATTAACATATTTTCTGTGCTGCATTGTGTTGCGCTTTGCTCATCCCTGCGCTGCTCCATCGACCGCAGGCCAAGCCGGGAGGAAGTGGGCTCTGCTATGTAGGTACCTAATGTACCTATGCACCTACCTATGCACCTATGCACTTGCATATGTAGGTATATACATACATACATACATACATACATACATACATACATACATACATACAGGCATATCTACCTACACACTTGAGTTATGTATGTATGCATATGTTTATTAAACCGGTTTTATCATCACCAATGCTGGCAAGTTTATTGTATCGATTATTATAGTCAACTTAATGATAACTTGATGATTCTTGCTCCAATGGTAACCTCGTCTCTGTCACGAGAGTCTGTGTCTATATATACTGAACGTGTCCTTTGTTCTAGATGTCTCATCTAGAATCCTGACAGTCTCTTCCTGCTTAATCATTGAAAACTGGCATTGTCCATGATCGATATGCAAGTTTTCAAGGTTGTCTTCCTGTTTCAACCTCGGGTCTAAGTTCCAATGTTCTCCGATCTCTCGAGCCGGCGTTACTAGCTGCTCATAGAAATCCGGATGGTTAACTTTCCGGATGCCTTTTAAGGGACTCGAGTTGGACGTAAGGGACGCCATGAGGCTATGGGAGTGCTCGTAGGCCTCCTTGTTGTAGCCTTCTGCCTCTTTCTCTGCGCGCACAATCTCCCAATGAGAGTCCGTAACGAGGACACGAGACAAACCGGCCCTGTGCTCTTGGATTTTCTGGATAGCTTGGGCATGTGTGTAACCAAATAGTGACTGTCATGTCTTGATATCGTCGCTATCTATCTCGTCTAGTTGTTGCTGTTGGACAGCGACCTGAGCCATCGACTCAAGCTCGTCTAGGAAATCCATTGCTATGAATATTATAGCTATGGGTTTTTGTCGGTGTTTACAAAAACTTGGGAAATGAACAATTAACCTAATGTAGTAGATGTTGGATACTACTACAGGTTCGATAAGAGAGTTAGTGGTGATATTTGGTGCGACTTGGGTGTAGTCTTATAAGTTATGAAGGTGTGATGGGTAAGTAGCACCTACTTGATTGATATAACTATGGGATGTTAGAAGCACTTGCACCTACCCAGCATATTAAACTTATGCTTACGCAATTAATAGCTTAAAGCTTAATACCACAAACTGAAGTCTACATGTAGGTATTCATACATGTACCTAAGGTTGTAGTTACACAGTTAGTTATGTAATATTAGTGTAGTTTATTCTTAGTCATCCCGGAACATCTTATCGCAGCTAATCCGCACCCCACTAAAATTCGCTATCGATTGTGTTGTGTATCGCGATTCGCAACTCGCAACTCGCAACTCGCAACTCTGCCGTCAAATTCGAATAATATAACATTCTTGTGCGCTCCACGTGAGCAAGCAGCCGACGACAAGATGCTGTACGAGCTGATTGGAATCGTGGGTTCTCTCTTTCTATCCGCTGCTGCTATTTAATATAGGGAAATAACATTCTGACGCAAAGCAATAGGTCCGACCCGGCAACCTCGCCGAGGTAAAAGAGTATGTCCCAGTTCCCCCCATCCTTTCCTTAGCATTCGGCCATATCAGCTTCAAATATCCAACCTTCAACCTCGAACCTCGACCTGAGACCATCACATCAACCCCCCTCCTCCAACAAATCCACGAGCGAGCGAACCACCACTAACCGCAAACCCCCCCCAAACAACAGAATCGTCCTAACAGCCGGCCAACTGATCCTCCAACAAAAAGGCGTCATCCGCGGAATCGCCAACTGGGGCGTCTTCCTGCTGCCCAAGGCCACCAGCGTGCACCAGATGCGCCACCACTCGGGCCACTACTTCGCCATGCGCTTCGACGCCAGCGTCGGCACCCAGCAGGCCGTGCGCAACATGCTGGCCCTCGACCCGCGCATGATCCGCCACGCCTCCGTAAAGCTGGGCGACGGGAAACTGACCACCATGAGCCGCTTCGGCGGGCCCGAGTGGTCGACGACCTAGGCTATCTCTCGTGGGTGAGCTGAGAGGGATAAGAAGAGGAAGAGGAAGAGGAAGAGATGAGACGAGACGAGACGAGAAGAAGCTAAGGTCTCGGAGTCTGGTTTGGGTTTGACTGCGGAGCACGGGAGTGAGTGGTGCTGTATATGTATAATACATCCATCTACTCGCTTTGCTCGGCCTTCTGTCTTCCTGTATTAGAGGAGGATATATAGTCATTTCCCGTAACCATGTGCGCGAGAGCAATGGCTAGTATCAGAACGGTGGTAAAAGGCGGCTCCTATATGAATCAGGTAGCCGGAAATAGCAAGTTAGGGGGCTTGGATGATATGAACCGTTGATCTGGCTGCGGATTCGCTTGCTTGCTGTGTGAATATGACATGATATAAGGAACATACAAGGTATATATATATATATACATATACCTATATATACCTATATATACCTATACATACTAGGAGCATAAATACAGACATGTAAAAGGCAACGCAATAGCTTTTCACACGTGCATATCTAGATATTTGCAACCGTCAGCTGGCGGTCATACTGTCGGAAAAATAGTATGCCACTGAAGAGAAAGCTCTACAAGACAGTACTACGCTTTAACATCCCTTGAGAATGTCCATAATAGGTATCTTAATTATTTATTGAACCCTCCCTTTCCCTAGCGTGTCTCGCTAGGTGACCGAGGGTGATGCCGATTTAATGCAACCAAGCAAAGCAAAGCAAAGCTAATTCCCTTGTGCCATAGCGCTGTGATGATCTCTCCTATATCGTCTCGCTTCTCGATGCGTCTTCACAAATATTCGCACCCCGATACCCTTCCCTACTATCCCGCGTCAATATTCGTTCTATAGCATGAATACCGAGTTGGCTACCTCCTCGACTAGTTCAGGAACAATTGATCAAGCATCAACGTCCATCTCCGACGACTTGCGTTTGTACCAGGCCACAAAGTCGTCAACAACACCCGGCCAAGCTCCATCCTCGCTCCAGAAGCTCAGTGCTTCGTCCGCCATGCTCTTCAGTGCGAATTCGAAAGTCTGATTCCACATATCACGGCTAACCGACCGTGTCCAATTCTCTCGCAGAAACGCAATCCACTCAGCTAACCAATCGGTGCCCGTAGTCTCCCCAATCCACAGCATGCCCGGCTTCTTGAAGAGCAGCTCCCAGTACAAGATCGCGTTGTCTAGCGAGAGCGCCCGTTGGTCTCCTTCTCGACCGACGACGAAAGCGTACCGGTAGACCTTACGAAATAAGTCTCGATCCTTGCTTAGTGAGTCGGCGAGGCGCTTGAAGTATTGCTTCTGGCCTTCGATCTTGGCCTCAGCCCTTTTATCAGTTAGTTTCCCATTGCTAACCAGTATATATATATATATATATCATTGAATCCATTTGATTGAATTACAGACAAGTCCATAACAAACTGCATAAATACGTCGCTCATCGGTGGTATGCAATCTATGAGACGGTTCGTAGATATGGATCTGCTTAAGGAATTATATGTGAAGACTTACGCCGCGTTGGCTTTCCAGCCATTTACGAAGCCTATTCGTGTGATTTCGCCTATGGTAGGAGCTTGGATGAGTTCCATAGCAAGAAAGAGTGACGCCCCTTCAAGATCGACGCCGATAGAAGTCAGATAGGCCATGGATGAATCTGCACCGAGTGCATCTTTCGGGTCCTCCTCAGTATCTGTCTCTCGTTAGCAGGCTCATCTCCTAAACGTGCATAGCTAGGCGCACTCCTGAGGCTGTCAAACAGCTTCGTAAGTTGTGATTCCTTGGTCGTAGTTGATGTGCTGGCATTCCCCTGGAAGAACCTGGAGATAAAATAATTAGTAAGAATGAATTCGGAATAAGTATCATATATGCCCAAGAGAGGTTTACGAGATGTGCGACTAGCAGATGGACAAATACAGGCTTGGCAGATAAAAAATGTAAGGCAAAACAAAAATAGTTTCGACATGATCTACACTATACATGGCATATGACAGCATGGCGATCCGATCAACCAAGATTACTTCAACGTCATCGAGGGATAACCAGCAACGAGCTATCCGCAACGTCGCAAATCGCGACGCAAATTCCGATCGGACGCACAAGAAGTTGTGAGACCGGATTTCGGTTGCTTTCCACAGTCGGTGCTACAGCATCACGAACTTGCTGCCGTCCCATGAAGAATATACGCAAAACGCCGACGGTACACCCAGGGTGCCAGAGAATATTAAGTAACTCGTATAGGACATATAAGAAAAAGGAACGGTACGAATATGAAAGCTACTTACGCATCAATGGCCTCGTTCAACTTGTATCCCGTGTTTTTGAGGTACTATGGAGGAAGATCAGTTAGCACGACACCACCCCGAGAACGAATATATTAGTGGGAGTTTGGGCGACAACGAAGGAGTGAGACGGAGTGATTCTGCCGCCATGATCACCACGTATATAGAGCTATCGAAGAGGCACAGGCAAAGAAATAGAGATAAAACATACTCTACTGGCGATCTTGTCCGGAGCCCCGGTTATCGACACGAAACTAGCTACCGCCGCTTTCTGTGCGGAGGATAGCGGTGGCATCGCGACGACTTGTATCACCTATCAATAGGTGATTCCTGGGGAGACGACGGGTATATTGGTAGATGATCTAGTCGACTCGGACTCGAACTCGGAGCTTAGTCCCTCGGAGCTTTGTCCCTCGATACTAGAGAGAGGGATATATCTGGCTACAGTACGTCGGTCGTTTGTTCCGCATATAAAAGCGCACGTCGCGACCGCTTTGTTGGTACCAAATAGCTGAGTAGTGGGGGGAAGCTTCGGCGGTTGGAATGCGGAGGAGGGGTGATATAACACGCGGCGGGGAGTGTAAATAAGAGTAATCGGATGCGTAAGTACCAAAATGATATTTTGACAAGGACATATATTAAAAGGACTGTTTTTATCTTAGACTCGAGTCCTGTCTGATTGTGTTGGTCGGTGTTGGTCGGTCTAGAGAGCGGATGGGAGAGTACGGAAACAATAGATGCGCAGTTGAAACTGAAAGGTCTCTGAGTTGTTGGCGTAGGTATTTGGGTTATTCATGGTGGGGTTACCTGCACGTCTTAGGCTGGGTACGTACTACCATATAAAGATGGAAGCAACGAAGACACCTAACCTTAGGTGGTAGGTAGGCACTTTGGGCATCACTAGGTCATCACCTACCTAAATCAACTTGACGTGCATGTATGCGTAAATACCATGTATCTTTAGGTAGTGGCCGGACAAAGAGTGGATCTACGGGTACATGTAATTAATAATTCACTCATCACGTATTGTACCAAGTCACCACCAGCCTCAGTCTCCACCGGGTATTATTTCCATTCTCACCTCACCAGATCTTCAACTCGTGCCAACCACACCAACCGAGTTAGATGGACAATGCAGGCGGTTTCCATACAGACGAATTACTAATAACTAATATGTAATGGAAACTAAAGAAGGGTATCGTGTGATAACTGCGACTCCCTCCTCGATATGCTCCGTCCCCTTGCAAAAACTAGAAAGAAAAACGAGTACAGCATGCTATCTCACCAACTCCAATAAGGGGCAATACACTCCACCAGCACAAGCCCAAAGGTATGCAGTCTAGCATTATGCAACCATTAATATCTCAGCCTCAAGATGCAACTACTACTCGTCGATATCTTGTTGCTGCTCCACTGGTTCCTCCACTCCGATCTCTACTTTAATAGTAGCCTTGCCCTTCCTCTAGTCGCCAAGGGGCATACCCTCGAGCTCGTCGAGCAGACGACGCCAATTGTCAGCCAGCATCTCTGAATACTTGACACGCTCCTGTGCCCAGTCTTGGTTCCATCGGCTGACGTGGAACTGTGTCTGCTGAAAATAGACAAGTTCGTCACGCAGGCACTCTTTCACAAATATAGAACGGTTGTGCTGGTTGACGATAGATTCTTTGACCTGTATTAAGTGTTAGCAACTTGGCGTGCCGGCGACGAATGCTAAGCAGGTACAAACCTTTATAATAGCTTCAACCACTTTCTCAATATCTCCTGGCTTGACATCTAGCCTAGTTCGTAAGCCCGCGAGCTTCGTCTCATTATTATGGATCCTCCGTTCTAAATACGGGATGTTGTCTTTGTCTAGCCTTTCCCTTCGGTCGAATAGGTCCCTAATACTGACGAGTGCGTCGCGCTGCCTCTTCAGGTCCTCTAACACACCTGCATCCCATGCCTTGCTTTCATCCTCCATTAAGCTTTGGGTCGTTTGCAAGTGTCGGCTCATAGCGACTAGACCGTCATTCAGAAGAGGTACGTCGTTAGTATCAGTAGCGTATGTGTCCGAGCTCGCTTCGGTGAGGGATGTAAGAGACATAGCCAAGCGAGCGTGATCAGCTGCTACACCCTCGCTCCGCTTCACAAGACGGTCCATGATGTTACAAGTCGAGATGTACAATTCGGCAGACCGTTTAACACCCTGTCTAGTGCGCTCGAAAAGCTCCTCCAGCGAGGGCGGCAGGGATTCTTCAAGGCCAGGCGGTAGCGGCCGGCCAATGAATTCATCAACCACCGAGATTGCCGCTTGTTTGCGCCATACCGTAAGTTCCTACGGCTCGTTAGCTTTGAATGTAATAACGCTTGTTTCGTTCGGCTCATACCGTTGGGACAGTCAAGAACATTATAACAAGTTGTTCCTGGCCTAAGATAGGATGTCGGACTAGTGTGTTCAGGAACCTAGCTAGGCCGCGTCTTCGCTTCTCGATAAATGCGCCGTCGTTGGAAAGGTGATTGCCATTGACTGCAACTCTCTTTGGTGGAAGTAGAGGCAATGCTCGAAATGGATATCTTTTGTGCAAGCAATCGAGTAGCCATACGAAATCGCTATATCTGCGAATAACCTTGCTGCTACGTCGCGAACTCGTAACTTCGTAATTGTGGTGTTGGAATAAGAATACGCCTTCTTTTTCCGGCATCAGCGAAACCGTGATGTTCTCCTCAACCGCAATGCCAGACCGACCACCACTAATGGTCCTAGAATGGCCAATGGTTGCGTTAGGACCCGGATCGCGACCTTCTCTGTCACCCGGAACTCCAAAAGGACTTGTCGGGCTATGTGAAGATGCTTCGCCGAGGCTTCCTGCGTTGTTTCCGTCAAAATATCCCCAGCCAGCAGGATGCGAAGATACGGAGCCGCCAGCAGATTGAGAGCCAGCGCCACCGGCTGAAGCCATTGTAGAAGTGGTAAAGTTGGAGGTCGTGCGAGAGTGCATATCAGGGGCATCAGAATTTCCGTAACCATTACCGTTCAGCAGATTAGCATGGTTAGCACCGTTAGTCTTGGGCGACTCTCCGTGATTATGGTGTTTGTGGACATCGGCTGAACTCCACGGGTCGTCGTCGGGACCGTCCATAGATGATTTTCTTCCTCGGGATTGCGAACCGAAGGGGATAGGTAGATTTTCGGGCTGCTGCGGTGGTTTTGCTGCAAGTTCTGCAGTATCTAGAATGATGGATTTCTTGGCCAACGTTGATGATAATCGGGCTTGCGGCAAGTCTGCAATAGGTTGGTATTGTGATTTAGTAGGATGTAATTTCTCGGCGAATAACGTAAATATCCCCGCAAGATGATGCACAGGGCAGCGCAGCGCAGCAGCGATGATACGATAAAACCGGCTAGCCCATTGGACGCCAAATGCGATTCGCCAAATGAACGGAAACACGGCGACAAATATATCAAGTTGATTTCTAAGGGGAAACAGAAAGTAAAAGAAAAATAAATAAAAACGTTATGTGAAATACTTACTACGTCTTCGCTCATCAACACCATCCAAACTTATAGATTCACCTTCTTGCGCAAGGCCGATAAGAGCCATTAGCACGTTAAACTCATTGCGACCCATCGTATCAAGGCTACCACCCGGCGCGAGTATCCTCATTATTTGCGCTTGGTCGTCGGCACCTAACTTAGCTGCGGCAAGCGTCTTAGTGACGCCTGGCGACGTGACCTTGCCGGCGCTTCCATCCTCTTGTACAGCCTTATCGAATGCATCCATATAGCTATCTGGTACATCGACGCCGTCAAGGAGTCTCCGAAGAAGGTCGGCACGCGATTGTTGTTTCCTAGGGGTCGGCATATCCCACGGCGAAGCTCTACCGCTGCCAAATTCATCATCATTGAAGAGGGTATCCGAAGTCGACCGAGTCATAGGACCATCATCGTCGAATAAGGACGTTCGAGATCGCGCCATGCTTGGATTACCGGAGGACAAGGTTTCGTTTGGAGGGGTGGTGCCAAAGAGAGACATGGTCCCGGTTTGACAAGCGATTTTTGTTCCTGTCTAGAATCAAAGGTAAGGTGATCGGCAGAGTCGACAACGGTGGTGAGCTCGTGTGGAAGGACCGGAATGTCGTAATAGAGGTGTAATAACTAAGGCTAGGCTGAACAAACCATGCAGTTGATTAAGAATGTAATGCAAGGGACAAAGCTAGAAAATACGGATGAAGACGCAGGGACTATGCACGTACTCAAAAGTATAGGGAAGAGGGAAAGGTTTGGAGATTGAGTGTCACAAAAAGCTGAACAAGAAGTATCAACTGTATCATACTGTATACACGCCCGTGCTGCCTTCCATGACTTGCGAGAGCTTGACCACAGCTATATGGGTATGCCTGTGCTGAAACGCCAGGGAAGGTACAGGTGGGACAAGGTGGGACAAGGTGGGACACAATGGATCGGCGTTGGCAAGTGCGGAGCTGAATATGCATATGTACATACATCAATTGCACCGGACTTGGTTCAGCCATGCATACTTATATGTAGGTACATCTGCAAGAGCGCCAATTGCAGATATTAATGCATTTAATACATGTACATTTTGTGTCTAGTCGCCTATGTATATACAGTGATTTACGATTCACCTGCATTATGTAGGTAATGAATAGGGTACATATGTACCTATCCAAGCACCTTAAAGCAATTGAAACTTTTACTTTATCGTTTATGTACTTATGCAAGTATTGATAATGCCAGTACTAAGATTCAACACTTCAAAGACTCAAAGCGACCCCTTGTGGCAACCACCAAACTGAAGACACATTATATCTCCATTCAGATGGTTTGGCATAACAAATAGGTAGATCCGTAGATGTTTTCGGTAATAGGTATATACCTGCAGGCGTGATACACAATATGGTAGATTTGACGAGGATACTCTTATAGCTTGTCCCACAGTTTCGTGTCTTCCTGTGTAGTTCCCTTCTCCTTCTTCTGCCGCTTGAGAATCTTCGCCGGCGGCACCCTGAAGTACAAACTTGGCGACTCGCCAGGCTTCAATGTGTGGCTCAGATATCCCCGGTGCGCAGGGTCACGGTAATATTCGATATCCCAACGAGCCGTCGGGTCCGGCAGTCTGTAGGAAAACCCCTTCTTGCGGACCTCCTCCAGGACCGGCTGTACATGCTCTGGGCCGGTAGGTAAGGGCTTGTCAGTGTGAAAACTCTTGCCCTGCACCAGCCGTGTTATAGCATGCTTGGTATAGTATCGTGTCATGATCTTTCCTCCTGCTTTCTCTACTGCATCAATGGCCGCTGCTGACGCACGAGAAACGACGATATCGATCGGCTGCTTCAGCATATCTGCCCCCCTTGCTAATAACTTGATTCCGTCCTTGATCGTTCCAACAAGGTTAGATTCTATTAACTCTTTCGGCGTGATCTGCTTCGTGGCATCGATACGACCGGCGTCGATCCAATCTTGCAGCTTGTTGAGGTTGACTTCAGACATGACAGGCGCTTGTCTATCCAGTAGTTAGTTTCCGGATCCAATTAAAAGAGGGAAGCAAGGCTATCCAGCCATACAGGTTCACGAATCCAAGCTTTCCCCTCTGAACGACCAAAGGTGTTTGACCACCCTGGAACCACGGCTTGACCTTTCCATGCTGCTTTTGACCCTTATGACCCCTTCCAGACGTTTTGCCCTTTCCCGAAGAGGGACCGCGACCAACACGAATACGTTTCTGATAGGCACCTGGGTTGTCGGATAGATTTGCAAGAATGGAGGCGCTACGAGACTGAATGGAGAGCGCATTGAACAATCCTACGAGCGATGGATTACTCGTCCGCTCAGTCGATATCTTGCAGCACTGAGCTGTTAGCCCGAGGGGTATTCGTGGAGGCATCTTGCGACTCGTGCCTACACTTGGAGTTTGTAGTGGGCTTGTCTTGATACGAGAATTTCCCTTTGATATCTTTTTCTGGGGTTGCCTTTTGGTGAAAAGTGGTACTAGCTTTTAGCTCCCGGTACGTACATAGTGGGGGTCTATGTACATAGGTACATACCTAGCTTTCGTGGTTGCGTGGGTACCCAGGTACCCAGGTACACCAATCTATGACTTCAATTCATTGAATCTAATAAGTTAAGGTTCTACAAGACATTCTCAACTTTATATTCGTTAAAGCTCCTTACCCTAAACAATCGAGTCCAGTCGAATTGTGAGCGGTGTTAGTATTGGTCACTCAGAATATGATGGATATAGATCAGTTATTCCAGAACTTATAGGCTAAGTGGTAGTTATAAGTAGTATAAGTAGTATAACTCCTCCCGCTCGAGGATATAAACCCTAAATGCGGATTACGCTGATCTACATAACATATATTGTCCCCTTTACTCCTGATATCTACGCAGAATACCATCAACGCAACAACCCTACTTCTATTCTATCAGATCCCGGCCTTCACGATCCTAGTTATCTAAATCCTAACCTTCCCCGCATTGATATATACTCTTACTTGTGTGCTAGGTTTAACTACCCAAAATCGATTCTACCTAATTAAGGCTTAGTATATTATGCGTAATAATCATAAGGTAGCATTGTAGATCTATGTGTAGTTAAGTCTTATCAAACCGCTGCTTTGGAAGGGGCTTCTAGGTGGTAATGAGGGGCGGGGAATATCATCTCTAAATAAAATGCATCCATGACCTGCTTACTACCTTAGCATGTTAGCCAGTACTAGAGGAACATGGATGAGAAGAAATTGACAGTCGAGGCTACCTCGAATAATCCTGTGAGCGTTTCTAACCCGACTCCTATTCAGCTAGAAGGAAAATCAGCGGCGTCCTCTAGAGATCTCGACGATGCATACGATCTCTATCAAAGACAAGATGCCGTCGACCTCGATCCTCACGAAGAACGTCAGGTGCTACGAAAAATCGACTGGCATATTTTACCACTTCTGATGGGAACTTACTTGCTTCAATACCTTGATAAGTCAAGCGTCAACTTTGCAAGTGTCTTTGGGTTTAGACAAGGGACGAATCTCCATGGGCAGGATTATTCGTGGTCCTTGTCTATATTTTACTTCGGTATGAGCTTTCGAGGTAAACAGTCATTGCGACGACTAATCAATTGTCTACTTTTAGGATACTTGGTAGCACAATGGCCAGCTGGCTATCTCTTGCAAAGGCTTCCAGCCGGGAAGTTCATCGGTAGCAGCATTCTAGGTTATTGAATCCCTTGCCATCATGTCTCTATAGCTGGACTGACGGAGTCTTAGTTTGGGGTATGCTCACCATTGTTACCCCGGCATGCAATAATTTCGCCGGGATAGCAGTGAACCGCTTCTTGCTCGGATGCTTCGAGGCAGTAGTGAATCCGGGCTTTGTGCTCGTCCTTTCAATGTGGTGGAGACAGGATGAGCAGCCTATGCGATTGACAACTTACTACAGTATGAATGGGATAGCTGGGATTTGTGGCGGTCTACTTGGCTATGCTGGTAAGCTCGACATCCTATCGAACTGAGGTTGAATTGAATATCTTCTAACACGCATGTAGTATGTTATAACTTCATCCGTTCTTATATAATTGCACATATCTGTTGTTTCTCCTCCTTTCTTACTCCGAAGAGTATGATTTCGGGTACTCATACTAGCACTAACGCATGTTAGATTGGCCATATCACATCTGGCCTGCCTCCGTGGATGTACATCTTCCTTGTGTTCGGTTCTATAAGCTTGGCTTGGGGTATTATCTTCCTGATCATCATGCCTGATATTCCGTCAACAGCGCGGTTCCTGAACGAAAGGCAAAGAGTTATCGCAGTTGAGCGAGTAGCTAAGAACAGACAAGGTGTGAAGAACCATCATTTCAACCCCTATCAAATGTGGCAGTGTCTCCTGGATCCAAAGACATGGATTTTATTTGTTATGGCCATCGCAGCGCAGATTCCAAATGCTGCTCAGTCAAGCGTATCGTACCCGTCTTTTCTCGCCGGTATATAGTAAGCAATGCTAACATATAATCCAGTTCACGTCCATAATTCTGGGGACATTTGGCTTTGATGTGCTCCAGACGCAGTACTTGCAAATCCCGGGGAATTTAGTGCAAGTCTTTTCCCTTCTCCTATCTGGTTGGATTAGCTCTCGATTTCCAAATATGCGCTGCGTGGTAATGCTAGTGGGAAACTTGATCTGCGTTGGCTGTGGTGCAGCTCTTGTCGGATTACCGGTTGGTCCTGACGGCACACAGAACAGATGGGGTCGACTGGTTGCGCTCTGGCTATGCTCATTCCAATCTGTAGGTTTTAGTTTGAGCTTGACGATGGTAAGTAGCAACGTGGCCGGATATACTAAGAAACAGCTCACGGGAGCTTTCCTGTTCGTGGGCTATTGTGTTGGGAACATAATAGGGCCGCAAACTTTTATCGACACGGAGGCACCGTTCTATACCTCAGCGTACATTGCGTGAGTCGTCTATGATCAGGGCTCTGTATTAAAGACTAAACCTTGTGCTAGGATTCTCATCGGCTATTCTGTGAAAACAGTAATGGTCATCATACTGTATATATATATGTGGTCGGTAAATAGGAAACGGGATCGCGAAGCTGCCTTAGAGGGCCCCGGATTTTCAGAGGAACAAGAGAAACAAGCTATTGAACAAGGAATGAAGGATGTTACCGAGTTGGATAATAAGGGCTTTAGATACGCTCTATAAAGCCATGCCGGCCTAGAAGACTATTTTACCAACTATCATTACTTTTGATTCCAACCAGTTAAGCATTTACATATACACTAACTACTAGTTGATGATGTTTGATTTTTATTTATTTATGGAGACATACAAGCTTACATATCCGGTCTTGTTAACTTACAAATTGGTTAGGATTGGGTTTCTTGGGTACTTGTTGAAGCTGAACAGTCCTTTACCCAAATTATATGAATTGTTATTATTATCGCAACATGAATTGCAATGAAAGGAGAGGGTTCCAAGGTTATTTTTGACCCTCTAAGATTTTGAAAAGAAAAAAAAGCTTGTTCTAAGGAGGGAACCTATTCAATTGTCCAGAACAAATTGATCTTTTTGCCGCCATGACATAGGTTCGAATCCGAGAACTACGAAAAACCCCAAGAGATTTTTCTACGCCGTCATTTCCTTGACTGCTGCGTCGTGACCATTCGACCAGTGGGCCTCGGATCAGGAGGTGATGGTGAGAGCTCCTAATGTATATTATAAGCAACCTGCCTTCCACATTGCCAGTGCGGCTGCCTAGCAACCCTTCAAATATATCAGGTACCTACAGTAATATTATTATACAGCCGCCATTATTATCTATTTTTCCTGTAGTTGAACACGTATTTTATCTACGGCCACCTAATTAATATAAAGGAGGGTGTCTGTGCTAACACCTACGCTTATATAGAGAAGCTATAGGATTTGATATAACAAGTTATCAACCCTATCTATTTATTTTATTAGGGACTAATATTAATCGCCTGTTAGATGGCTTTTAGGAGATGGTTGTAGGGAAGACCTGAGAATATAGCATAACCAGGCTTAAATGGAAATAAAGGTGCATAATAGCTATACACAGCTGGCTTCGCAAAACAAGATCTTGTATTGGACGGATGTAACTAACGGCAGTACGGACGATGTTGGAACTGCAATGATCGGAAACCTGGGGCTATCATATCTTGATAGGCCGCGTATGTGGATATTGGTGATACCTGTGCTGGTTTAAGTATCTCTTCATCTTGAGATAGTCTGAACTCCTCTGAAGTCTCCCTTGAACCGGCTCCTATTTACTTCAACAAGTAACTCCACCTGCTCCTAGACCGAATTCCGTGTTTTGGACTCAGGCTTAAGTCCTTGGCTGGTCATGAATATGGACCTTGATGTGACGGAAGCTCTTAACATGATTTGGCACACCCTAGCGGTGAGCACTCATGAGGAGTTCTGAGGGGAGACAAGGACGACACTATCCCCTAGACCTAGGTATTAGATAGGGATAAGTTAAGAAAAAAAAGGTAAAGACGGACCTCGCACAAACAGCATCTCGGACTTCTTAGTTGTCGTCTGAATGGTGGGTTAGTAGGATATCCTAAAACATATTAGAGAGTGCTTACTCTAATTTCCTCATCGTCGTCATCTTCGTCTACCGTATAGATGGTTTCCACGACGTCACCTAAGACTAAATTCATATGACTGTCATAGGCCTTAGATATACCTGGTTAGCTAAACAGGGAAGAGTTGGCATGGGCCGATATGCTTCACGTACATGAAGGCGTCCTTTCAATTCACGATCGCCGCGCAACTTCACAAATACAACCTCATCGAGAAGGAGGCGCACAAGATCGAGAGGCTCAGATACTGAACCGCCAGCGGGGCCCTCTTCACCACCAGCCATTATTATTATAAGATTACGTCAAATATAGGTCAATATGTCCTGTACGGGTGTTGAATTGTTGAAGATATAGCGTTGAAGTCGGGATTGGACTGGCGTGGAGGTGAAGGATGCGGTATACGAAGATTAGATGATTCGATTCGAAGTTCGCAGCTTTGTAGAAACTTGGTGCAACAATTCAATAATTGCTAGTGAAAGAGAGGTATGGGCTTGGCAAACCCATAAAAAAAAGGCTTACCTAATTTTCCAACAGCCACAAATACCTGGGTACTTATATCTGTAGAAGCTATGACCACTGTAAAATCACTAACAAATATTTTTGCTGTTAGTGTAGTTCTCCATATTCACTACTGTCACACTAAATTAGAGTTTACGGGGAAGTACTCCACTGTATCCACAACTCCACTTAGTTTATAATTCCATAACTGGGCCAGAGTCCAAACCAACACAGCTTCAACTATCAAAGTTCCCCGCAAATCACGTCTAGTATACCATCTATCTGTCTGGCTCTCCTGAGTCAGTAGCCTGTTCGCACCGGTCATGATAGTACTTAATAGCTCTCATAATGCCCCCCACCACTTTGACGGTGTCGTTCGGCCGGCATCGAGTCTTCTCTTATACACCCTTTAAAGGAGCTTACTCGAAGTTTATTAACCCCCATCAAAGTCGATCCTCTGGATTATTCTCCCGTATAGATACCGACAGTACTTTGCCATGTAAGAATATGCATAAGAGTATACACAACCCTACACGTGGTCTTGCAACGGCAGTCCATTCCTCCAGTGCCGTTTCAAGCGAGGACTTCAAATTCTTCAGTGACCTTCTCAACTACACTGAACCAAAAACACAAACTAAAGCTGTCCATGGTGGTTCCGTTTCCAGTGATCAAACTCCTCTTGTAACCTTACCTGGCCCGTTCAAAAGAGCTCTCGAGGCACTGCGACAGAAGGATACCCGGAGACTACTCATCTATCTTCAACAAATAACATCCATGGAAGAAGCTGAGCTTCACGCGGCCGTTTCTTCGCTTCCTCGAACCACATTCACGGAGCTCCTCCGGGCCCTGGACCCATTTGTTGTTGCTAGGGATGCCGATCCAACTAATCAGACACACATATCTGCTGGAGCGTACCAGATGCTAAATTTATCAGCCACTATTGACATTTGGGGAGTACGGAATTTATATTCGCAGCTACTACGCCATATGCTAGTTCTCCTGTCTGCATTGAAAGCCTCAGGTGGTGTTCTACAGTTGGAGGAGTACATCTACCTAGTTAGGTGTGCAGGTGCTGCTTCAGACCCTACGGGAGTAAAATGGGTATGGAATGAGATGGTCCGCACCCAGACTACGAGTTGGAGGCAGAGTGCGATATACGCCGAGTTTGTTTCCGCACGCTTCCTCACAAACCCTTTATATACAGGCTACGATAAAACCAGAAGGATGGTCACTAGCCGAAGTTTACATAACTCTAAATTTCTCCTCCACTGGGCACAGATTCGAAAGATGGATTACCTTAGATACCGTACCCGACGCAAGAAGCTGTTTTTTGGGCTCAACAAGGACGCCAAGCATGCCGAAGACTTGATACGGATGATGAGGAAAGACAACGCGGCTATGAGACTTTACATCTGGATTCATAGTCGTGGCACCTACATGACTGAATCTTTAGCATGTGCTTTGATGATTGCCTTTGGACGGGCTGGGTCTTTGCGGTTTATTAGTGCTAATATATTAGATCGTCATTTCGGCATTAGGATAGGTAAGATAGTCCACAACATGGCGACTGACATAAACCAAGGCCCCAACCGTGTGAGACCTACTGCGCTTCTCATGGAAGCTATCGTGGAGACATATGGTTCAAACGCAGAGATCCCCCTTGCCTTACAGCTGGTCCTACACCTATCGAAGACCTTTCGAATTCATATCCCTGCGTATATATGGAAAGACCTCATGGAGTGGGCCTACATTATGGGCTCCGTACCGCTGTCTGGGGGATGGAAGATAGCCAAAATGTTTTCCAAAGTACCGAACACACAAATAGTAGAATTCATCTGGGATATGATGGTGTCTGAGCCGTATTACGTACAACCCAGCTTCGAGCACTACAATATACTCATTCGGAATCTTATAGCGCGAAATCAGTTCAGCAGATTCATGCCATACATGAGGGAGGCAATTGATTTATACCACATTCAATGTCGAGAGTACGAAGACGCGGTAATTGAGTACTCCCAAATGATTAACGATAATGGGGTGCGTCTTAGCGAGACAGTGCATCGGTACCAACGGGCTCGGTTTAAGAAGGCGACTATGCGGTATAGCATCCAAACATGGTGTCGGCAGTTCCTTACCAACGTACAAGCCTTCAACCCTACGAACCCGCTTGTGACTGTGGCCGTCCCGAATTTCATTGACGAGTTCAAGACTTTTATCCCAAACCCGGCCTTTTATCGCACGTCTGACGGATACGTCTCTCTCTTCGACCCTATCCGGGAACCGCAGCGTTTAGTCCCTGTCGAAAGTATTCCCATCACCATACATGTGAAGAGTAAGATAGGCGAGGTCTTGCACCTAACCACGAAGACGACGAAATACGCCACCAGATCTCGACAGACTTTGGCGGGCCGAAAGCCGATATCTCGCTTTACCCTCGAGACTCTCCTCACGACCACGTCCCGGGCGGGGCCGCCGAAATCCTGGGACAAGACGGCTATCAAAGAAGCAGTGGAGGAATCGGAGGAATCGATGGCTGAAATCGAGTCCAGCGAGTCCAGCGAGTCCAACGAGACCGATGAGATCGATGAGATCGATGAGACCGACGAGACCGGCGAGCCCGGCGAGTCGCGTGGCGAGTTTCCGGAGCCGATAGAGGTGGATACTTATGATGATGATGAGGACTTTTTTTAAAAGCAGCCGTTTGTTTGTATCTGTATTATTATACCCACAACATGTTTATTTCGTATATAAACCACCGCTGTTTTTGCTATACCCTAGTAGCGGCGGTAGCATATATATATACAACCCCTTGGGCCCTTCTGGCACGGTTTTGAACATGCGTGATCTACAAAGACATATTCTTCGCTTCGTTGTGAAACATGGCTCGTAGTGTGAGATCGATGCTTGTTATTTTCACATATGATAATTATTCGTAACAATATAGAGACAATATCGAGGATGGTTACGATTTGACCTTCTCTAATCTCAGGTCATTTATGTACATGTACCGGCTCAGCGCGATCCAACCCCACCGGAACCAGACCATCTGGCTCTTATGCGCCTCCGTCATAGCCCGGCGCGCCGTCCCGTAGCTCTCCCGACCACCGGCCAGCGCGCTCACGCTAACCAGAGCACCCGGGTTACCCTTGTCGCTCTTCTTATTAACACCGCCAGGCCCGGCAAACGCGAGCGACATGACAGTCGCGAAAATATCTAGGAACCCGGTGTACTTGCGCAGAAAGCCCACGCTAGTTAACGTGTATAGGTCTACGGGCGATGCCCAGCCGGGCTTGCTCCGGGTTAGCGAGGAGATGAAGGCGCGCGCGCCGTGGTATAGGGATATGTGGTTCGGGTGCGAGGATACGCCGCGGGAATCGAATGTTACGATGGCGTCGATGGTAGCGCTTGGGGCGGTTAGGTTCTCGGGGGAGGACTTTTGCGTGGCTAGGCGGGGCGCGAAGGCGCTGCTTAGGAGGGCGGAGATTTTGGAGGATTCCCAGGTTGTGGTCATGGAGTCGGGGAAGTCACTGGGGGGCAGCGTGTTAGCTTTGGTAACTATATTCAGTATGTGTAGGACGGGTAGCCTCACGGGCTATCGTAGACTAGGACATCGTCCTCGCGGGCGAGACCTAGCAACATGCCGCTCTTGACGAGTTCCTTCTTGCGTGTCTCGCCGAGGCCGTCGGCGTTGCCGGAGCTTAGGCATAGGATCTTGAGGTGGTTGCCGTGTTCGGGGCGGGTGAGGGCTAGGACGGTGGGGGCGAAAAACATGGCTTCGTCGTCCGGGTGAGCGATCAGCAGGCAGATGCGCTTGCCGCGCAGCATCGGTAGGCGTGTCTGCGATACTGATGCCGTGTATATGTATAGTAGCGGAAGGATGACGGCAAGGATGCCGAGGGTCGATAGGGATGGGAGCGGCATGTTGTGGCTGCTTGGTAGGTCGGTTGTCGTCGTTGGTGGGTAGGGAGACTCGTAGGTAGGATAGCTTCCAAGGCTTGAAGCTTGTTAGTTCTCCCCTCCCCCTTTTTGGGCTGCGATTTCGACCTATGAAGCACACGCAGCACGGTATTATAAGCAAATAGGCAGCCTAGCTTCAAATAGTAGTATATCTGATATCTGAAGAGGTAGAAAATGTTCAGGTCTCTGCCTCTCGTATATAAGAGCGATAGATAAGAATGGATAGTATAATATATAGTTAGAGGAGTACTATGGTAAAGCGGTCACAAATATTCTAGGAAGCTAAGTTATAGATCGTCTAGGGAAATCCGGGGAAATTGAAACCAGACAAGTTCGGGCTTGGATCCGAAGTGTTACCCGTTCTTAGCCCTGACGATGGACTTGCACCGAAATTCATATTGGATAATTATTGGATGAAATTAAGAGGGAGAGAAGCCCCTCTGTTGCACCTCTTTGAAGGTTGATTATCAATTGTTGCATAGGCTTATTCGTATATCCAGTTAGTGCATATAAAATATGGGTTCCACGGCTTTTTATTGGCTGGTTGAACCCCTGCTGAGTTTACTAGGTAGTGTACCTATGTACTGAACACCTACTGAACACCTCAAGCTTATGGCGGGAGCTTAGGTAAGGTAACCCCTACTACAATCGTACATGTACATAATTTTTACGTCGTACCTATCCACTGACACGCGACCATACATGTACTTATATTAGCCTTACTTCTTCAATCTTTATTAATCCCAACTTACATAGCACCTCTCTAATTCCGTCATCGACTCTTCGCCATGGTTCGATCTCGAAAAGAAAAAAAGACGCCGGAAGGGATCAAACTATCTCATCCCGATCGAACCGCCGCTCCTAGCGAGGACACCTTACTGAAGCTTGCTCAGGACCGTAACCTCTTTGAGGAAGCCGAGAGGAAGAAGAGGAAGATTGCGAAAGATCGTGATTCGGATGGCGATTCGGATGATGGGGACGAGCTCTTGTCGTCTACGGCCGATAGGGTATTAGAGGCTATGCTCTGGAGCATCAGCTTGTCTATGCTGCACTTCACTCTCGATGTGCTTGTTCAGCATCAATATGCAATCTCCATCATATGGCCTCAGATCATAATTCGATCAGTGCAAGCATCTATTGGTAGGTTTCCCTTCGTAATAATAAACTAATCCGCTATACTGAGCCGAATTAATGCGTGTAGTGTTCTTCTTCCTCGTCTATGTACTTCATCCACACGTCTCGGCTCCATCTTTTGTGCCTGGACTGCCGGTGAGATTTCAATCTCCCCTACGGCAAATACTCTTCCTCGTTGCGAGTGTTGCCTCCGGTTGCTATCTAGTTCATGTTTCGAATAAGTATAGCTATCTCGCTGTTATGAAACAATCACCGCCTTTGGGCTGTCTCTGGGTCTGGTCCGTCATTGAACTTGACCTGCCGTATGCTGTCCTCTCTTTAGCTTGTATCGGCGGGTTCTTCTACCAGGGCGGGTATACAATAAAGCAACCGTATTAATATCTTAAGCAAGGCTCAAATAAAACCGTGCAGTCTCTTTTTTTTTTTTTTTTTTTTTTTTTTTTTTTTTAGTCGCACGTGGCTTTGTCAAGCTCAGATATTCAAGACTTTTGGTCCAACCTTCGTACCCGGCAGATCTACAGGGGTCTTAACCTTAGGGGTCTTAAACTTGGGGGTTATAGAATGTCACCTTTTCACGTGATATCCCTAACCTTCAACTTGAACTAGCCCCTGGACAGGAAGTTGGCACTTTATGATAGTTACAGAGCATATTATTTAGATATGATAGATCTTGTCGTACTGGTACTTTAGATTTCAATATACCCTATTTAATAGGGAAGAAGAATTGCAGTGAAAGAAAATACTATGGACCTAGCTGAAACTAAACCGCAGATACAGCTACGAGTTCTTCGCTCTGGGTGTCTCGGAGATCTAGTAGTATAACTCTCTAGTAAATTCGTGAGTTTATTGCCTTGATTATCTACTAGTCACTTATATATCTAAATTTGGAAATCATCGAACAAGTGAGCTGACTTATTTAAACAATATGTGTGGTAATAAAAGTAATCGTAGCCCACACCTTAGTTAGGCAGGTAGCTGACATATTTGTAGTATCATGTATCGTATTTACAGGTTGTCACGTACCTTGCCGTTGGCATTGGTGCATGCAAAGTTAGGCCTCTAATCAGTAAACGACTCTATCATCTCGCCTAAGACCTAAGGGGGGGCTCAGTACCCAGGTACCGATGCACCATCCAGGTGTGTATTAGCTGATTAGATTTAATCGTAAAATTTTCGGTTCGAATTGTATCGATTAGTATCACCGTAGTCACTGTCGCCTCGGGGCAGGTGATGTGCTAATAATTATTTCAACCTGAACACTTCATAAATATTTCGTCGCCGGCAACCACAACAACTGCAAATTCCTAACTACATTATCGAACACCCAGCACCTCTTAGAATTCTGTCCAGTCTAGCCGTCCGACATCTTCATTCTCATCAAGATGTCCGGCTGCTTTCCTAAGTTGTCCTTTCTTCTGGCAAAGAGGGCTGCTGCTCAGGTACGTTAACGTTAAGTTTACTTGTCACATCCAGCAGTATTCATCTTGACGCGCCTACACTGCAACGTGTCGCGACTTTCTTTATTTTAGCTGCCTGAATTTTCTCTTTCACCTCCTACCTTTGCGGTTATACCTTCACACTTGCCGTTCCTTCTACTTACCACCCCCTTTAACACAACCTTCCCCCTTATGTCGGCAACGGCGTGATAGTCAAAGTTGAAAACAACTCCACCTCTTTATCCTAGAACTGTTGTATAGCTGCAGTATGTCTGTCATCAAACTACTATCTCCTTTCATCCTATACTATGTTAAAAACGCCGTTTTCTGAGTTTTTTTTCTCTTCCTCTTGTCTTCATGAAACGGTATGGTCAAGATTATACTAACACTTCTTTGAAGGAACAGGCTTCCAACGTTGCCGACACTGCTGAGACCAACAAGGCCGACGAGACCAACGACGCCATGTCAAAGCCCGACAAATACAAGAACCCCTCTGAGAAGGGACCTGCCGTCCCTGGCACTGCCAGCATGTCAGGTTGGAAGCCGTACACCATCCCCTACACGGGCACTGGCATCAAGCGTTCGGCCAGCGGTACCAACTGGGCCTCTCAGAGTTCCCCACAGGCAGATGGCTTTGCCGTGCCTTCCCACGCTGCGCCGCCTCTTTACATCACTGATGACCTAAAGAAGAAGGACCAGGCCGTCAACAAGAAGGGAAAGCAGCCAGCCGGTAGCATGGACAAGAAGGACAAGAAAGCTGCTTACGAGACCCACATGTTCAAGGGTGGCTGTATTGCAAGCCGCGTGAAGCCTGAGGACCGTCAGCCGATCGAATAGGTATGTGCCGTATTTCCTTTATGCTATGCCTTTATCTACAACGCTGTACCTTATTGAAAGAAGCCTACTAACACGTATCGTGATCTAAATAGGTTACAATATGGATTCTCCTTAACACCAAAGCAAGGTTCTATGTGCGTTGCAGCTGATCCCTGTAAAGAGACATTTTGATACTGGCATTTTCATGCGGATTTGCATTGCGACGGTGACTTCCTATCTCGGTATTGATGCCACTGACGATCATGAGCACAATCACAAGACATGACTTTTGGACTGGCTTTTTTTGTTTGCATTTTCGACTTAGCACATGCGGATAGGCAGGCGTTATGGATCAGGAAAAGATCACACGCACGCATAATAATAAGGAGTGTGAGAAAAGGGGTGGAGAAATCATTGAAAAAAAAAAAAAAAAAAAAGGCATTGGCGCGGCATTCACATTTGCATCTTGTTTCGTTGCGGACGCATTCAACTATTGGCAGCTAGTTAGCAAGTACTCAGGGTAGATACCACTAGGTAGATACCACAATTTGCACAAATCATTTGCCTCTCAACTTCGTGCTGGGTCTTGGGCGTGAATAATGATCTGTTTTGATTTGGAATTTCTAACCTGGACGTGACGTGACATTGATACTGACATGTCTTGACAAGGGCGGCAACTAGTAAGACAGCATACATTTTATAGGACTCAAACTTATTTGGCGATACTTCGGGTCTATGTTGAATGTTTGTGATTTCCGATTGTCTCTACTTGCTAAAAATAAACTACACCTTGACGTGGATATACTAGGAAGAGCTATTTGGACACGGACATACCTTCATCATGGCCACATAGGCCTCAATGTTTACCCCCTGCTAAGCTCTTCATGTCCAGCCCGAACTAGGCTCTCAGGGCCCTTAACATCGCCAACACCAGTCCAGTAGAATAACCCAGCCAGCCCCTTTCTCCTTACATACTCAGCTTTCCGTCTTACCGTCTCTGGGACGTCAAAGCTGACGAATCCCTTACCTGCATGGTCAACGTAGCTCGCAGCCACTACATGATGATCAACAGTTGCATGCCTGATCCACTCCCGCGGTAGATCATTGTAGTCGACCTCTGCAGCTGACTTGAAGGGCTGACCAACCCCACGGGCCCCAGCAAAAGACCTTGCGTATACGGGCACACCTAGCACAATTTTGTGAACTGGGAAGCCCCGTGATGCCAGGTACTCAACACCGCGGTGGCAAGAATTTCTCAGAGCCGGGTATACATGCTCTTGTAAGCCTGGCTGGGGTAAGAGCTGGGCGTGGTGGCCTGATACATCGGTCCATGGGCCATTGAAGTCGTAGCCCATTAGGTTTAGACTATCGAGGAGTTTTCCCGCTGTGTGCATATCGATGTTCTTCAAGCAGTACTCACCAGTGGGCAGGGCGGTAGTAAGGAGATATCGGGGCGAGGGCAGCACCTCTCTTAGGGCGCGGAGTACGGCAATGTAATTTTTACCTGCTTCTGGTGTTGTCGGGTGCTCCCAGTCGATATCTACGCCGTCGAATTGGTACTGCTCTACGAATTCCTTGCAGGACCTCGCGAACGTACTCCGATGGGCAGAGTGCGCGGCCATGGCGGGAAACTCGGCGCTGCCGCTGCCACCACCAATTGATACTAGAGTTTTGAGATCAGGCTTTTGCTGCTTTAGTTTGGCCAGCGCACGGAGACAGCCCTTCTCCCCGTCGACGTCTTTGGTTAAGTCTGCAAACTCGTCTAATAGTTTGAGGGTTCCATCTTCGTTTAGCCGGACGAAGGCATAGTATATTTGGTTAACGCAGTCGAGCTGGAGGGACGAAGGGGGAAAGCCCTTATAGACTCGCCAGCTGGGATAGTATACGGCATTGATGGGGGGTTGGTTAGATGACATAACGGAAGCTTTGGAAGTAAATAGCGGAAACATAGGTAGGCACGTAACCTAGGTATCTGGTTAGGGACAGGGTAGTAGGAAGAAAATAAGATTTAATTAATATTATTGGGAATGCCCTCAAGTATGTATAGGTTAGACGTATAGGGATGAAGCTATTTAATTCTTGATATGTTCGAGCTGAATGAGGATGAGGATGAGGATGAGGTAGCCAAGTTGATGATGCTGTGTAAAAGGTTGTCTGGACCTGCGGCCGGCGGCCTGCTTGTATCCTTGATGTGTGGCGGTACCTCTTACCTTGAGCAACACGAGGACTCCAGTCGTATGTTCAATGGAAGAACCCTGAAAAGTACCTACATTAAGACATATATGTATATACGTACATACCTACAATTTGAACATCCTATCGAATTTTAAAGTTCAAGACGAATGTTCCCGGTTCATGACAAATGTCTCAATTCTAGTCAGTGGCTAGGACCATCTTTTCTGGACACTGCCCGAAGTTTGAGTTTGATGTTAGATACCTGTCAGGTTCATCCCAACAGGGAGTGAAAGCCTTGTGGTTTCTTATTGCGGTTGGTACTGGAAAGCCTTAACCTACAGCAGAAGGCATATTCATTTTCAATATTACTGGTTGCGGCTTGCTGCCTTTTCTGTCATAGCAAAAATAGGACAGCAATTCCAGTCTGTGTAAGTATCTGTGTAAATATGCGATCAATTGACGTATTGCTAACAATGCGTCAAACTAATTCGCTCTGTAAATCGCGGTGTTGTTCATGATATTAAAAAAAGGGGGTTATTGTTCGCGTGGTTATGCGAAAACACGTAAAGCTGATGATAAGTGACGGTTAAGTGCTAGAAATAATTTTGTAGAATTTGTAAAAGAGGGGTTCAATTCTTAAATGCAATTATATACAATTCCTATGTATATCCAATTAACCGAGTCATTTAATTCAAACCATCCCAAAATCCCGTAACTTTTCGCTCGCTCAGATATGTAGATACCCTCGATAGATATGCAATTATACCAGGTGTAACTCCACTTATGCATGAATAACATGCCAATTTCAACCTTTGATCTTTTGTCAAAATGATCCACAACTCATCATCAATCATGATTTCTAGTACCCGTTTAATAGCTCATTGTCTTGAGTCGGCATACATCTATGGGCACCACATTTCGATCTTGACATTTTGAACCTCGTCGAGAACCTTGAAATCCATGTCTTTTTGCTTGAATGCCACGATAATCATGTCGAACCCTTCGAGGCTCGACTTGTTCCAGTCACTCATATCTAGACGGGGGATGTGAGGGATGGCAGTTTGCTCTACCAATGCATCGGCAAACATAACATCGACTCGTCCCGAGTCAGAGAGAGTTTGAATAAGCTTCAGCCCCGGTGAGTTGCTTAGATGAGACTGGCCAACCTTGAATCCCACCCCGACAACTAGTACTCGAGGTCGGAATAAGCTGGATGATTTCTCTGAAAGTGATATCCGTGATGAGGTCTCGGTACTCTCGACGTGTTCAGAGTCGGGATTGTTACTAAGATAAACATTCTCGCCGTTGACGGGAGTTTGAGTCGAGGCATTATGCGGTGCCTCCCGGAAAAGGGCATCTAAAGCTCTTTGCCCGATCTTCTCCGGTCGTTGCCACATAGTTTCGGTTGCCATCTTCAAAAGAGGGAATGAGCTGTTGGCCATGAGATAGTATGGGTTGACCGGGATGCAGTGGCCTCCAACACCAAGACCGGGAGTGAACGGAGTATAACCGAACGGCTTGGTTGATGCCGCTCTGCATACCTCGTAAGGGTCGATGCCGTGGCCAACGCAAGCATCCGCCATCTCGTTGGCATACGTGATGGCGATCATCCTTTGGCAGTTCTCATACAGTTTGGTCATTTCTGCCGTTTCCGGTGTTGATACGGGAACGATGGAGTCAAACACGCGCGAATATAAACGGGTAATTGCGGCAAGAGATCCGGGGACAACATCGTCTAACCCGGATATGACCTTTGGGATGGTGTGCATGGGTGGATCAGTTCGTCCAGGGTCGACTCTCTTCAAAAACTGTTAGTAGGCTTACTGAATATCGTGGTATTAGTAACGTACCTCTGGAGACATGCCCGCGAAAAACCCTTTCTCTTTAGCCAAGGGGCCGAGTAGCTGCCTTGTCATTCCGATGGCAACCGAGCTTTCTATCACCACTGTTGAGCCTGGCCGAGCATATTTCCGCACGTTTGTTAACGCGCTTCTGACATATGATGTGTCGATTGTCTTATCAGCTTTGAGAAGCGTTGGCACTGAAATAAGGAAGTGGGTAGCCCTGGAGAGATTTCGAGGATCGAGGGTGAAAGATACACGACTTTCCTCGCCCCCAAGCTCCTCTTCTAATCTTCGGAGTTGCTCTTTTGATACATCGAAGCCCAGCACGTCGTAATGACTCGAAAAAGAGCCGATGAGCTGTGTTCCAACATATCCGCACCCGATGACAGCCACAAGAGGCTCTTCATTATCATCGATGTTGTCAGAGCGGACTAGATTCGAGTTTTGCTGTCTATCAACTTCGCTAAAAGTATCAACTTGAGGAGTTCTGGGCGGCGAAGTTTCTTGGCTCGGCTTGTTGCTCTGTCCGAAAAGGTCTACGGCCAGGGGAGGGTCCCGAGCAGGGAAAGCCGCTCGAATCTCCTGCATGACATCGCCGGTGAGAAGGGGATACATATTGGAAATTTGCATAATGCAGATGATGAAACGAGTGGATTGGTCAACTATAAGAGAAGCAACAGGAGCTTTCTCGAAGAATTAGAAAACACCGAGAAGTGGAAGTTGTCACAATGAGAGAACCTAAGTGAAAGCAGGTCGATAACGAACAAACATATTCTGATTGAAACAGGAGATTCGACGCAGAATATAAAGTATCGGATCTTTAGGTTCAACCACTACGCTTGACTCGAGCTCGCATATGACAAATGTAACCCTCTTTTCTCAACAATTGTCTATTCTATTACATACAAGCGTACGTGCAACCTGCGATCGATCTACAGCAGTTGCTTTCTTTAGCTCAGACCCGACATAACGAAAATTAACCAGCCTGGTGGGCACGGATTCGACCGAGTCCAATCAGACTACATGCAAAGTTTCGCCCCATCCAGCTCGGAGAGTGACGTACCAATGCTGAGAATAATATGTTCTAAGTCTAATAGGCGAGGTGGTTGTTTTCGCGAGTCATTACATGGCGATCAATCGCTCAGTTATTCCATCTCGATCGTTAGCGTCGTCCTAGATCTAGGGTCTACACTATTTACACTAGTAAGGGCATAGGGCAAGGGGCAGCAAGCTAGCTATGGAATCAAGGCTATTCTATCGAGTCCCGTCCCTATGCAGATGATCTGCATAGAGCCGCACACGGCTGCTCGACCGCCCGAACCAGCCATTGGCTCCCCGCAAATCAAATATTCCGACAAGGATTTAAGTTCACGACAACTATTACGGTTCCTGACAAGTGGTTATAGTTTAGCCAGGTCCCAGTCACAGCAGTTTTCTAAGTTCCAAAGCCTACCTAAGCGTTCAGAGAGCTACAGCACGAACATTGGCTCGGATGGAAATTATATGTTCTCACCAAGGACTCGACTTAAAATTATTCCAGCAGGACCATATATACTTATTTCTACCACTAAAACTGAACGTGGGTCTGGGGTCTCCTCTCTTACCTTGAAATGATGCGATTGGTCGTTTAGGGTAACGCTAGCATTATTCACATCTTTGGAGCTATATATACGCTTTATATCTGCTAGTCATCTGTTATGGATCTGAGGTCAAGAGCTATTATAGATTCTGGCCTAACTACCTGACTCGAGTAGACACGATATGATGTCTCTTACGGTGCCGCCGTCTGAATTTTCGTCTCCGGTATTATGGGAGCCCTCTATAGAGCGTGTTACATAGGTCAAGGCGATTCTCTGGACCCGCGAGTCTAACTACAGTTAGAAACTTAAGTCTCTCGCCACGAAGTTTGTCTACGCAAGTACATGCATAGGTCTGTGTGGATACGTTTACTCGTAAAGAAGATGGCGGATCCCGTTAGTTTTCTGGATCTTCGAGGCTTACAAATTCAAATAAGCACGGTAACCACTCTAAATACTATGTCGGGATCTAGCCTGAAGGTCAACTGAATCACTGTATTCTTGGCTTGCGAAATAGAAACTTCATCAACATCATCCCAAAGTTTCTTCATATTCTGATATTCAGCTTTTCGGTCTCTGACTATCATAAGACGTCAGAGGGGTAGGGGTCGCAGAAGAATACATAGAGCTAATTGTTCCTTGTTCCTAGATGAATTTTTTTTTTTGGCTCTCCTTGACTCTCTTGCCTTGAGGAAGCTTCAGGAAACTTTACTAGTCATTCATTAAAAGACAGCCAGGACATTTGATGTCACTCGATCTGGAAACCCTTTTCCGTTTCTTCAACTTAAACCACTTGTTTTGTTGGTGCCAAGCTACGGGCTTCTCGACAGGTCTATTCAAAACGCGGACGCAGTGTCTTCCCGTTCATTATATTGCCAATCGTCGGTACTCGTGACCTGTCAGTTCACCACGGCGGTCACGCCAGGGAAAAAGCATCATGGTCTTCTTTAACCGCACTACAAGAGTTAGTTAGCCGCTTCTTTTATCGAATGTCGCTAACGGTAAATAGGTGGAGAGCAATCCAAGTACAGATGGAGGAAAAAATTCGTCGTCGTCAGAGAATCCCTTCTCAGATAGACATAACCGGCCTTCACGGTCGTTTAGTCTTAGATCCCGAGAGTCTACTCAGAATGAAAAGCCGGGGGGAGCTGGCTTCCAACAGGAAGCTCCTCCTGTACCTGGGCAAACTGCCGGCACCCATATTGCGACTGGAACACGCCTACAACCTAACCAACATGGCATAGGTCAGGACCATCTGCCACGGACCATATCGCCAACTACGTCCAATTCCGGCTCACCTAAAGAAGAGCGGGCGGCAATACTCGAGAGTCTACCTCCTCTGTCGGTTAACGAGACAGCTGCATCTATAGCTGCCGAGGCTATAGATCCCGAACTAATAAAGAAGGGTCAAAAGAAGGTTGCCAGACACAAATATATCGCGATATCTTTCATATTCGTAGTGAAGTAAGTTACTCGCCTATCTTTTACTACATATGAGGAACTAACACACGTCAGTTTCATGCTTATCTTTTCCAGTTGGTATTGGTCTAGATTCTATTACATATACCTGCCATTCATCTCATTGCCTCTCGTCTTAAACAGCGTCATGATTTTCGATATCATCGTCTGGTCGTTGAAGAACCTGGCCTTCAAACCGAAAAGGGTTATACCCGAGACTCCGGAGGAAATGGTTCTACTTATGCCCTGCTATAACGAGACTTATGAAGAATGCAGTAGGTCGCTCGACTCACTTATCAATCAAGTCAATGTCAGTCATCACAAGCAAGCGATCATGGTTGTTTGCGATGGCAAGGCTCGAGGGCCTGGCATGGACAAACCCACGGGCGATTATCTTAACGAGGACATTTTTGTCGACAGAGTCGAGCGGAGGATGATCCGCGCGGCATATGTCGCCTGGGACGGCCAGTCCATGGATGTCGAAATATCAAGAGGGATGTACAAAGGTTTGCCATTTTTCTGCATCGTGAAGCAGCAGAACCAGGGCAAACGAGACAGCTTGATCGTTGCTCGCTCTTTCGTGCACAACTTCAACCTACGCGATAAGCGACCGAAGGTCATTTTCTCTCCCGAGTTCTTTAGGGCAATGACAGACTTTCTAGTTAAAGATGCGGGAATCAAACATGTCGAACTATTAATCGGCATGGATGCCGACACAGTATTTGCGCACGATTGTCTCAGCCATCTAGTTGAAGAATGTCATTATCCCAATACCGTCGGCGTCTGCGGCTACGTCTCGGTAGACTTTTCAACCTATAAGTGGAACTTGTGGTCTATATACCAGTCAGCCGAATATACTATCGCTCAAGGCTTACGGCGGCTTCACCAGAGCCTATGCACCAAGAAAGTCTCTTGTCTTCCGGGATGCTGTCAGCTACTCCGGGTTTGCGAGGAGACATGCGGCGACTACATTCTCATCGAGGAATTCGGCTACCATCCCAAGCCAACAGATGGCATTATCACACGTATCCGCGCCACGGCGTCTGAGGACCGGAACCATGTCTGCTTAATGCTTATGAAGTTTCATAAGGCTCGTACACGACAGGCCCTGAGAGCGTACGCTTTTACTGACGTGCCGCATTCACTCTCGGTCTTCCTCAGCCAGCGGCGCCGCTGGACACTCGGCGCGACAAGCAACGATCTCATGTTGGTTACCTCGGCCGATTATAAGTTCAACCTATGGGAGCGCCTTGTCGCACTTTCGAACGTCTTGACATGGACTCTTAACTTTTTTGTTATTGCGAGTCTGGCCAGTATGATATTCGCATTTTTGCGTAAGTACTCGACTGTCATTTCAACCCAGTCATGGTAACATATACTAATGTTCAACTATATAGACCAACCTTTCTATATCATCATTATTTTTGCTTCCATTATGATCATACCCCTCTGCTACTACCTCAGCTTAGCCGTATGGCTGTGCCAAAGTTGGAGGGAGCGCGGTCAATACCTCTTAGGCCTGGCCATATTTTCAACCTGCGGTCCTTTTATCAACGTCTGCGTCACTATATACGCATGTGTCTACATGGATAATTTCGGTTGGGGTAAAACGCGTAAGGTAGTCGACGAGACGGAGACGGGTGAAGCCGAGGAACCAGACTGGCAGACACAACAGGAGCGTTACCAGGATGCGCTCAATAACAGCGACATGATTTTCGGCACTATGATTCCTGACGAAGAGAACCAGCTACATCCAGAGGTCTACAGGACGCCGTTTACGGTACCTACACCAAGCCGCACGACTCCCTGCAGGGTCGACAGCGAGGCGATACAGCAAATACCCGAGGGACTACCTACGGACCCATCTGCGCGTGGAATCGATGGTGATATATTACAACTACCACCACCCACACATTATCCTACTCACAATCATCCTTCACACAACCCCCCTACACACAATATTCCTACGATAATCCTTCCTACTGAAAATCCCTCTACGGGCAATCCTCACGTCTCTGACACCCACCAATTTAACTAGTCGGCGTTACGAATTATAAGAAATGAGAGGAGTCTAGCCCATAAAAGTCAGTTGACAGACGTACGGCTTCTACTCATGCCGGAGCCTATCCCTATCATTCCCTTGCATTGTACTTTCTCTGAGCATATACGGCCTACAACCTGACGTTGTGGAAACTCAAAAGTTGAGGTAGCACTTGGTGTAAGTGTTGATATTGCGAGGCACGCAGTGTCTACTAATAAAACGAATGTGTTAATGCGCATATCCGTCTACCAGTTCACGACGAGGTGAAAACAAATAGGTAGTTACAAGATACGGATACAATGGCATATTAAAAGCATATAGATTTAGAAATATATGGTGGTTTAACTGCGATGTCTTAGAGACTTCATAGCTCTAACCTAGTAAAATTATAATTATAATATACAGTATATCACGTCTAATAACATCTGTGCGGGACGTGTGGATTAATCTAGTATATACCTCAAAACGTGTGAGGACCAAGGCAACGTAATCTATGTTCTCGGTCCATTGGCTAGTTAACCTAAAGGTCTTTGGTAGTATATTAACCTAGGCGAAGGTGGAGAGGACACCCGGCTCGTTTCTTTACTATATTTAACTCTATAAACCTAGGTTAGGTGGCTTTGACAAGAGTTAACTCATAGTCGCCGCTACGGCTTACCTTCTACTGGTGTAGTTTTCACGGACGAGTCTGAGGCTTGCAACACAGTCCCCAGTTCCCAACATATTATACTCTCATATACTCTCACACTCTCATACACTCTCAGATGTTGGCCAGGAGAGACGTATATATATTGGCCCTCCCACCCATTCCATGCCAGACCGAGACCGATACCGAGACTAAGACCAAGCAACCAGCTTACAGTGTTTATTCCTATTAATTATTCCTATTAAATCCAAACATTAGAAAAGCAATATGGGCCACGACAAGAACAGCACCGCGGCAGAAAGGGCATTAGCCTGTGCCCTTGTTATCATAATAATCACATGTTTCACTATCACCGTCGCCATGGGCGCATCACAAGATCTCCACAGCAATGTTAATCGCGCCGTGCCAAACAGTCACGATGATGTTCCGCCTTCCGTTCTCCCACGAGGAGACCCGTAAGTATTCCCTAAGTATTCCCCAAGTATTCTCTCTGCATACTTCGCTTTCACCAGCAATAATATCTCGACTAACCATAACCATGCCAAAAAGCGACATGCCCGACGGAAAGCCCCTCTTCAACATGTCGCGTCCGCACGTCGGCGACGTCCCCTACGGCCAGGCCATCTTCGCCTGCGCCAACCCGGGGCAAATCGCGCTGACGTTCGACGACGGCCCTACCTACTGGACCAACCACATCCTGGACCAGCTGGACGGCCTCGACATCAAGGCGACGTTCTTCGTCACGGGCAACAACCCGTTCCTGGGCCGGCGCATCGACAAGGACTCGCAGTACGCAGACATGCTCAACCGCATGCAGTCGAGCGGCCACCAGATCGCGTCGCACACCTGGACGCACAAGCACCTAGAAGACATCGGGCGCGAGGGCCGCTTCAAGGAGATGGTGTACAACGAGATGGCGCTGCGCAACGTCATGTACACGCCGCCGACGTACATGCGGCCGCCGTACGGGGAGTGGCGCGACGCGGACGAGATGCGGGATCTCGGGGCGCTGGGGTACCACGTCATCATGTACAACATCGACACCAAGGACTACAAGCACAACACGGAGAAGGACATGGAGGTTTCCATCGGGCTGTTCAAGGACGCGCTGAGGGAGGACGGCAACGGCTCGTACATTGTGCTGGCGCACGACGTGCGCGAGTGGACGGCGCTGAAGCTGCTCCCGGCTATGATCCAGACCATGTACCAGAGGGGATACCGCGCCGTGACGGTGGGGGAGTGTCTGAACGATTCCGAGTTTAATTGGTATAGGGATCCTGATAAAGAGGAGGGAAGCTGATCGGGGGTGGGGGGGGAGGGGGGTTATAACTTATAGGTAGGTAGTTACTGTATTATATTATTACAGATTTGGATGATGGGAGGAAGGGAGGGGACGGCATTTTGGCGTTTTGGCTGGTACATGTATTTTCTTAGTATTTTCTTCTTCTTGGGGAACCCCTAATAAGGTTGATGTGTGTTGTGTTGTGCCTACTATAGTAGATAGTAGATGAAAATGAAAATGGGTTACATGGTATAAATTAAATTCGTGTATACCCGGGGTCCCGATGGTTGGTTAGACTTGAGTATCTTAATAAAGGTGGCATATCTTTAGACGGCTTGGGATTCACTTGTTTAATTCTTGGTTATAGAATATAGCTTTGTTACTAACTATGCTAGCTATTCAATATACCTTAGGTACTTAGTAATAAATACTATACGCTCAAACCTTCACGATCTCCTGATTATTCAAGTCGACCAAGACAATATCAGGTGTTTTCTTCTGACGTACTTCGAGCGGACTAACCCTCCCAGCATTTTCGGCTTGGTTCCTGAGTCATAATCATATAGTCCTAGCGTATCCTCGAGCTGCCCTTACGCCGGGTTAAATATCGTAAGTGTTCATAGCTCTTCGTCTTTCGCTTTCACCTCTGCTCTAGCGACGTCTGATGGCGCGCACGTCTCAGCCGCAAACTCGTCGACGCCTCTACTAAACGAACTAATGGAGAACAGAGTATCCGTGCGGCAACATGGAAGCTAAAACCACTTACCCAAGTCCTGTGTATCTCCTCCGAGCGCTGATTGGAGCGCATATAGAGTAGTAGGTACACACGGATGAGCCTGGCTTCACAAGCCTTTAGTAGTGCAACTTATAAGAGAGCCTCTCGGAGCTTAACATGTTAAGAAACTAATCCCTGCTTGTGGTAGCTTTCCCTTTTCTCATTGACCTCCCCCTTGACCTCCCCCCTGTCCCCCCCCAGTGGAGAGCCTTTTTTTTTCCCTGTGGAGGCTCTATGGGGTTAACCAATGAGGACGTCATCTTCCCCTCGTCTCCCCTCGTTTCCCCTCGTCTCCTTTCTGTTGGGATCTGTGATCTGTGGGACCATGTCATCTTCGTCCAACCCGCGGCCGCAGAAGTTGGAGATTTGGGGCTGCGGGGTTAAAGTCCGAATAAAACATGGCATTGCTTCCTCGTAGCTATGCCCTGTTCCTTGTCGTGCCTATCCCTAACGAGGTAATCCGGCTTGATGTCGGGTACAAGACGCGGCGAGGACCGTGGAACTCGTGACCTGCGTTGCCGAAGCTACCTATCTATGTATGTATTGGTTCTCACGCGGCGGTTATGCTGTGACGTTGGACTAACTATATCTGGTATGAGGGTTGGCGACGCCTTTGTCTCCTGGCTACTACATAAGCCTTAAGGTACAGAATTCAAGTGTTATTCATTGGGTATATATCATGTAGATTGCCCCCCTCCCATGTAGGCTTTTAAAACCCCTCTCACAGCATTGGCGATTGTCATCTCACAAGAGGACACGCATATAAATGTCCAAGTGAGCAGTGACAGAATCGATCTTGTATTGCTTCAAGCAAAAATGGCCAAGATAGAGAGGCTTCCCGGCACCAATGTAGCCAACTTCCTAGAGAAGCGACAGCTGCTTGTTGCGATCAACTGCATCGCCGCGCTGGTGCGTATTATACAATGTTCTGCGCATTTTTGTGGTAGTCCGCTTGTATCTAACTCATCATAGTCTATCTTCTTTTTTGGATACGATCAGGGTATGATGTCTGGAGTGAACGGTATGTATAACAACATGAGATCTTATTATCCCAAACTTCTCCTTAGTGTATTCCTTCGTGTATTCCTTCATGTATGGAATACGGTAGCTAACACTCAGTAGTAAGTAGGATAACCCTACTTTTTCAGCTTGCTCGAGAAAGAGCTCAAAGGCTTTCAAAAGCTAACATGACATTTCGCTATACTAGAATTCCAAGGACTATATCGACCTCATGGGCCTCGGATATGTCGATCCGGACACGGATGAGCCTATCATCACGGACAGTCTGCTACAAGGCGGCATCGTCTCAGTCTACTACCTAGGGACGTTATTTGGGTGTTTAGGCGGAGGATGGGTTGGCGATAAGATCGGTAGAATAAAGACTATCGCCTTGGGATCCGTATGGGCCGTTATAGGAGCCAGCCTGCAATGCTCGGCTATGAACCACAGCTGGATGATCTGCGCTCGTGCTGTGAACGGCATCGGAACTGGTATCCTAAATGCCATTGTCCCCGTCTGGTGAGACATTCTTAACTACCTGTTTATAACATTCCTTGTCTAAGTATAGGTATCTAACCTAACTCCTACTCAAGGGCGACCGAAACGGCGGAACACACCTCGAGAGGTCAATTCATTGCCATCGAGTTCACTCTGAACATCTTCGGTGTTGTCGTCGCCTACTGGCTCGAATTCGGCTTATCGTTCATCGACAATGGTAATTCAGCATTCCGATGGCGATTCCCCATTGCATTCCAAATCATCCCGCTGCTCGTACTTCTAGGAGCGGTCTGGTTCTTCCCGGAATCGCCTCGATGGCTTGCCAAGGTTGGGCGCGTTGAAGAGGCCCGTTTCATCCTGCATCGACTCCGAGGATCGACGGGAGAAGACCTCCAGAGGGCCGAGTCGGAGTTGCACGACATCACTAACATCGTCGCCCTCGAATCCAAAGAGTCTCAAAAGAACTCGTATCTGCATATGCTCTTCGGCATCGGCTCGGGCGAGTTGCACACTGGACGACGTGTCCAACTTGTCATCTGGCTGCAGATTATCCAGGAATGGGTCGGCATCGCCGGTGTCACCGTGTATGCGCCTACCATCTTCCGCATAGCCGGCTTCGACACGTTTAAGAGCCAGTGGATTAGCGGTCTGAACAATATCTTCTACATGTTCGCCACGCTCATCTGCGTTTTTACCTTGGATCGTATCGGCCGCAGGTGGACTTTATACTGGGGAGCTGTCGGTCAAGGCATTGCCATGTTTCTTGCCGGCGCATTTTCTAAGCTGGGCCAAGATGCGACTGCGAACGGCGAACTAGATAAGGCCAGCTCGTACGGAGCAGCCGCAGCGTCTTTCGTATTTATCTTCACATCCGTCTTCGGTGCAACCTGGTTGACGGTACCCTGGCTATATCCTGCCGAGATCTTCCCTCTCCAGGTCCGAGCAAAGGGGAACGCCTGGGGTGTTGTCGGCTGGTCGATCGGAAACGGATGGCTAACGCTTTTGTGTCCTGTCATGTTCTCGAGTAAGTCCGGCCCTCTTTCGATTTCAGCATAGCTACATCTAACCAAACTGCCTTAGACATCGGCTCTACGACGCTGTACATCTTCGGCGCGTGCAACATATTAGCAATTCCAATAGTCTGGGCTTTTTACCCGGAGAGTAACCAGCGGACGCTAGAGGAGATGGACCTCCTATTCGCAGCACCCACGCCATGGGTTTGGGACGCCGAGAAGACGTTTGCGCGACTCAAGGAAGAGCGGCCAGACCTTATTCAGGCTGCTAAGAGAGGCGAGCATGTCGTTGACCCCGAGGCTGGTATTCTAGCACACCCGGCAACCCCGAAGAACGAGACGGCAATCCATGCGGAAAGCGAGGAAAATGCATCCTCGTAGACGGGCTATTATGTTCAACTACGGCGAGGCATATCACCTTTCGGCACGGCTAATTATAATTCTACCACCTTCTGGTATTCTTTAGAGGATCGATATAAATAAGATGTGTGCTTAAATATGGCGAGGAAAGTTATCTAGAAATACGTAGACTTGAGCTGTCTAAGACTAGAAGTGATGGAAGAGCATCGATACCCCCCTGGACTTTAACGTATAGCCTGAATCAATTATATTATATTTTTACCATATAAGTACTGTGTAGTGAGGAACAGACTGGGACGATGTTCAAGTATCGAAACGCCCTTACTCGGTGATCTCTGCTCAGCTTCCTTTGGAGTTATATCTTGTAACTACCTACGTAATAAACTCCTCATCTTTCCCGCTTTCAGCCCCCGAGGTTATCTTCCCCTGCCTTTTGAATGTTTACACGCTCGTAAAACAGGGATTGGTATTCCTACCCACTACTAATGAACTGGTCTGCCTTCCAACGACACTTGAACGGGTATTTTACTCCAAAACGAAAACTCCTGACAGGTATACTCTCTCGGGGGAGGATTTCCATGATATATGGTCTCTCCTAGCTTATATAGTATTATATGTAGGTGACCTAGTATCCCATGTCGATGCCTCTCTACAGAAAGGGGTATTAAACACTATTCAAGTTCATTAATACCATAGCCTAGTAGTAGAAACGCTAAGAGTATATATAGAAACACGTACCATAGAGATAGCTGCCATTCAGTCCAGTATCTGATGTGCCTATTCAGCCGCTTCGCCTTCTGCCCCGGTGAACCCGATAGCACCATCACCGACCACCAGCGCAGGCGAATAGGCTCCTAGGTTGATATTTAAGGGGGCGCTAACAGCGAGGCCGACGAGCGCGGCGAAGATGATGGTAAATGTGGACTTCATGTTGCGTTTTTGTCTTTGTCTTTGTCTGTTAGAGTGGTGTGATCCGGTTATAACAGAAGTAAAAATAGAAGTAAATATGCGAATCGGGAGGAGGTAGACGGGGGAGATGGATATCAGGGAGGTAGACGACTGGCTCAAGAACGTAAATATTATGATGTATATTATAATAATATAGCGCACCTGTGCACTTCGTAGAAAAGACTGAAATAAGTTGGGACGAGAACTAGCTATCGAGAGAAAGGAGGAGAAACCATAAAAATGGGGGGAGGAGTCCGGATTCTTATCATGTTTCCCAGATCTCATGCCAACTAGTTTTCCGCCATCTCTACCTCGAAACGACATGGCCAAAAATAGGTATTCCAGCCTTCGCCTCAAGGTATCGTGTGGCTCAACCCTCGGTGTTGAGTCTGCCAAGACGCACTGCCAAGGGCCTCAGATCGGGCCAAGCCGTGGGATCGCCGCCGTATCTGTCGCAACCCCACGAGTAGTCACACACATGATGTCTGGGAATGAAAACAACTAGCCGGAATAAGTTGCATACACCAATTATACACCAATTAAGTGTACAGAAATGGCGAGGGGAACAAGACCCTAGCTGGCGCACTGGTAATTCAATAGTGGACTACGATGGCTGCCGTGCTGCTACCGCGGATTTATGTTTCGACCTAATCGAAGCCGTGAACCAGACAAGCTTGTTTTTGTGCTATCACGGGGAGAGTCAGCTAGGTTAGAGCTAGGCTAGACGGTATATAATATTGCCAAGCTGTGTCACGAAGACGTCCTTGGTTGAATATCACACAGCTGAAAAGTAATATAGCACGCTTGGCAGCTAAGCGTTACTTTACCTATCCCCTTGGATGGCCGTTAATAAAAGAGATTTACTATGTAACTACCTGTCTTGTTAACTGCGGGGTTTCCATCCAGTCCTTTACGCCGTGATATCTATCATGATATCTATAGTAGTTAGGAATATAATGACTTGTATCTCTGGGATAATAAGGGGTTGAGTATTATATCCATCACACTTATACCTCCCCTTTAAGCTAAAAGGGGGATAATAAGCCCAGGGTCTAGCCAGTAGTATCTTCAGAGTCCATCTTATTACCTGAAGCTTCAAATCACACCAGAGACGGGATGCGATGTATCAAGGTTGGCTCACATTGGCATTAACATTTCATCTCGCACGTAGGCCTCGCAACCCCCTATCCCTAACCTACTTCTACATACCTATAAATCCGGCATCGCCCTCAAATAATCCTCCAAACCCTGAAGCTCAACCCCCCTCTGCGCATTAAGCGTCTTCTCCATATCCCACGCCACGCCCTTCCCCACCGCCCACACGTTCGTATACTTAAGCATCCCATCATCCGGCCTCTCCCGCAGCTTCTCCTTCAAGCCCTCCACATCCCACACTTCCCGCGTCCACTCCCCCCCGAACCTCCCCTCCACCAGCTCCGCAACCCGGGCGTACGTCACCGTGTCCCCCGCAATGTAGACCACCTGGTGCGAGACGTCCCGCGGATCGTACGCCACCTCCGCCGCCATGCGCCCGATATCCGCCGCCGTGGTAAGCGACAGCCGAGCATCCCAGGACCCCAGGGCGCGCAGTTTGCGCGCTGGCAGGTCGACGACGCCGAAGGCCGGCAGGAACAGGAAACTCGTGAACAGCCCCGTCGACACGATGATCCAGTCCGTGTCCCGCTGCGAGCGCAGCAGCGAGCGCACGCGCAGCTGCTCGTCGAATAAATCCTGCGCGCTGCCGCCCCCCACGGCGTCGTAGTCGATGCCCCATTGCCAGGGGATGTACCGCCGCGCCTTAGCTTGCAGGACCGCCTGCGTGAGTTTGACCTGGGTTCCGGGCGGCAGGCCGAAGCCCGAGCACGAGATTATAGTGTGGTACTTCTCAAACACCCCGGCGAGCTGCTCGGCGGAGTCGTTCGCCAGGTCGCCCGCCTCGAAGGTAGCGCCTAGGGACTTGAGACGGTCGTTCTGCGCTTTCTTGGCTGGGTCCTGCGAGGAGATGCTGGATTGCCGAAGCAAGATGGCGATGGAGCCGCTGTTGCGCTTAGGATGCGCGACGAGGGACTCCAGGACAGCTGTGCCGAGCTCGCCGGCGCCGATGAGTAGGATGGGTGGGGAGGCGCTCATGTTAGATTTTGGATTTAAATCTCTCTAGGTAAGATAGGTATGTAAAATGTCCTCGTAGCTTCACTGATAGAGTAGATGTTCCTGAAAAGTATATATATATATATATATATGTCAATCAAGTATCACGACCCCTTTTATACCCTCCCCCCCAAAGGAAACAGCTAAACCACACACGATGACAAATAAACCCTGCTTGCGGTTGAAAGTTTCAGCATGACTTGAGGTCGAGCTACATGGCCAAGAACCAATCATATTCTGGTAAATAGGACGATCCTTGGTTTGTAATTAGTAATGGCAGACTTACGCTCTACTCGTGAAGATTCTCAGGAGATAACGGGTATTAGACTACTCGACCCGCGACTCGCCTTGTATGATGATGTATAAACTTGATTAACCCCGAGGGGGGTCTGGCTTGGCAGGCGTAATTGAATCCCAGGTTGAGTGGAACTGTTTAACTCTGTACGGTTAAGCCTAGCCGACGTCTCTAACCTACTGGGTATTGTTAGGTCGTATTGGATTTGACCTTTTCACGATATAAACAAGCAGCTAACACGAACCAGACAAGACGGTCAAATATGGTATATATCTTTATGTTAGAGAAGTAAAACTCCCCTCTACGAGGTAATTAGATAGATACACAAGTATATATTACTACTCATCAAACGAAGAAAACAGAGTCTCCTGTTTATCCGCTAGCAAATCTATTTGCCATAAGCCAAGGCTATCGGAAAACATACCCCCTACGTAATCGCAACACTCACTCATACAATCTGACCCATCCAAGCTTGACTTTCACTCCTAGAGCATATGTGAATCTTGGGCTATCTCATATAGCTAGCTCTCTCGATAGTGATTAGATTTACTGTCACTCTAATCCAAGACTCTACCGGCTAGGCCTGAACCGCTTCTGTCCTTCGTCTGCGTCTTCTTTAACGCTTTGCCCAGGCGAACCTCGTTCAAGAAGGCACTAGGCCTGCCGCCGCCGGAAGGAGCTGGCAAAGCACCTGGAGCTGGTGGAGGAGGAGGAGGAGGCGCCCCGGGAGCCCCGAAACCAGGCATCGGGGGAGGTGGTGGCGGGGGAGCTCCTACACCTGCTTCTGGCATGGGTGGCGGTGGTGGAGGTGCGGCAGGTGACCCCGCAGTCTCTCCGATAGGGGGAGGGCTGAAAGGTGTTGAAGCTACAACTGGCGAAGCTCCGACAGACTTGTCACCCGTGGCCGATAGTGGTCGAGGAGGGCCCATGGAGCCGAAGAGAAGAGAAGCTAGCTGAGCAGCACCGGCGGCTGGCCGTTCATCATCTGAATCTTCATCATCCTCTTCGTTTCCAGAGCCCCATTCATCGTCCGTGTCTGGCCGTTTTCGAGAAGGAGGTGGTACTGTTTTGGCCTCCTGGGTTATTCGGAAAAACGGATTAGTGGACACTTCCGGTTGGGGAGGCGGCGGTGGCGGGGGAGCGGGAGCAGGGGCAGCTGGTGCAGCCGCAGGGGGAGCCGCGGATGACTCCGAGGACTGAGATAACATCCGGCGGTAGGGGTTGCGACTCTCCGATTCCGAGGGAGGGCTAGCGACAACCGAAGGGGGGGACATTACAGGCGGTGCGGGGGCAGGAGGTGGCGTAGCTTTACGCTCCAGTTCCTGGCTACCGAGCTGACTGTTACTAAGAGTAGGAGTAGATGCTTGAGGGGTGATCTGCTGCGGACCCTCGTCATCGTCCGAGGAGGAAGAGTCGTCTTCCATCGCTGCGAGTTGCCTCTGAAGCTCAAGTTCTCTTTGGCGTGCAGCTTCGATCTCGGCACGTTGGGCTGCCAGTTTCGCTTCCTTCTCTTTCGCATCAGCCATAGCGGCTTTCTTCTTTTTCTTCTCTTCCTCTTTCTTTAGCTTGCCTTGGCGGACTTGTTCCTCTAAAGCCTTGAGGCGGGCAGAGGCAGCATCGCGTTCATTGGCGAGTTCTCGCTCCTGTTGTCTGGCCTCATCCCTGTCAAGAGTTAGTCTAAATAACGAATGGAAAATTGGGGTGGCATGATGTTATTACGTACTCCATTTGTTGAGTAGCTCGCTGTTGCTCTTCGTGCTCTTTCGTGAGACGCTGCTCCTCGGTTTTCCTAGAGCCCTCTTCCTCTTCGGCTCTCTTTGCAGCAGATGTGTCATCATGCTTCCCACCTTTCCTTGAAGGAGGCGGAGGTGGTTTCTTGGTTTCCGCCTTGAGTGCAGGAGCAGGAGGAGCCACGCCTTGCTCCTCGGCAATTCTAGCTTGCCGCTCTTGCTCGCGTCGGGCATCCTCTTCTTCCGCTTGTCGGCGTTTGGCCGCACGTTCTGCCTTCTCACGTTCCAATTTCTGGGCGGCAGTCTCTCCGGGCTTAGAAGCCGTCTTGATTCCGAGAGCTGCAAGGCGCTCGGCCATACGCTGTTCTGCCTGCTGTTTGATGAACGCGGCCCTCTCCTCTGGAGTTTTATATGATGAGTAGGATCCACCGGCGGGCGCTGGTGACCGGCTGGCTGGTGGCGTATCAGTGCGGGTTGTTGACGAAGGACTGCCCAAACGAGCTGGCGGTGCCTCTGCTTTAACGGGCTCGGCCGTGGGTGCTCGTCCACCCTTACGGTCCTGGGCCCTGACTCGAGCGGCTCGGCTCGAACGTTGCAAGTCAAATATGAAGTCTCGCACCTCATCCTCCACACCGAGAGCATCTTCCCATCTTCTTTTTTCGTGCTCATTGGCAGCACTCTGACCGCCTTCTTTGAGGTTCTCTTCAATACCTCGCGAAAATTCGCGAACGCTTTCCTCTACGTCTCGGACCATGCCCTCGTTGGTATCCTTTTCATTTCGAACTTTGAGGCTCTCTTCTTCTAATCTCTTTGCCGCATCCCCTTCGTGATCACCGATATCTAACTTCTTGCCCGTCAGCGCGGCAGTCCTCTGCTGCATCATGGCCTTAGCTCTGGCCTTAAGACGGTCCGACTCGGTGATCGAGCCACCCGGTCCAGTGCCAATGATGTTAGAGGCACCTCCAGGATGCGCTTTCGCGTCTCTGAGCCGGAAGAGTTCAAGTCTGGCCTCAGCAATAGCCTTTTCAGTCTTCCTAACCTGGGAAGCTAGCTCAGGGATCTTATCGGTAAGGTTCTGTAGCTGGCGCTTCAGAGACCTCCTTTCGGCTTCAGAATCGCCACTTGCAAGAGCGGCATCAGGATGGGCGTCAATGTCATCTTGGATTCGCCTAATGCGACGGTATAGCTCCTCGGCCTCGCGCCGATCACGCCTGTCAAGGATATCATCCTCCTCAGCGGCGGTCTCGTCCTTGAAATCCATGGCATCTAGGAGAACTTGCTTTTCTCGAATTTTCTTCTTTAACTGGTCAATGGAAAGTTCGTCGTTAGATGTAACAGACGAAGGCGACTCTGGCCGGGGGGAGGAATTTCCGATCCTACGTCGCGCGCTCGACCGGTACCCAACTTGATCGTCGTTATTCTTAAATACTGTCGCATCTTTCCGTCCAGAATTCAACCCACCAGCAGTTCCTTTGAAGGAATGACTCTTCAAGTAACTAACTCCCGTCTTCTGGGGAAGTAAGGCAGCGCCCGACGTCTTACGGAAATCAGACTCTTGGCTTAACATGGACTTGATAGTACCAAGTGATTCGGTAAAGTTGCGGGTAGACGGCGGTACAAGCTCGGGTGGTAAAACATTAGGAACGGGATAACCGTTTAGTTTTCTATAGATCAAGTGCATAGCTACGGCAAACTCGTCAAGGTTGAGTTTGCCCTTGTTTCCGTTGTCTGCAAGGGTCCATATTCGCTCAAGATCAGGCTTCTCGAGGCCGCTTTGGCCAAAGATTTCTATTGCCTGATCTCCTCCGATAAAACCCTTGCCTAGACCATCCCACGCCCGGAATAATTGATCATAGCGGGTCTTCTCGTCCTTGGTAATGGCCCACGGAATCACTGCGTTGCCAGATAAGCCGGCAGTGGTGTAATTCTGCTGTTCGCGACCTGCCTGTGGCATCATTCGGGCCTGTAGCGCGTCAATATTAGGTAGTCCGGTTGCTGGGGCGTTGACTAGGCCCCATTGACCGGGCATCCCAGTCGGCTGAGCATTGAGAGGAAGTGCACTGGCGGGAGACAACCCTCCAGCAAAGCCCGTAGGCATTGGTGGCATTGGCGGCATGGGCCCGTTGTATCCGGTTGGTTGTGGGTTATTCAGGCCTCCTGGAAATCCAGTCTGCTGTGGCTGCATTGCTTGACCAGGGAATCCCGTCATCTGTGTCTGGAGTAGCTGGGAATTAGACGACATGGGTTGAGGATGCTGAATCGTCGGCGGCGTGGCAGTATTCTGCCTGGTGAAATCCGCAGTATTAGTCGCGCCGGAGCTAGCAGCCTCTTCCGCGATACTAAAGTTGATTATATCGACCATACTTGATACCTCATTCTTGATATTATCCGGTAGGCTCCCAGGGAGCGTTTTACCCACAAGCTTCAGATTGCAGAGGTACATAGCTAGCGCAAATTCCGGGAAGTGTAGTTCTCCAGATCGAGTGGTATCCGAAAGAGTCCTATCTGGAGGTTAGATAATTCCTAATTGGAAAGCAATGGTAGTATACTATACCATATATGTGATAGAGAATCCCCATCGAGTCTCGATCGCAATAATAGGTCCCGAGCCTTCTCTCCAGACATTGTCCTCCCGTCACCCACGGCCGATTTAAACAGCGTCTCGAACTTGGCCTGATCTTGGGCTGTGATAAAGGATAACCTGATGTTCGGTATCTTGTTTGTAGGTTTCTGAGCCCCTCGACCCGCCGTCAGCGACTCGGACGCACCGCCAGTCTTGAACGAAGCAGCCATCGCGCTGAAACCCGTCGGCTGAGAATTGATTACCGGGGCCGGGGCAGGTAATTGGGACGGGGCTTGCGAAGTAGCTGTTGGTGCGAATGAGCTTTGGGGCTGTTGCTGGTTGAATTGGGCCTGAAATTGCGAGGGTATCTGCGGTACTGGCGGAGCACCTGTTTGGAAGTTCTGCTGCTGAGGAGCTTGGCCAGGAAACCCAGTGAACTGAGGCTGAAGATTTACGGGCATAGGGGGTTGTTGCGGCATTCCTTGAGGCATTCCCGTCTGCTGCGGTTGCATGCCTTGCGCACCAGGAAAGCCTGTATACTGCTGGGTTAAGGGAGCCTGCCCATATCCCGTCGGCTGTGGTGCAAATGGACTCGGCTGCTGCTGTCCCGGCTGTTGCTGTTGAGGCTGTTGGCCTGGAACACCGTACGAGTTGCCATACGGCTGGCCGGGTCGCAGGCTGTTACCGCCCATGAATGAATTAGAATTGGAATACATAATGAAATCCGATTATCTCTAGACTGAAAATGGTGTTGCTAGAGGAGGTGTTGGAGGCACAGACTAGAGAGGTCCTTAGGGTCCAAAGGACCTAGTAGTGCTGCTCGATGATGATGTTAAAGAAGCAAGAAAGCCTGTAGAAAAACTGTAGAAAGTATGTTCAATTGTTGTAGATGACGAAGCAGCCGAAGCAGCTGCTAGTAATCAAATGGGACAAGGAGTGGCTTGGCATAATTTAGGCGCACGACCGCTAAACACGAACCAGTAACAGGCTTGGTTCAAAACTCAATGGCTGGGTATACGTACCTATCAAGTGGGTTTTTATATGCGGACCTCACGTGCGTATATGTACCTATTCAGGTACCTAACCTGGCTACGCAAATCAACACCTAAGGTACAATATTGGAAGTACGGCATACGCATCTCCACAGCTGGCATATGTACCTAGGTGTAGGTGTAAACATATAATTTCACTCACGATTCATTCATATCAACATTGGCGATTAATTGATGATCATTAGGTAGATTATGTTCATCTGCTTTAGCTATTAACTTCACCCCGTATTTACTACTTTATCATCTCTATTATAGGTACTACGACTCCTATTGCTTGAATAGCTAAGTCATCTTGACACATCTCCTTTTTTCACCTAAAGCTGTACTGCCTCCATTATCAACTTCCCCTAGTGCCACATGTCACAATGCAGGCTTTGCTGAGACTCGAAAGCTAGGTAGTGTTCCTAGACCATCGGCTCTTTCAATTATTGTCTCTTACTGCGCAGCCGAAGTAGGGAATTGGTCGGCGTTCTTCTTGGCCCAAGCCCCGAAGTCGATCTTCGAAGCGGCCTTCTTTAGAGCGCCAGTTAGAGCGAACTGGGTTGGGATACCCTCAACACGGTGAGTCGAGTTAATGTTCTTGACCAAAACAATCTGGTAGCAAGTAGCAGAGCCCTGTCGGGAAGCGATGGTTGAAGACGCAAGGAAGTATTCCCAGACCTATTTCGACTTGTTAGCCACACGATATACATCCCAAGTGTTACTTCATGGCAAGCTTACGCGGAACCATCTCTTTCCGTACTTAGCCTCAACCTTCTCGCGGTTGGCCAACCAGTTCCTATACCAGCGCCACAGAGTTGCGGAATAATGCACACCGATCGTGTCGACTCCCTTGATTTCCCACCCGGCACCTTCTAGTCCGCTGATGAAAAAGTCGAGAGGAGTTGACGCGTCAGCACCGGGGAAGACGTATTTGTTCATGAATAATCCCCAGATAAGATCCTCGTATTGCCAAGGCTTTCGAAGACCAGCAATCTGTAGGAAGAAAACTCCATCATCGTCGAGCATATCATATACCTGCTTCAAGAAAGTACCGAACTTGCGAACGCCAACGTGCTCGGCCATCTCCAGACATGTGATCTTCTTGTATCCACCCTGGGGTACCGGGATGTCTCGGTAATCCATGCAGAGAATCTTGCTCTGTTCCTCAGGAATGCCAACGTTGCGCAGAGCCTTGTTACCCCAAGCAGTTTGGTTGCGGCCGAGAGTAACACCAGTAGCATGGGCACCGTAGTTGACACTTGCAAACCGTGCGAGGGTACCCCAACCGCAACCGATATCTAGCAGTGACTCGCCTTCCTGTAAGTCGATCTTCTCGCAAACGATAGCCAACTTGTTGTCCTGAAGTTGTTCTAGGGTCTCCTCGGTGTTGATGTCCGAGATAATGCCAGAAGTGTAGATCATACGAGGGCCCAAGAACCAGCCGTAGAAGTCATCACCACGGTCGTAGTGGTCACGGACCTGTTCCTCATCTTGATGGGGTTAGCCGGCGGTTATTCTAAGCAGCTAATTCTTGCAATATCTTACCTTGACTTCTCGAGTGCATGATAACCTCGGGGATCATGCCAAACAAGAAGTACTTGCAGAGACCCCATGTAAATCGGAAGCTTGCCCAATCATGCCTGTATTCCAAGACTTCGAGGCAATCACCATTGAAGTCGACATCACCGTCGAAGTACATCTCGTAGAATGTCTCTAGGGGGATCTTGTTCTTGCCATGGTACTTGAGCTTATCAGATTGCTTCTTAAAAGTGAGATAATGCTCGATCGGCCGCCCGGGGTATCTGGCTTTCTCGTTCTTTCGAGGACTTATGGAAGAGATAGTGAGCCAGAAACCAGCAAGAATAGGAATGCTGGTGAACAAGGCGAAGAATATAGCAGTCTTTAGACCACCTCCGACTTTCCATGACATATAAAGAGGGACACCGCCCATCAAGGAGAATAGCAGGATATTAGAGAAGGTGTCAGCACCAGCCGAATCGGCGGGGAGAGGTGCATTTTTGATAGAAGGATACTAGAAAGATAATGTTAGCCTCTAGAATGCTTCAATAAGACGAGTTTACGGGATCGGTGGATTCCAATACGAAAAAGAAAAAACCTACCGATGTGGTTCGCACACCGCAGTCCTCAAACTTCTCGAAGGTGGGAGTGGGAGCTTTAGGAGTTTCGATAAATTCGAACTCGGATTCGCTCCCATTGACACTATGAGGTTTCGACATAGTGAAGATTGCAAAGCCAATGAGGGCCGGGAAAGACTTTGCGATAACCTTCTTTGTGTCTTGAAGAGTTGAAGAAAATTTTGTGGGAAAAGCGTGAGGTAGTTCAGAGTATTTCTTGCCCTTTCCCACTTTCACAGACCGCCCTCCTTCCTGCGCTGCTCTAAACCCGATAACTAACCCGATAACCCTTTTCACGAATTGGCGTCTCTGACTGGCTGGGGACCCTAAGCTAGAACCACAGTAGATGCCGCTCCGTCGTAATCGTAGTGGGGTTGGCCACGACTTAGAGCTCCAACGGTGTGAAAACCCCCCCACCTACCTGTAGAATCCAGCTGTTCTAAGCTGTTCTAAGCTGTCCTAAGCTGTCTAGGTACTAGGCCATCCCCACTACCGAGCTAACGTTAAGCCTCCAAAAATTGAATAGGGGTCAACATCTAGGATACATCTAGGATACCAGGATACCAGGATACACACAGGTATTTGACAAGGAGAGCAAATACAGCCACGTGGATTTCTACTTGGAAGTAACACCATCTCAACTCAGCTACTATGTAGCTAAATTTGATAGGCAAGGTATACCCTTAAACAAATGCTCTCGGACTCTAATTTCTATACAAGACCTGGCAGAAAATAACATTAGAACCCACCTCTCGAATTTCTAGTACCTTGGCGTAAAAGCCACGTTGTTCTACGGCACTGTGATATAGATAATGCACTGATATCTGCAGAGGTTGTCCTTAGTAAGATATGACCTCTTGCAAAGACATCGTAACGAAGCATAGCTGCCACTCTAGGATTAAATGACATCGAGTCGTGGTAGGTGGTGCTTCAAGGGAATGCTATAGTATCCAGACTGCGACTTTTCCAGATATCGTGAATGGTCTACTTAGGGGTGGGCTACAACATCCGCCATTATCTCATATATCTCATATAGATATCAAAAGAGCTTATAGCTCACACATACACTAGGTGTAGTAGCTAGAACACACCATGCCACCAGGGCTCGATACTGTACAAGGTAATAGCCAGGGATCGATCAGGGGAATAATATAAAAAGTAAGGAGAGGCAATGTCCACAAGACAATTTACCACGTAGGACTACACCGACAATAACGATGTAGTGTTCTAGGTCAAGTGCAGAGACGTAGAAGCAATCGTGTCCTCAAGGCCCTAGATCGCAGCTATGATATTTAGGTGTGATTCCGCTTTGACTATACCAGAAATTGGTTGTAGGTCCCGGAAGAGCCCCGTTGATGTGTTGAGCACCAATTTGGCGGAAGCTGGTATTATGAACAGCTCAACACTCCTAGTCTCAACGATGTCTAGTCCCCCTAAGTCAGTATCACATCGAATGATATGCATTAAGGCGTATTAAATAGTTTAACAAAGGGTGTAAAGGGTGTATTACTACCTCTAATTTGATCTGGCAAGACACCTACTCAAATGATGATCGGGTCACCAACGGCCTTAGTCGACGGAACTCATTCGGCAAATATCTCATCTCGAGTGACAAGTCCCGTGTGTGATGTTGTGTTCTGTGCATTAATAGACACAGCCTAAGAAATCCAACATTCACCAATAATGGGAAGTCGTATTGTAGATATAGGAATGAGGCGACTTTATGCAGTCTATAACGTAGTGCGCTAAGAAGCCGTTGGTATTCCCTTCGGTCGAACTGGCCGGGCATTAGCTAGCTCTTTCAGCGCCTATAACTGCGCTCGGAGTGTCTATGGTTATCCCGGTCTCGATCACGATGATGGCTATGGCTGTAATCTCGTCGCTCGCGTTCGCGTTCGCGTTCGGACTTGTAGCTATCACCACGGCGATCATCACGGTCTCGTTTCTCCTTTTCTTTGTCCCTCCTATACTCATTAAGACGGGGTCTGCGTTCACGATGCCCGTGTTTTCGGGCCAACTCTCCCTTCCTAATCTCTTCGTCCTCCTTAGAACCAAGTCCCATCAGATTTGGCCGCTTTTTAACTTCTTTCGGCTTTGCACCGCGCTCCTCGCCGTTCCAACCCATTCCACGTAGCATGGCCGCTCCAAATTCGCCCTCAGGTATCTGATCATACTCGTCTATAGTCGACACCTCTGCAGCTTCTTCCATCCTACGGCGGTAAGCATCTTGTTCCGAAAGCGTGGTAGGCGTACTTTGTCTCGATTTGCCTTCGATAACAAGGTCTTTTGTAAATTTTCGTTTCTTGCCCAACAGAGCATCTATGGCATCGGTATCTTCGTTCGTAGGAACTTCAGGTTCATCACTGGGGTGAGCTACTCTAGGGCCGGTTGTTATATACTCTTCGTCTCTTGACGGGTTCCCATCTGAATTGTCAGTATCGCCTTGTACTAATTTCCTCGTTACGGTAAGACCCCATTTGATTTGCTTGTCCTGGTCGGCCGGATCCCTCTCTGCAGAGTCGCCAAATCCCGCCCGTCTTGATGATAACCCGTCCTTGGTGCTCTTCTGGTCTTTTAACTCTGCCTTCCAGTCACGGTTTTCGTGGCCGGTTATCACGTAAGGTGCGCTGGCGCGTCCTAGTTTGTCTGTCTTCAGATTTCGCCTCTTAGCTTCAGACTCAGATACTTCATCACCGATAGTTGTGATTACTTCATGGCGAGCTTCGTCGTCGCTCCCGGAATCGGAATCATGACTGAGAACGTGTGGTCGCTGACGTTTGCCTAGCGTCGATGGCGGCTGGGAATGTGTTTGTTTCTTAGCTCCGTTGGCAGACTTCGAGGATGACGATGTACCAAATTTAATCGCTATCCGCGGAACTGGTTCAGGCATTTTTGTTGACACAAGCAGCTGGATGAGTCGAGACGAGAAATATAGCTGCTTAGTGCCGACACGCAAAAACTTAGGGAGCAAGGAGTTATTGTTTAGTATGTAGCTGGCGATAAATCTAAGGCGAAGTTAGACTTTAATCCTGGTCGCATTCCATCAGGCGGCACTTGAAATGTGGTTAAAGCCTTAAATTTCCAGTTTTAATTGATTATCTAATGAAGTGTGGCTCACTTTTGACCAAAGAATAATAATAAAATATTATTTAATGAATAAAAAGTTATAATAATTATATATTTTTATATTTTTATTAAATTATAAAACTTTTTAATTTTTTAATTTCTTAATTTTTAAAATTTTTTTATTTATATTATCGTATATGTAAAATAGTTATATTTTAAATATAACCACTTTTAAAGGTGATTATATTAAAAAGAACAGCCAATCACCGTAGTAACAGTCATTTGGCATGCGTATAACCGACATTATGTCCACCCCTTATCATCATTGCTGACACCATGTCAATAGACCCCTAGCCCCATAATGTACCTATGTATTAAGAACACATTGAACGCTTTACACATACGTGTACCTAACGTATAAGGTACCTCTTCTAAGTTATGTGGATGGGGAGAGCAGGAGGGGCAATCAAATTTAGAAATCGTTATCGGTACAACGGTACAACGCAGTTGCGCCTTATTTACCTCTAAGCTTGTACACATATAGAACTTATAGCAGGTACCTTAGGGAATTTAGGTAGCAGCAATAGCACTCGGTAGAATGGGTCACCACTGTGTATCAATCCAGTCAGGCCTATCAGGATGCCCCTGTGCACTGAAGTGGCCGGTACTATAGGCTGCCATAGGCTGCCATAGGCATCGTCTGCGAAAAGGAAAGCAAAAAAATTAATCTAAGAGACTTCTTGTCAATGATCGCGAAGATAGAATTCAATTAGTACAACACAACGCCATCATTTCCATCACTTACTAACATCGGATTCATCTCCAGTGGTACCATTAAGCCTGGAGAGTCATCCGTTTTCATGTAAAACGGATGTCGCGGTGGTCGATGCTATGACTGAGGTCGTGCCCGCCGACCGCACGAAGCTTCTGCAATCTAAGCGGGCAGAATGCAGGTCAGTTATATATTCGGATGAATAGAGCTAATTGATCCGATACTCATGATATATATTTTAATAGTGCTATCGCTCGTTCGAGGAAGAGGAAGCTCTGTGTTCTGTATGCAGTCGCCACAACTACGGATGGCCTCCCACAGCGAAGCTTCGCCGATCCAGACGCGCCACCAACCAACGCTGCCGAGTTACATTTTCTTGAAGGTTGCGATATCTTACAGTATGTCTAAACTTCGCGTCCTCTTATATTTTATATCTCTCCGACCGCGTCTGGGGTGTTGAGGATAAAAAAATACGAAATAAAAAACTGGCGGATTGGCTGGTCTTGAAAACATTAGTCGTTCATGGTTGTTGTTCCTGTTGCTAATTGCTAATTGCTAATATTATAAACTAGAGGGAGAAAATTAAACGAGCTGAATATTCCTACGCGACTACGAGTTCGATCCGAATACCCTCCACTGGCCCGGCCCGGCGAGAATTTCATCACAGGCGAAAATGCTCATCAGAGTAGGAAGAAAGACGTCGGCGCTATCGTGCGACCCGTTATGGTACCGCCTCCGGTACAATCGCGACCAGGAATTAGCGATGGCCAAACGAATGTTCCCTCTAGTTTACCAACATCCAGTCCCGGACTGAAACAGCATCAGCCAGTTTGGCCCATCCAATCTTCCGGACGACCTGCGAGATCAGATCCTCCCGCTCCGCTATCAAATGATCTATCTAAACCTAGGTTTCCGGCTAGTGAACATGTAGAGCATCAACCTACGAACGATAGGCCTGATGGAATCCCCAAGATTCCAACAGGTCACGCCGTGGCTTCCGCCAATCTTCCTCAACCGCAAGTAGTTCAAGCTCTTATGAATGACCAGCGACAGCGACAGCAACAGCAACAGCAGCACCAGCACCAGCACCAGCACCAACAACAACCGCTACAACACCTACAGCAGCAATACCACCAGCAGCAACAGCAGCAGCAGCAACAACTCCAGCAGAAGCCACAGCAAACAGCGCAACATGCAGGCACACATTTAGGAGGTACCCATAATGGCGAGCCGATGGATATTGACCCTGCTTCAGCTACGAAGCTTGAAGAGAAGGTGGCTGTAGTCGACTCAATTTCTCAGGCCGATAGCACCGGCGAGGTTGATGGCGCATCTTCAAGTTCAACAACACCAGTCCTTTCCATTTCTAGTACAACCAACAATGTCAATGCAGCTCGTGAAAGTGTGCCACTTGCGGACGGTACAGAGGCTAAGCTGGCGGGAATGAAAGATGTGGCGTCGATGAGACAAAATTCATTGAGCTCAACGCCCTCAGATCCAATCGTGGCTGGAACATCCGAAAGCATTCCGAACCGAGTCAAAGACCAGCCGCTGCCAGCATCCACTATTACAACAACGAATATACCAATTAATGCTACCCCGACAATTAATTCGGTACAGTCGCTGAACAACCCATTATCCACTGCACAACCTGAAAAACCTGCGACCACGAGCTTCGAGCAGACTACGAGTAGTTTCCATACAATTTCGCAATTGCCCATACAGCAGCCTCCTAACAATGATTCCCGTGCTTTTCCGATTATGGATACGAGGAACGAGAAACCGCCGACTGACACAAGCACAGCCGCTGCCGGGTTTACTAACGGTATTGTTCAAGGCGGAAGCAAGAACGAAGTCATGGAGAAAGAAATTTCGGTGGCCCCTGTTGGCCCAACTCCGATCACACCGCAACTTGACTCCGAAGGAACTCGACGTTCCCCCCAACCAGCGCAATCTCACCAGCCGATTCGAGAGCGAAGTAGCAGCCCTACGGGGGTTGCTCGACAGAAGCCGGTTTCTGAGATCCTTAGCGAGCCGCCGAGGAGGTCGAGAGAATCCCTATCGGATCATACAGCATTGGTGACACCAACATCTCAGTCGTCTAGACAGCATCCGCAAAGCCTTCTTGGAAGGTCTAAGCTTATAGAGAAAAGTAAACGGTCGACGGTAGTGTTCGGTAAACAAATTAAACCTACCGGGGATTCGGATAAATCACTGGTTCAGAGTCAGCAGAAGGTTGGGCAGATAGCTAGTGATGACTACTTTACTCCCCTTTTTGTCCAGGCGTTTGCCTCAAACTCCAAATGGATGAGACCTCTGGACCAGATTTTACACCAGGCCCATAAGACATTGTCAACACCCGATTCGTACACCCAAATACTCGACAACCAAGCTTGCAAGGTCCTTAAGAGGGTCTATCACTTGCAACATCATAATAAGTGGTCTCTACGCCAACCAAAGCGTTGCCCTGAGCCCACGCGCCAACCATGCCACTGGGATGTTTTACTTAAAGAGATGAAATGGATGAGAACTGATTTCCGTGAAGAGCGAAAATGGAAGATGGCAGCCGCCCGGAATCTTGCTTATGCCTGTGCCGAATGGGTGTCAGCTTCTATAGAAGATCGCAAGACCCTGCAGGTAGATGCTATTATACCTCCTAAGACGCCAGTCAATACTGGAGAGATCGTTATGGGTGATGTGCACAACCCTCAGAGTTCGGAGAGTCAACCGACGCCAGACCTTATTCCATCTGCGGACATGGACTCCCCAATGGAGCCAGACGACGAGCCTCACGAGGGTATTCTTGACACAGTAGCTCCATCAGCTATATTTGCCCTAGAGAATGACGATATAGTATTTGCATTACATCAGTCTCCTACCGCGGATCGGCTACTTGAAGAACTGCCTATTTACGGATCGCCGCTGAAAGTCCCCAAGTCCGACCTCACCTCGCCAGAATACGACCCTGATGCTTCGTGGAGACGCCCTGCATTACCGTTAAACAAGTTCGTGGAGGGCCGAATGGAACTCGCGCCAATCGAGCCGCCAAAGAAGCGAAGCCGATACAATTATGCGCAGGAGGACGACGAGGACGATGGGGTCGTTTTCGGCCAGCTGAACAACAATCAACCTCGACTAGAACCAGAAAGCCCCGGCGTGGCGCTGTTTCGACCCGAGAATAAAAGCTTCAGGGATAGACTGCACGCCGGACATCAATTCCGCCCGCCTAATGAGCATTCTATGCCTTTCCAGTCATTTTATGAGTGCCGTAGCCCTTCCCAATGGATACAGTCCGAGGATGATGAACTGAAAAGCCTCGTCCGCGAGTACTCTTATAACTGGTCTCTAATATCTAGCATACTCTCTTCCAAGTCATTATTCAGCTCTGGGGCTGAGAGGCGGACCCCATGGGAATGTTTTGAACGCTGGGTTATGCTTGAGGGACTTCCCCATGATATGCAGAAAACACAGTATTTCAAGCTATGGCAGGGCAGAATTGAATCGTCACAGCAGGTTATTCGACAGCACCAAAACGCGATGCAACAACAAGCGCAGCAACAACAGCAAGCCAACTCTAATGGTCCTGTTACACCGATCCCTAAGCGGCGGTACAACGTTCCATTAAAGGTGGAAAGGCGGCGTAACCAGAAACACCTGACGATGATAGACGCGATGAGAAAGCTTGCAAAGAAACGTGAGACGGCTATACAAAAGCAGCAGCATGCCGCTTCTCTTGCTGCTACGAGAAAGCCAAACGAAACACCCCAGCAAAGGGCCCCGACCAAGACCCCAAGAGAATACAGTATCATGCGATTCGAAAGAGATCAAGCAATGGCCGAGAGGTTAGCAGAGAGGATGGCACAGCAGCAGCGTCATGAGGCCCAGCGTAGAGTATGAACCTCCCTTTTCTCATCCTAAGAATATTGACCGAATGACACTAATATACGCACGTAGGCTGCCCTTCAAAGAGCACAGCAAGGACAGGTTGCACAGATGGCAGCCGCCCAGAACGTGAATCAGCTCCCGCAGAATAATCCTCAGATGGCAACCTCTCATCCCCATGCAGCGGCTATGGCTCGTGTCGGTGCTCCCAGTCAAATTCCGATGAACAGTCAAGGTCGTCCGCGAATGCCCATGCACGCCACTCCGAACGGTACAGCAACCTCTAATCACATGAGCGGTGGCCTCGTTCCTCCTATGCAGATGAATGGTACCTCTCAAGTACAG